AGTTTCAAATTGTTAAAACTGCTATAAGAAGAATTAAACAATTCAAATAGCCCTGTATCAGTTTCTCAAATTTTAGCAGTCTTGACATTTGGGGCTAGATAATTCTTTGTGTGGGGGATAGGGTTTTCAGCAGTATCCCTCCCTGGCTTCTATCTACTATATGCCAGAAGCACCATCTGATTATAATAATCCTAAATATCTCCAGATGCTACCAAATGTCCCCTGGGAAGGGGTATCACCTCTGGTTGAAATTCACTGCCCTACATCAATGAAAGAAATTGACTTCATAATTAAAAAACCTTCCCTTCCTTCTCACCCTGTATTCCCCATCCCAGCAAAACAAAACAAAAATAAAAAACACCCAAACACCCAACTCCAGGCCCAGATGGCTTCACTGCTGAATTCTATTAATAATTTAAGGAAGTGGGGAACCTGGCTGACTCAGAAGGGCATGTGACTCTTGATCTTGGGGTCATTTATTTATAAATAAATAAAACGAAAAAGTAATAATTGAAGGAAGAAATAATACCAATTCTATAAAAACTCTTCAAAAAATAGAAGTGATGGGAGACTTCCCAAACTCATGTTATGAATCCAGTATCACCCTGATATCAAAATCAAAGATGTTACAGAAGGAGAAAATTTCAGGACAATATCCCCCATCAACAGAGATGTAAGAATTTAACAATATATAAAAAGAGTAATACATCATGAACTGGTATGTTTTTTTGGTTTTTTTTGTTTGTTTGTTTTTTGTTTTTGTTTTTTTTTACAGGAATTCAAAGTTGGGGAATGCCTGGGTGGCTCAGTGGTTGAGCATCTGCCTTTGGCTCAGGGTTTGATCCAGTGGTTCTGGAATCAAGTCCCGCATTGGGCTCCTTGCATGGAGCCTGCTTCTCCTCCCTCTGCCTGTGTCTCTGCCTCTCTCTCTCTCTGTGTCTCATGAATAAATAAATAAAATCTTAAAAAAAATCTTAACTAGGAAAGAAGGCAACTTTCTCAATCTTGTATAGGACATCTGTTGTAAAAACTATGGTTAACATCATATATAATGATGAAATACTGAATGCTTTCCCCTGAAGAATGGGAACAAGGCACTCTACTACTACCACTTGTATTGAATAGTGTACTGTAAATCATAAATAGTAAAATAATGCAAAGAAAAAAATGAATTCAGATTGTAAAGAAGTAAAAGTGTCTTTATAGAAGACATGACATTATGTATAGAAAAGGTGAAGATATTTCCAAAAAAGTTACCAAAACATAATTTTTTAAAAGATTTTATTTATTTATTCATTAGAGACACACACAGAAAGAGAGAGGCAGAGACACAGGCAGAGGGAGAAGCAGGCTCCGCAGGGAGCCTGACTCGGGACTCGATCCCTGGTCTCCAGGATTGTGCGCTGGGCCAAAGGCAGTGCTAAACCGCCGAGCCACCCGGCCTGCCCCCAAAACATAATTTAACTTAGCAAAGTGTCAGGATAGAAGATCAATATAAATCAAATATATATATATATATATATATATATATATATATATATATTAAAATCAAATATATTTTAAAAGCATTTTCTTGAAAAATGAACAATGTAAGCCTGTCACTTCAAGAAAAACAATTGATAGTACTAGTTGCCAGAGATAAAAATTAAGCTTTCAAGCAAAATTAGGATTTGGAGGGATGCCTGGGTGGCTCAGTGGTTTGACACCTGCCTTTGGCCCATGGAGCTATCCTGGAGACCCCGGATCAAGTCCCATGTCAGGCTCCTTGCACGGAGCCTACTTCTCCCTCTGCCTGTGTCTCTGCCTCTCTCTATATATATATATATATCATGAATTTAAAAAAAAAAGCCAGACATTAATTTGCCAGATATTTGTAAAATAATGCATTATAATAAATTTTTTAGAAGACTATAACTTTTTCATAAAGATACCTATATTAACATGCAATGGGTTTATTACTGTTATTTATTACTGTTATTTTTAATGAATAAACATTAAAATTTTTTGTTCTAATTTCTAATCTGGCAAATATTGGTAGATAAATAAAAACCTAATAATTCTTAATTTTTAAGAGTCTAAAGGGGTCCCAAGACCAAAAAGTTTGAGAATCATTGATCTAATCCAACCCTTTCTCCCTTGATCCCTTATTTTATAGTTGGGTAAACTGAGGCTTGGAGTTGTAAGGGGTCCTTTGCAGGGAGATGGTGGTTATGGTCTTCACACTCCATATTTGGTATAAACCTTTGAGAACAGGTATACTGGGATACCTCCTATTTAGTGTATTCAATCTCTGTTCACTGGATCCTTATCTGGATTTAAGTGTCATGAGCCATTTATTTATTTACTTATTCATTTCTCTTCTTTTGGTGCAAAAGTGTTTTTTACAATAGCATGAGGACAGGACCTGTGGTCAGAAAAGGCTGCCATGAGCTTTTTTTTTTTTTTTTTTAAAGGCTTTTCTCTATGTACATACCTTCCTCCATCTTACAACTGCTAGGTCCCTGTAACAAACTCATCTTTCACTCAGTCACTCAGTCATTCAATAAGCTTTTATTGAGAGCCAACTATGTACCACATACAGTTCTAGGTACTGATAATTCAACAATGAATTAAAGAAAATCCTTGATTTTTAAAATCTTACATTCTAGTGAGGGCAAAACCGGTAAGAATTGTTCAGAACTTGTAAATGAGCAGAAGAGAATTACTGGGTGCTCCTTTACATAGTGCTAGGATATACCTTGGATCAACTTTATATTGACTAGGGTACTGCACAACTTTGTAGGTGGTAGGTTAATTTGTAGAAAACCAATGGCGGGTAGCCCGGGTGGCTCAGCGGTTTAGCGCTGCCTGCAGCCCAGGGAGTGATCCTGGAGACCCAGGATTGAGTCCCATGTCAGGCTCCCCGCATGGAGCCTACTTCTCCCTCTGCCTGTGTCTCTGCCCTTCTCCCTCTCTCTTTCTCATGAATAAATAAATAAAATCTTAAAAAAAAAAAGAAAAAAGAAAAGGAAAGAAAACCAATGGCAATGCAAGTGATTCCTAGCCATAGTGATGCAATAGAATTTTGATCAGTAGAGATGGGATTGATTTCCATCTGGTAGAAGCAAAAATCCCAAACATTACAGTTTATTACTTAATAAGATATCAACATTTTTACAACTATTAACAAATTCATTTCAGCATTCCTTTGGCTGATAACCTAAATCTCTGAAACTCAAGTTCTCATTTGAACAGGCCTTACCATCTAACTGGTTCCCTCATTACTTAGGCTAATGATGGAGGAGCAGTTTCTTAGGATGAATAAAATCTTTGGCATTTTTTATCTTTGTATAAGGATTATGTTTCCAACCTTTTGAAAATTATAATTTAGCAGACTGTATGAAAAAATACATGTTATAAGAATAAAAGCAGGTTAGGAGGGCAGCTATTAACTGGTGGTGTAGGATATACTAGTTTAGATAGATAGGGCCAATCAATCAGCAAGCCCTGTCAATTCTCCCTGTATTTTAAGTGGAATCAATCCTTTTCTCTACCTTTATTGGCACCACAGTAATCCAGAATCATCTTCTCTCATCTGATCTCCCTGCTGTAAGCCTACTTACTATAATTATCAACTGTCAGATGATTTTTTTTTAGTGATAAACACAAGATTCTATTTATGATATTTAAAGTTTCAGTAAACTATTCCTGTAAGTGAGGAAATAAAGGTATATGTTTTTCACGGGGACTTTACAACTCTCATCAAGAAGAATACAATTTGAGCAGAGGCTAAAAATTCCCTCATTCACATGCAGCTTTGGGAGTTCACAATCCATAAAGTACTGGAAAAGCTCAAAGTGCTACAAGGGTTCCTCACTACTTCTAATTTTCTATGGTAGTGAAGAGATTGTTGTCTTAAAATTCACACCTGCTTCATCACTCCTGTAACTCCAATAAAAATGTACCCAATTTCCTGCCTTCTGAAACTGACAGGACTCTGATGGAGTTTGAAATAGTGGCTGATATCTTTTGAATACTTCAGCTTTACTGACCGCTCACATCTGTACTGCTGACTCTCTGCCTAGAGATGAGGTCCCCAGGGCCCCATCTTTGGGCTCCATTAACTCGCTGGAGCAGCTCACAGATCTCAGGAAACCCTTACTCACTAGATCGCTCGGTTATTATTAAAGGATATAACTCAGGGCAGCCCAGGTGGCTCCGCGGTTTAGCGCTGCCTTCGGCCCAGGGCCTGATCCTGGAGACCCGGGATCGAGTCCCACATCGGGCTCCCTGCATGGAGCCTGCCTCTCCCTCTGCCTGTCTCTGCCTCTTTTTGTGTGTCTCTCATGATTAAATAAATAAAATCTTAAAAAAAAAAAAGGATATAACTCAGAAACAGTCAGACGGAGGGATGCATAGCGCAAAGTATAGGGAAGGGACACGGAGCTCCCACGCTTTCTCCCAACACCTAGTACGCGTGTATGCACCAACCAGTAAGCTCCCGGATGATCTTTTTTTTTTTTTAAGATTTGATTTATTTATTCATTAGAGACAGAGAGAGAGGGGGGCAGAGACACAGGCAGAGGGAGCAGGAGCCCGACGCGGGACTCGATCCCGGGACCCCGGGGTCACACCCTGGGGTCACACCCTGGGCCGAAGGCAGGCGCTAAACCGCTGAGCCACCCAGGGATCCCCATTTTTAAAAGCCCCTATCTGATCATATCCTTTCTACTGGCCCCGTACGGTGGAGTCAAGTTTTGTGGCGACTACCGCTTACACAATTCGAGGGCCTTCTTTAAAACAATCATTAAGCCCAGGGCCAAAGGAGCGCCGCAAGTGACAGGTTCTCAAACCTCAAGCTTCGTGGGCTTCACTCTAAAGCCGCCTCTGCCCACAAGTCTGGCCTCGCCTTCTCTGCCTGGAGGCCCCCCGGCCCCCGCCCCGCTGCTTCAGGGCTCACCCGCCAGTCCCAGGCCTGCTCCTCCCCCAACCGGTGGGCTGAGGCTTTAACCGAGTCTCTCCCAAAGCCCAGACCTCTCGGCAGGGGCCCCATTCCGAGCACCCACGGAAGACCCCTGGCCGGCGGGCTGGCATCTGGCTGGTCAGGGTGGGCCGGACCCCGGAGCTCCAGGGGCCGCCGGACTCCCCGCCTCTCTGCGCCCGGAGCGGCGCCGCCGCGTCTCCGGAACCCGCGCGTCCGCAGTCGCGGTTCCGGCCGGAATTCCTCCGCGCTGCACGCGGGCGATGGCCGCGCTGGTCGGGAGGCGAGCTCGGGACGTGCTGAAGCGCGCGCACTTCGCGACCGTCCCGCGGAGACACCGGCACAAGAAGAAATGGGTAACGTCGGGCCGCCGCCCCCCGCAAAGCTGCCCCGGCGCGTCCATGGCCCGGCCCCCGGGACGCCCCTGCCCTCCCCCGCCCGCAGGGGCGTCGCGAGGCCCCCCCTTTCCTGTCTGTTACGTCTTCGCCTCCGTCCGCCCCTTTATTTCGTCACAAGGCTGGGGCTGTCGCTGCGGTTACGTCAGCGCCCTCCCGACTCCGCCCCTCTAAGTTACGTCATCACCCGCCCTCATTCTTTCAGTTATGTCACCGCCTCTTGCTCCCCGCCTCCGGGCGACCTTCCCCTTGGCCCCCACTATCCCTCCCTGCGCCCCTCCCTCCCTTCCTTTCCTACCCCGGCCCCCCCCCCCCCCATGACCTCTCCTCCGCCTTTCCTCCTAGAACTTTCAGCCCGGCCGACCTCCCCCCTCGAAAAATGTTTTAGCGACGACCCCTTCCTCCCTGGGTCTCCGCCGCCCCCCGGGAAAGGATTCAACCCCATCCTCACCCTCGGGGTGCCTCTGGCGCCCAGGAAGGGTTACAGCGATCACCCTGCGCACCCTCCCGGCCTCTCCCCGAACCCAGGCGAAGCGTGCAGCGACTCCTCCCACCCGCTCGACTCTCCCCACTTCTCCCGGGACCCTTTCTGCGGCCTCCCCTGTGGGCCCGGCCTTTCCCCGCTGACCGCCTCGCCCTCCTCGCGACCCAGACGGCTTCCCTCCCCGCCGCCGCCCCCGTCCCCGCCGCCCCAGCCCGCGCTGCGCCCCGTGAGATGTTCTTTAGAACCCTGTTCTCCAGTCCTTGCCAGGCCTTGCTGCCGCGAGCCCATCCTCTTGCGTTCGCCTCCTTCGAGCCCTTGTTTTGACCGGTTCGGCCTTCTGGGGTCCCCCCCTGTTCGTCCCCAGAGCCCTTACTGCAGCTGGATCAGTCCCCCAAGAACACCGCGTCCCTGCCCCCGAGGCCCTTTCGTTGACCAGCCGAGTTACTTCTGTTACTGTGGTGGGTACCCTTCGGCCCTGGTAACCAGCCCGGGGACTTCCCCTCCTCTTCCTCATCGGCCCTTGGGAGCCAGCCCGGTGACTTCCCCGGTCCTTTCTCATGTGCCTTTGGAAACCGGCCCCATGATTTCACCTTCTGTCACCTCTGGGTCCCAAGGGACTTGCCCCATTGTTTCACCTACTGTTGCTCATAGGCCCCTGGCAACTGGCCTGGTTATTTCACCTCCTCTTGCTCAGCGGCCCATGGAGATCAGATCTGTGGTTTCTCCACCCCTCTCTCACAGGGTTTTGGAAACTGGGCCCGTCTTCTCACCTGTGCTCTGCACCTGGTCCTCAGGCAAAAGTTATAATGACCCTCCTCTCTCCCCAGCATGTTCCCCACCCTCTGGCAGCTTTTGCCAAGGTTGCCTTAAGCCTCCAGACTCTTGTGAACCTAAACCACAGCTTGACTTGCCCCTTGGGAAAAATTGCTGTGGCCCCCCACTTTCTTCTCAGGCAGGCACATCCTGCCCTCCCAGCTCGTCTCAGGAGGGCTCCTTTCACCATTCCCATTTTTCTCAAGAGGCCCACATCCCTGCACCTGCTGGCCCTTGCTGTGCCATCCGCCTGCCTGTTAGGACTACTGGCTCTCCTTGCTCACCCCCATCCCAGGCTCCCATGAAGCCTTGCTTTGAGTCCGTCTTCACCTGGGAGACTGGTGGGAGCTCTTGCCTCTTTGTGGAGCCAGGCACCACACTCTCTTGTTCCCCCTGTCCCCCGGAACCACCTCTTCCCCTGTCCTCTCACTGTCCCTATCCTGTCTTCTCCTTCCCTTCCCCCCTCGGCAACCAGTTCATATCTCCACCCCAGTCACCCCCCCACAGAAGCTATAATGAACCACCTCTCCCTACCCCAGCTTGCCCACAAGTGAAGTCCCCCAAATGCCCAGAGTTAAAACCACCGTGTCCTCCCCACAGATGTCGCTCCCTGATCATTCCTCTCCAGCACAGTCCTCTTGACCAGCCCAGGCCTCCTAAGGCCTGTGCCTCTCCTCCACCTCCCTCCCACCCCTCTGGTCCTTCTTGTATGGTGACATCCATTACCACTTGCTCAAATTCCTGCCCCAAAGAACTTCCCCAAAGAACTGCCTTACCTACTGTGATCCCTAGGACCCTCAAACCTGTCATCCCCACTTGTCTTCCCCTTCGCCTTCCTTTTTGTTCTGTCCCACCCAATACTTATGTTCAGAGCAGCCCCTGTGGGCTCCCCATAGGACCCCCATGCAATAACCATGTATATTCTGTGGTTCCCTCAACTTCTGATCCCTGCCCACTCCTTGGCCCCCCTCAGTGTCATAAGCTGCCCATAGTGTCCCCCTGTGGCATTTATAGCACTCCCAAGTGCCAACCCCAACCTTGTCGCCTGCCTGTGCCACCTCCCTGTTCCACCCACATCTATTCTTTTATCCCTTTGCGGACACCCTTTGATCCTCAGTGTTTACCCATTGCCCCCCAACCCCGGTGCCACCCTGATACTATGCCCTGTGGCTTCCATGTCTACTCTGTGGCCCCTCGAGGCCCCCGCAAAGAGTGCCCTCAGGTCCCCTATAGCTGTCCTTTGTCTTCATCCAAGACTTCTAGCTGTAGCTCTAATCTCAGCCGTAGTTCAACTGTTATTATTAGTGAATGCCAGAGTAGTGACAGCCACAGCAAGAATGAGAATACCCACCACCCCAGAAGAAGTCGAAGTCAAAGCAAGAGTTTCCATCCTCAAAGAACTCAGAGCCAGAACAGGAGTCCTGGTCGAAAGAGAAGTAGGAGCCAGAGCAATAGTCCCCACCAAAGTGTGAATCAGGATAAGAGTGAGAATCCTCAGGGTAGTGGAAATCAGGGCCAAGGTGAGAGTTCACAGTGTAGCAAAAGTCAGAGCCAAAGTAAGAGTCCTTGCCATGGCAGATGGCGGGGCAAGAGCAAGAGTCCCCACCACAGCAGGAGCCGGAGCAAGAGTCCCTGCCCTGGCAAAGGTCAAGGCCAGAGCCAGAGTCCCCGTCACAGCAGAAGTCATGGTCATCACAGCAGAAGTCATGGTCGGAACAAGAGTCCCCGCCATAACAAGAAATGAGGGCCAGAGGACCAAACCCAAAGGCTGGAGCAAAATTAATATTATTAGGACTTCTAGCCTGAGCAAGTGTCCCAGCTGTGGCAACCTGGACTGACCTAGGGACCCCACAGCCGACGTCTTCATTTTCCTTTTAATCTGTGTTTCTGCTCTGCAAGCCTGATTCCAGTCCTGCTCTGCTACCCCCATAGTAGTCCCCATTTTTTGTTTACACCATGAGGTTTCTGTGAGTTCTCCTTTTCCCACCTTCCTGGGGTCTAGGAACTCTCCCCAAATGACCCTTAGCCCTGTGATTCTAAGCATTATGGTGTCCGTCATCGCATGACCTTAGGTAAGTTACTGTATCTCCCCACCAAATGTGGAAGGTGGGTATCTTTTGTATCTCACTGAGCTGTTCTGGTGCTCACAGAAACTAGGAGACAAGAAAATGCTTTAGAAGATGAAAGGACTGTTGAGAAAGAAAGCGTCTTTTGTTTTTCAGGCTGAAGCTTCCCCCAGGGCCTTCGTAGTTTCTTCCAACCTTCTGTAGACTTTCCTCAGAGTCCTATCCTGAGCTCCCAGTTCTCTTAAGTTCTTCTTCCTCCTGGGCCTCAAGGATCACCCCCTTTCTGGGTGACCCACACATGCTGTTGTGAGAGCTACAGCTTTTTTCCTCACAACTCGGAGCCCTCATGGAACTGATTTAGAAAGGCAGGCCCAGTACTTTTCTCTTTCATACTTCTTTTTCTGGCTGGCAGAGGCAGGATGCAAAGGCAGGAGTGGGCACTAGCTGGTTCCATGTTTACTGGAGGGCTCTGAGGTATTGGTGAGGTCAGGTGGTAGGGGAGAGGCAAGACTTGGGGGGATCTCTGGGTGGCTCAGTGGTTTAGCACCTGCCTTTGGCCTGGGGCATAATCCTAGAGTCTTGGGAGCGAGTCCCACATCAGGCTCCCTGCATGGAGCCTGCTTCTCCCTCTGCCTGTGTCTCTGCCTGTGTCTCTGCCTCTCTCTCTCTCTGTCTCTCATGAATAAATAAATAAAATCTTTAAAAAAAGAAAAAAAGACTTGGAAGATCATTAAGCCCATTCTTTTCCTTTCAGGCTGCCACAGAGCCCAAATTTCCTGCCACCCAACTGGCTCTGCAGAATTTTGACATGACCTACAGTGTGCAATTTGGTGATCTTTGGCCATCCATCCGGGTCAGTCTCCTTTCAGAGCAGAAGTATGGTGCGCTGGTTAATAACTTTGCTGCCTGGGATCATGTGAGTGGGGAGCTGGAGCAGCTGAATGCCAGGGACTTTGTGAGTGAAGCCATCTCCCACGGGGAACCAGAGCCAGAGAGTGTCCAAACTACAACTCCACCTCAAGCTTCTGGGGCCTACAGCCCGAACCTTCGATGCTTCACTTTTGCCAGAGGGGATGTCAGTCGGTTCCCTCCTGCCAGGTAGGATCTGGAGCCGTGGCTGGGGTTGTCCTGGGTGTCTTCTGGAAGTAGACGGAAAAAATATTTATCGAGTGCTTATATATGCTAGGTGTTTTTCTAAGTGTTGTGTGTGCATTATCTCCTTTGTTCTGTCAACAGCCTTCTGAGGTAGGTAATATTGTTCCTCTTTTACATTTGAGGAGACAGGTGCAGAGAAGTTAAGGTACGTTCTTGCTTTAGGTCCCTGAGATACCAAGTGGTACAGTTAGTGTTTAGACCCAGGCATTTTGACTCCAGAACCTGCCCTTTGAACCTGTTCTGCTCTGATGCCCCCTATGGAAGACAGCGTCTCTGACTTGAGCACTTATTATACCCTCTACAGTTAAAATGTGTATTATTTACTACTGCTTTCTCATTTTGCCCTCATAGCCACCCATCCAGATGAGTAGGACAAATAAACTCACAGTAGCAAAGAATGAGTGAGACTTACCTGGGACACATAGTACTAGAGGGGTTGTTGGTGAGGGGACTTCTGGTCTTCTCAGCCAGCGCTCAGGTGTATATGAAGTTGAAGCCCTCACGGAACTTACAGTCTAGTGAGAAACTATTTATATATAGTGAGAAACTATTCTATTAAGGAACTATAATTGTGATAAGTGCTACAAAGAAAAAGTACTATGAAGTTTTATAATTAGGAGATCTAACCCAGTCTTTTCTGAGGAAATGAAATTTAAGTGAAGACCTGAAAATTAATAAGAATTAAAGTTTGGAAAATGAATAGGAATTAAATGGGGATGGGGATGGGGGTGAGAGGCTACAGAAGGTGGCAGAGCCAGATTTTGAAGGTCTTCTAGGTCATATGGGATTTTGGACTTTTTCTCTAAAAGGAAGAGGGAGCCATGAAAAGTTTTAAGGAAGGGAGTGACATGACCAGCTTTGAATTTTCAAAATTCAGGCTGCTGTGTGGAAAGCAGATTGGAGAGAGGCAAGACTATATATAGTTCTAGCTACTGGTTTGAAGGAAGGCTGCATGCTTAGGAAAACTAGGAGGCAAAGCTGGAGAGTATGTGGAGGGGCCACATTTGGGAATCTTGAATGCCAGGAACTTACAGGTTTGGGAGAAGGGATTTTCCTGATGGCCCAGGGTTGCTTATAAATGGCTGTACTTGCCAGGGTTGGATGGCTTCAGACCATGCACCCTTTAGCCATATTGTTGTAAACTGCCAAGATGTGTTCTAGAGAACTACTGGGAAGGGTTACGGAGTAGGGGAAAGGCAATAACGCACAGTGGTTATAAGCACGGCCTTCGGAGTCAAGAAAACCTAGATTTGGATTTTGCCTTCATGACTTATTGGACACATAGCTTTGGATAACTGACTCTTGGTTTCCTTTTCTGGAAACTCATCTGGAACATAATGGCACTGATACCATTATCAGCTTGTGTGTCAACTACTGTACAAGCGCTTGGCTTCTATTAATTTATTTTTTAATATTAATTTCTTTAATCTTCAAAATAATCCTGTCTGGTAGCCACCCTTATTACAGATGAGGATGCTGATGCACAGAGAAGTCAAGTAGTTTGCTGAAGGCACACAACTGTTGAGCAGTTTGGCTGGATTTGAAATCCAGACAGTTTCTCTCTGGAATCTGGGTTCTCCTGCCTCACAGGGTTATGGTGAGGTCTAAATGAAGTGATGGGGCAGCCCTGGTGGCCCAGCGGTTTAGCACTGCCTTTGGTCCAGAGCGTGATCCTGGAGACCCCGGATCGAGTCCCACATCAGGCTCCCTGCAGGGAGCCTGCTCCTCCCTCTGCCTGTGTCTCTACCTCTCTCTCTCTCTCTGTGTCTTTCATGAATAAATAAATAAAATCTTAAAAAATAAATAAATAAATGAAGTGATGTATCTGAGACACTAGTACAGCACCTCCAATATAGGGCTCACAGTCTCTCTTACTGGCAGTGTTCTTCTCATCAAAGTTATGCTTCAGGAAGATCATGTTAGTAAATGCGGGTGAGAGGGAGATAGATTGGGGCAGGGCTGGAGACCAGTTCGGAGGCACTGATTTTAGGCAGAACAGTGGACACAGCACCATGTGGTTTCCTAAGTTGCCTGAGGTGCTTGGCTTCTACGCAGAGAGGTTTGAGTTTCCTTCTTGTCTTGATAGGTTCCCTATAAATTGGGAATCCTAATCTCTCAGGAGGTCAAGGATATATTTAGGGAGTCCAGGAATCTCCTGAAATTGTCTGAAAAATTGTCCCTTTTTTAAAAAAAATATTTTTATTTATTCACGAGAGACAGAGAGAGAGAGAGAGAGAGAGAGAGAGAGAGAGAGAGGCAGAGACACAGGCAGAGGGAGAAGCAGGCTCCATGCAGGGAGCCTGATGTGGGACTCGATCCTGGGACTCCAGAATCACGTCCTGGGCCGAAGGCAGGCGCTAAACTGCTGAGCCACCCTGGGATCCCCACCCCCCCTTTTTTTTTTGAAAGAAGGACTATAGCTTTCAGCAGATTCTGTCTGTGACCCAAAAAAAGGTTGAACGATGCTTCCAAAAGGAAGGAATTGATGAGAATGGGTTTCCTAGACCCGTGCTGGTGTGATAGGAATTCTGTGCTTTTCTCAGACTTCTTGTCATTCTCCTCTGTGAGGCATGAGGCACACAGTTTCAGGGATAATCCTAGTGTGATTGGACTTTGAAAATATCCCACCATAGTCTGAGCCTATTTGTGAAGGTGTCACCACCTCAAGCCTGGGGACTGTAGCTCTTGTAGCAGACCCTCCAGGGTACTATGTCTCCTGTCTTGTCACATTTTTCTCCTAGAGCCTTCCCATCAGAGCAGCAAGGATCAGGCTTCTGTCTCCTTGAGTGTGTCCACAGTGGCTGAGCTGTGTCTCGGGGGCAGGGAATGGCTTATGACAACTGGCCTGGGAGTGAAGAGTCCTTCTGTGCCCATTAGGTTGTTGTCCATCATCCCTCTCTCTCTATTCACATGGCTCCTGTCTTCCTGCCTTGGACTCATCACAGCCTTCTCACTGGTGTTGATTTCTAATTTGTTCTTTCTGGCCCACCTAGCTTTCTAAAATTCTATTTAGGTGATCATGTTACTTTCTTCACAAACTTGGGTAGCTACCTGCAGGTTACAGTCCAAACTCCCTAGCATAGGGTTTAAGACTTTTTAGAATCCAGCCTCTATGTGCTTTTCAACCTCAGTCTCATCCCCTTTGTATTTCTATGACACAAGATTTCTCATTGTTTCTGAAAGGAGCTATGAGTTTGCCTGCTTCCATGCTTTTGCTTTGTTCTTTTTTCTTCTCTTGGGGTGCTCCCGTTTCTTCCTCCCTTCCTCCCTTCTTCCCTTCCTTCCCTTCCTTTACCTAATGAGGGCCTATTTCTTCAGCAGGCCTGACTCAGGTAACTGTGAGAGGCACAACAGATGGCATTTTTCTCTAAGGCAACAAAGCATTTTGTATCTTAATATGTACTCCAGTAAGACCAAGTTCCTCCAGTATGCCAGGTGGTGTTTCGGGTGCTGGGGTTATTACAGTGAATGAACAAAGTCTCTGCCTTCATTCTAAAGGGGAGGAGGAGAAGGAAAGTATACACACACACACCTGTACATATAAAGTGAACAATAAGTGCTTTTGTAATTTTTTAATTAAGTAATTAATTAATTTTTTTAACAATAAGTGCTTTAAAGAAAAATAATGTAACATAGAGAGCTAGGAGGTAATGGGAGGAAGGGGTGCTAATTTTCAGATAAAGTAGTCAGGGAATGCCAGTATCTCTCTGGTGAGATAACTTTTATGGAGAGAACTTTGAGGAGAGACTGAAAGAAGTGAGGAATCAAGTCAGGGCTATTTGGAGGAGGAGTTTTATTTTTTTAATTTTTATTTTTTAAAAGATTTTATTTATTCATGAGAGACACAGAGAGAGAGTCAGAGACATAGGCAGAGGGAGAAGCAGGCTCCATAAAGGGAGCCCAATGTGGGACTCCAGCCCAGGACTCCAGGATCATGCCCTGAGGCAAAGGCAGAAGCTGTACCACTAAGCCACCCAGGCGTCCCAGGGAAGGAGTTTTATAGCCAGAAAGTAGAGCAGCTACAAAAGCCTCAGACTGGAACGTGCCTGGCTTAATTAAGGAAGGGCAATTAAGGAATGGATTGCTTGGCTGGATAAGAGTGAATTAATCTGTGAGCTGTTTTGTTTTCCTTAAAGATTTTAAGTGATATGTGCACCCAACATGGGGCTCAAAGTCACAATCTCAGGGCACCTGGGTGGCTCAGTCAGTTGGGCCTCCGGCTCTTGGTTTCGGCTTGGATCATGATCTCGGGGTCCTGGGACTGCGTGCCGCATCTGGCCCTGCACTCAGTGCAGAGTCTGCTTGTCCCTTTCCATCCCCCTCTGCTTCTCCCTTTCTTTCCTTTTTTTTTTTTTAAATATTTTATTTATTTATTCATGAGAGACACAGAGAGAGAGACAGAGACAGAGACACAGGCAGAGGGAGAAGCAGGCTCCATGCAGGGAGCCCGACGTGGGACTCGATCCCGGGTCTCCAGGATCATGCCCTGGGCTGAAGGCAGAGCTAAACTGCTGAGCCACCCGGGCTGCCCCTCCCTCTCTTTCCTAATGCCTGCACTGTCTCTCTCTTTCTTTCTTTTTCTTTTTCTTTTTCTTTTTTTGTCTCTCTCTTTCTAATAAATATATAAAATCCTTAACAAAACAAAACAGCAATACCCCCCCCACACACAACCCTGATATCAAGAGTTGTATGCTCCACTGACTAAGCCAGCCAGGCACCCCTCGATCTGTGTTTTTTTTTTAAAGATTAATTTATTTATTTGTGATATATATAGATAGAGAGAGAGAGAGGCAGAGACACAGGAAGAGGGAACAGCAGGCTCCATTCTGGGAGCCCGACATGGGACTCGATCTGGGGACTCCAGGATCGTGCCCTGGGCCAAAGGCAGGCGCTAAACCGCTGAGGCACCCAGGGATCCCTCGATCTGTGTTTTAAATGGGTTACTCTGGCTGCTGTATGAGTGAATGAGTGAGTGAGTGGTTCTGAGAAATGAGTTTTTGCTGAGTAGAACTCAATAGTCCCTGAGAGCATGAGCTTAGTGGCCTTGACTTCCAGTGGGTCTCCTGACTTGGAATTTGACTTCAAGGTGGTCTCTTCTCTTCTAGGATTGGCAGCCTGGGTGTCATGGACTACTACCTGATGGATGCTGCTTCCTTGCTGCCTGTCCTAGCCCTTGGTCTGCAGCCTGGTGACACTGTGCTTGACTTATGTGCAGCCCCTGGGGGGAAGACACTAGCACTGCTTCAGACTGGCTGTTGCCGTAAGTCAGAGGATTGGTGTCTTGGGCAGGGAGGGCCCCCTACCTCACCCAGTCAGGGACTTGCAAAGTAGGATGGGCTCTCTGGTCCCAAGGTCAGAGGCGGGGTATAGTGCCTGCTTGCTAAGGTGGTGGATTTTTGTTTGCAGTTTTCTCCTCTCTTCCTCTGTCAATTGGCCAAGAAAGATTGCTGAGAAGAGCAAGGTCTCTGAAGGCAGATTAAACCAGGGCCCTGATCAATCTACACATGACACTTTCACTCCTCTATCCCTGTTTACTTTTGTCTCTAAGATTAAGTTCATTTCCTTAGTCTGCCAACTAAAGCAATAAGATCTGGCTGCAGCCACCCTTTAAAGCTTTGTTATTCTTCCCCAGACTTTGTGTGCTTCAGCCACATTCTGCTACTCTGTGTTGTTTGAATAAGCCTCCATCTTTTGCTCATGTTCCATTTTCTCTCTAGAATACCCGCCACCTTATCTATCCCAGCTGGCCTGTCTGAAGCCTTCAGCCTTCAAGCCTCAGCTCAAGGGTGCCACCTCCTGGAAGTCTTCCCTTATGACTTTTGCTAGCCGGTTGCAAAGTGATGCCTCAGTCTCCTACACTCCCATGCCATGGGCGTCACTCTTGCAACTGTTAGCACATTAGCCTGTGTCAGAGCTTTACGGTGTATGCATCTTCTCCTGCTCTAAGCATGAATTCCTTAGGGACAGGCACGAGTCTTGTTCATCTCAGTAGTGCAGCCACCAGCCAGGGCCATGTGTGCCATGATGTTCACTTCAGCTATCTACTTGCTGACATCCTGCCTTAAAATAGGCACCTTTCGTTCCACAGGGACCTGAGAAATATCCAAAGGGGGGCTATGGGTTTTCCACTCACCTTGGAACTCAGCCAGGCTTCTCTTGCCTTATGCCTTAGACTTTTTGATGGGCTGGGCCCCTTGTCTTCCAGTTCTCGTCAGCCAATTACTTGCACAGTTTGAGTTAGCTTCCAGCCTCATGGTAGGCCCTGTGGGTGATTGCATGGTACCATGTTTGTCTTCCCTTCTGGTAGTGCAGAGGCAGAGGAGAAAAAGTGTTAGTATGGTTTAAGGAGTCCAGTGTAGGAGCCCAGCCTCTGTGCTGGGCTGATCTGACCCAGTGCTGTGGGAATCCATCAGAAAGAGGATGAGTGAGGTAGGGTTACCTAGAAGAGGAGGATCTGGACTCTAAGAGGGGGAAGAAGGGCCAATGAGAAGTAATTGAGAGTTGCTCTTGTAAGGTGTATTAAATTACCAGCACCTTGCCCCCATGCCAGCTTCTCACCCAAGAGAGTCCTCATATTTTATGGAGGGGGAAATTGACTCTGAAGAGATTTAAGAATTTAACTTTTACCTGAGTTGGAGATAGAGCCAGAACCAGAACCCAGCTTTTCTGTTCTCCATTCACATCCTTTTACAAATTCCTCCTGAGCAGAGAATCCAATTTTTACTTCTTTGAGTTTCCTCAAAAATTGGGACTCTAGGTCTGTGTGGAAACACTAAACTGGTGCATGGTGGATTGCTCCCATCGGATAAGGTGTGCCCTCTAGTTCTTCACCATTGTTCTGGCTCTCCCTTTTACTTCTTGACTCTGAGACCAGATATCAATCACCATTTATCATCAAACTTGCAGTAAGGTTTTTCTTATGGTAGAGTCAAGAGCAAAGCAAGCTTTTTTTTTTTTTAAGATTTTATTGATTTATTTGAGAGACAGCATGAGCACATGAGTGGGGGGGAAGGGCAGAGGGAGAGAGAGCAGCAGATTCCCTACTGAGCAGGGAATCTGACGTGGAACTCAATCCCAGGACCCTAGGATCTCGACCTAAGTTGAAGGTAGATGCTTAACCAGCTGAGCCATCGAGGCGCCCCAAAGTGAGCAATTTCTTGAATTTGTGTCTGTCACAAAAAGGAAAGTAGAAGATAGATGGATTAGGTTTGGTCATATTCAATAGAAAATCAATGAACTGGCTTAAAGAAGAAAAGTTTATTTCTCTTATATAAGAGAGCTAGGATATAGGTGGTCCAGGGCTGGTATGGAGTCTCCACCATCATCAGGAACTTGCCCTTCCTTCCTTCCTTCCTTCCTTCCTTCCTTCCTTCCTTCCTTCCTTCCTTCCTTCCTTCCTTCCTTTTTTAAAGATTTTATTTATTTATTCATGAGAGACACACAGAGAGAGAGAAAGGCAGAGACATAGGCAGAGGGAGAAGCAGGCTCCATGCAGGGAGCCCGATGTGGGACTCGATCCTGGGACTCCAGGATCATGCCCTGGGCTGACTGCAGACGCTCAACTTCTGAGCTACCCAGGTGTCCCGTGCTCTTTCTTTCTTTTTGCAGCCTATTTGGTTTCTGGCATCCATCCTCAGGATTGCCTCATGGTCCAAGGTGGCTGCTAGAACTTCAGTTATCACATTAGATTCAAGGCAGGAAGAAAAGATTGGGTAAAGGGGGCACATCTAATTGTATTACCTTCTTTTAAACATCTTCCCACAGGTCCCACACAATAATTGTGCCTACAATTCATTGACCAAAATTTAGTCATACTTAGTTATAAAAGGAGGGAAAAAAGAGGCATGTTGTTCCCCTTTCTCTTAAATAAAATTAGAGTTCTATTACTAAGGAATGAGAGAAAAATAAATTTTGATTAAATAATGTGTAGAGGGGATCCCTGGATGGCTCAGCAGTTTAGTGCCTGCCTTCGGCCCTAGGCATGGCCCTGGAGTCTCAGGATCAAGTCCCACATCAGGCTCCCGCATGGAGCCTGCTTCTCCCTCTGCCTGTGTCTCTGCCTCTCTCTCTCTCTCTCTCTCTCTCTCTCTCTCTCTCTCTCTCTGTGTCTCTCATGAATTAAAAACTTAAATTTAATTTAAAAAAATTTAAAAAAATGTGTAGAATTTTTTCTAAGCTGGAGAGAGAGACACATGTTTCAAAAAAGTAGGAGAAAGCGTATTTATTTAGAAATATTCATATTTGAGGGATCCCTGGGTGGCGCAGCGGTTTGGCGCCTGCCTTTGGTCCAGGGCGCGATCCTGGAGACCCGGGATCGAATCCCACGTCGGGCTCCCGGTGCATGGAGCCTGCTTCTCCCTCTGCCTGTGTGTGTCTCTGCCTCTCTCTCTCTCTCTCTCTCTCTCTCTGTGACTATCATAAATAAATAAAAATTTAAAAAAAAAAGAAGGGGAAAAAAATAAATATTCATATTTGGTCTGTTTTATTTATTTACATATCCATTCTGGCCTGGGGAGGTGGTTGCCCTTGCAACCCCTGTTCTAGAGTACCTAGTACTGTGCCATGTACATAACAAACATTTCTTCTCCCCTTGCCTCTCCTCCTGGGATTTGTATTGATTGGCTCTGCCTGAGAATTGTTTTGGCTCTTTATCAGCACCATTGCTGGTGGGATGTTTTGTTTGGCTATGACCTTGAAGTTTCTTTATTCTCACAGACATAAAATGTCCATACTACCCACAGCCATCTATAGATTCAGTGCAATTCCTGCCAAGGTTCCAATGGCATTTTTTTTTCAGAATTAGAAAAAAAAATGCTAAATTTTTTTTCTTTAAAGATTTTATTTATTTATTCATGAGATACACACACACACACACACACAGAGAGAGAGAGAGAGAGAGAGGCAGAGACACAGGCAGAGGGAGAAGCAGGCTCCACGCAGGGAGCCTGACGTGGGACTCGATTCCGGGACCCCAGGATCACACCCTGGGCTGAAGGCGGTGCTAAACCGCTGAGCCACCGGGGCTACTCACATTGTTAAAATTTCTATTCCTGGGGATCCCTGAATGGCTCAGCAGCTTGGCACCTGCCATTGGCCCAGGGCACGATCCTGGAGTCCCAGGATCGAGTCCCGTGTCAGGCTCCTGGCACGGAGCCTGCTTCTCCCTCTGCCTGTGTCTCTGCCTCTCTCCTCTCTCTCTCTCTATGTCTATCATGAATAAATAAATAAAATCTTCAAAAAAAATTTCTATTCCTACAGGCAATCTTGCTGCCAATGATCTGTCCACTTCTCGAACAGGCAGACTACAGAGGGTCCTTCGCAGCTATGTGCCTCAAGATATCAGGGATAGAAATCGGGTTCGAGTCACCTCATGGGATGGCAGGAAGTGGGGAGAACTGGAGGGAGACACCTATGACCGGGTAAGTGATTCCTGATATCCAGCTAGTCAAATCTGGCCTTCCCATCCCAGCACCAGGCCCTGAGAAGGTGGGATCCAGACCTCCATGTTTGAGGATGTACGGCCATTTCTGGACCTGGCCCGTGCTCTGTGGGTGATTGGGAGAACAGAGTCTGCACATCTGCACAATCGTTGGTGTTATCTTCATTAAAGACAGTTAGCAGGAAAGAGTTTGAACCTGAGTGGGAAAGGAGTTTTTAGACTTATTTTATTTCTCAACTTCTTTGGTTGGTGAGAAGCCCTCATTAAAATAAGTATGAATAACCTAATTTATTTTTGAATATTAATACAGCACATGGTGTAAAATTCAGAAGGTGCTTCCCTTTTACTTCTGTCTCTCAGCTATCTTTCCTCTCCCCACAGATGATCATTGTTTTCATCTGTATCCTTTAAGAAGTATTCTTTGTGGATATACAAATACAAGTGTGCATGTGTGTTGTTGGGTTTTGTTTTAGAGAAAGTGTGTGTGCACATGCGTGTGTGTGAGCAGAGCATGGGGCAGAGATAGAGTCTCAAGGAGGCTCCACACACAGTACAAGCTTGATGTAGGGCTCGATCTCATGACCCTGAGATCATGACCTGAGCTGAAATCAAGAGTCCAATGCCCAACTCACTGAGCCCACATAGGTGTTCCAGTGTGTGTGTATTTTTGAATAAAGGAATGGTGGTGTATTATTCTCACTATTTGAACTTTGTAGTTTTTTCATTTAATAATATACCCTGAGGTTCAGTCCTTTTTACTTTTATGCTTTTTAAGTATCATTGCTGGATAACAGTTTATATGGATGTAAGATTTTGACAGAGGCTACTAAATCACTCTCTGTGGGGGTTACATTGGTTTTGTTTCTACTGGTAATGTGTAAGAGTACTGTGTTCTCATATCCTGCCACCACTAGTATTATTAAACTTTTTGGGTTTTGCCAAACTGATAGCATCTAATTTACATTCTCTTATTATGAATGATGTTGAAAGTCATTTCCTATTTTTAAGTTACTTGTATTTTCTTTTAATTGGCATATTCTAAAAGTATTTATTAAAACATATGCTTCTAAAAATATAAAAAATATATAGCTATTGTCTCTCTTGTCATCTGACTTGTTGATCTGACCTGTTCAGTTTTCACTGTTCTGCCTCAACCACTCTAAGGCTTATAGAATCTTGGATAGGCTTAAGAGGCCTGCTTTTTGCCTGTGTAGGGATTCCGTATTCAGCTTTTTTGACATGGAGGTAGCAGAACAGAGTGGATAGAGCATGACCGCTCCTGTCCCCTAACCTGTTTCTGTACCCCAGGGTTGCCACTTACTGACTTCTGACAAGTTGCTTCATCTTGCTGAAATTTCAGCTTCTTCATTTGTAAAGTAGGAAATATTGCTACATAGGATTATCCAGACAATTCCTTGAGAGTATTTTAGGAAATACCTGACTATGAAGATTAGACACATAGCCATCATCGTAGTACCTGGCCATGAAGATTAGGCACATAGGATAGTACCTGGCCATGTACCTGGCCATGAAGATTAGACACATAGCCATCATCATTACTCAACTTGTGCTTGCATGCTTTCATTATCATTATTAATCTACTTGGAGTTTCTGTTTAACTAAAATTCATACATCTCTTCCACAGATGATTTTTTTTGAAACATAAATATAGGGCAGCCCTGGTGGCTCAGCGGTTTAGCGCCGCCTTAGGCCCAGGGTGTGATCCTGGAGACCTGGGATCGAGACCCATGTTGGGCTCCCTGCATGGAGCCTGTTTCTCCCTCTACCTGCGTCTCTGCCTTTCCCTCTCTCTCTCTCTCTCTGTGTTTGTCATGAATAAATAAATAAAATCTTTAAAAAAAAAAGAAACATAAATATAGGACTTTTGTTGTTGTTGTTTTAAAGCTTTTATTTATTCACAAGAGACACAGAAAGAGGTAGCGCCTTGGCTGAAGGCGGCGCTAAACCGCTGTGCCACCGGGGCTGCCCTTTTTTGTTGTTTTAATTTTTGTTTTTGTTTCTTGTGCCTAGCACAGAATATATAGGCTCTTAGTGGAGATGCATAAGTGATTTTATATTTCTCACTTTAAAATTTTTCCATATTGGATATGATGTTTCAGCATAAAATAATTTTGAATCCCGATCCTGTTATTCAGTATATTAGCTACCTTCTGGGCATTGTATCATCTGTAAATTGGATGTTTCATTCAAGTAGCTAAAGACGGAGCCAAAGACAGAACCCTAAAGGATGAAAGACTTTCTAGGAGCACTTAGTTGGCTCAGTTGATAGAGCATGCAACTCTTGATCTCAGCATTATAGGTTCGAGCCCCATGTTGGGTGTAGTGATTACTTAAAAATAAAAATCTTAAAAAAAAAAAGACTTCTTTCTAGGTCAGTATTAGTTATTTAATTATAGTTATTTGGGCATTGGCTTTGGTTTTTTTGACCAGCCACAAGTATACCTAAATATACTGTGTTAAATAACCAGGTTAAAATGAGAAGCTTTGTTAGGTTCTCTGCATCTGAAGGATGGGCAGAGGGAACACTGCGTGAAACCTCTCTGGGCAAGGGTATAAGGAAGACAGCCTGTAAGGAGCTCTGATACTGTATACCCTTCAACACTTCTGGCAGGTGCTGGTGGATGTGCCCTGTACCACAGACCGCCATTCCCTTCGTGAGGAGGAGAACAACATCTTTCAGCGGTCGAGGAAGAAGGAACGGCAGATGTTGCCTATGCTTCAGGTGCAGCTGCTCGCGTGAGTAACAGATTTACAAAAACTCAGGCCCCGGTGCCACAGGGCTCCAGGGGGCCGGTCACCTGGGGGATTGGAAGCTCTTGCCACAACCATCACTCACAGAAGGGTCTTCTGGCTGAGGAACAACCTGGAGGAGACAGACGTGATAGGAGGGTCCTCTGGAGTGTGAAAGCCCTACGTGGTAGGACACACAGAGCAGGGTGGGCCGCACAGATTTATTATATTACCTTACCTCCTTGCTCGTCCCAGTTCTAGTGAGTAGCACAAGTTTGAGAGCTTGAAAAAAGTTACTGAAGTCAAGGCTCTGTAGGGCTGGTAAGGACTCGATGCACAGGTAACGTCAGATTTTGGACCATAACCAGAGTCAGAGTTCAGGGGATTGCTTTCGGAGGAGGGCCTGTGGAGTAGGGCCGGGTTGTTCCCTACTTTGAGAATGACTTTTCCAGGGGCATCTTTTTTTTTTTTTTTAATTTTTATTTATTTATGATAGTCACACACACAGAGAGAGAGAGAGGCAGAGACACAGGCAGAGGAAGAAGCAGGCTCCATGCACCGGGAGCCCGACATGGGATTCGATCCCGGGTCTCCAGGATCGCGCCCTGGGCCAAAGGCAGGCACCAAACCGCTGCGCCACCCAGGGATCCCTCCAGGGGCATCTTTGTGTAAGGGGCTTCAGAGGCTAACACAGCTGCCCATCCCACAGTAGACTCCACTCACCATGCTTCCAGCTCCTTCCATTGTCCTCCTGCTTCTGGGAACTCAGTAGTTACCTGTTTTTCTCTTTCTGGTTTCAGGGCTGGACTCCTCGCCACCAAACCAGGAGGCCACGTTGTCTATTCCACTTGTTCACTGTCACACTTACAGAACGAGTATGTGGTGCAAGGCACCATAGAGTTCCTGGCCAATCAATACAGCATCAAGGTTCAGGTGGAAGACCTGACTCACTTCCGAAAGCTTTTCATGGACACATTTTCTTTCTTCCCATCCTGCCAGGTTGGGGAGCTGGTAATTCCAAACCTCTTGGCCAATTTTGGGCCCATGTACTTTTGCAAAATGTGTAGGCTGACCTAGCATCACCCTATTCCTGAAGTCCTGGTGTGGGGAGGTGAAGGGTATACTCCCATGGCGGCACCAGAAACTGAGACCAGTGGCAAAGCTGCACCCTGGGTCCTATCTCCATCCTGTTTGTCTTTCTAGAGACAGTTTCCATCATTAGAAAATAGGAGTTTTTCCATCCTGCTGTCCAGTTGTGGAGCATCAGCAGGTTTCTAACTCACTTATTATACCCTCTCCCCCTATTTCTAGGCCTGTGCTAAAAGGTTCCTGCCCCATTAGGGGCTTAGGAGGAGGAGCCAGTGACGAGGCCCACACTTTAAGCTATAAACTTGGGAAGAAGCATTTAGCCAATAAAACTGTTGAAGCTCCACACACTGGGGCTGTAGTTGGGGTCTCACATTGGTCCAAGTACTGTTAGTTCCATTTGTACCAGCTGCTGTTACTGTGCTCTAGCTCCTAGGGCCCCGAAGCCCAGGAACTCAGCCTGGTTACAGACCTCTGGTTACAGAGCACCTCTCACACTTGGAGTTCTGTGTGATCAGTACTCAGCAACCAACGCGCCCAAGCGACCCTCTGTAGTTTCTTCAGGTGGCCCATGATCTAATTTAAGGAACAAGCAACTAAAAATGTTAAGCCAATCATGATAATCTGCTTACTTGCATGGAGAAAGCTCTCCCGAGCTGCATCATTGCAGCCACCTCCTGCTGTCCGTGTGGCTGAGAAAGCTGCTGCCACCACAGGGCTATGATCCTCTTCTGTGTGTTTCTGTCATTCTTCATTCATCTAGCAAGTATTCCTTGAGCTCCTGTAGGACAGGTAGCCAGGGAGCTGTTGGAGGTGTAGTAGCAGCTGGGAGATGAGACTCATCCATCTTTATGGCAGCTCTCCTCCTTTTGCTGAGCACCTAGGCATCTCCTGATGCCTTTTTCTGTTATATTATGCTTTTTTTGTTTTGTTTTTCTTGTTCCTGATCTGTGGCTGAGCTCCAGTTGTTTGGCCCATGACCAAATCCCTGAGAGCTATTCCCCAGTATCACAGGGGCTCACCTTCCAGAGGATGTGAAGTTTGGGGCAATATTATATCATTGCTGACTGTGTGCTCATTATGTTGTTTTTGTAACTTGAACATAAAAAGGTAATCCCTTAATGGCAGGGATATTAAAAATTGCTCGTGGTCACTTGCAAAATACTGCTTTTTTTAATTAAAATTTTTTTTTTCTGAAAAACTGATCCTTGTGCAGAAAAGGGAGTATAATTCTAGAACATTTGTGTTCTTGGTTCTCCCCACTTTCTTTATCCCTCCTCTTCCTCTTTCTGTCACTCATTTTGCTCTTTATACCTTTCCTGCCAATTCTTGTTTTGGTATTAGAGGTGTCAGCTGAGAAGGATTTTGGATAAGGTTAAGCCTTCTCTTTTCTTGGGATTTGCATTATAACTGAGGGCCGTAGAAGATCTTTCATACTCAAAATCAAGTGAAACTAGGAAGAGGGAGCCCCAGGGAGTAGAACTTTAATTAGCTTCTGTGTGTGATATGTGGTGCCTGCCTGCTGTTTGCTCTTAGTATTGGCTGAGACTGGGAGGCCTGGGTTTCTGCCCTTGGCCTCCTGGGTATCCAGCCTGGTGCTAACTGAATGCTAAGCAATGCTAATTCAGGAAGAGATTGGGTCTCCTGCCCCTGGGGTCCCAGTCTAACCTGGACAGACTGACCCAGCTTGGAAAAGCAAAGAATTACTTTGGAAAGAAGTTTGAATATCTCCTGTAATTGAACATTTACTTACCCTACAGCCCAGTTATTCCAATATTAGGGGTAAATCCAAGAGAAACTCCTCCATATACACTGGAAGATTTGTACAAGAATGTTCATAGCAATTCCAAAAGGAAATGCAAATGCCCATGAGCAGTGGAGTGGGCAAATAAACTGGAATATTCACACGATGGAATATTATATGGCTGTCGAATGAAGCACAGTGTTACATAATGATATAGATGAATCTTTATAATTAAATATTAAATAAAAAAGTTCAATCCCAAAAGATTAAATATAGCAATGATGCCCTCTAAAAAAAGAAAACAAAAATTTGTTATTATTTACATACAATATAATTGATCAATTTTAAATGGATTAATGAATTTTGAAAATTATACATAATAACAATCACCATAAAGTATAGAAAATAATTCTTTTTTTTTTTTAAGATTTTACTTATTTATTCATGAGAGAGAGGGAGAGAGAGAGAGAGAGGGGCAGAGACACAGGCAGAGGGAGAAGCAGGGAGCCTGACTTGGGACTCGATCCCGGGACTCCAAGACCATGCCCTGGGCCGAAGGCAGGTGCTAAACTGCTGAGCCACCCAGGGATCTCCAATAATTCTATCTTCTAAAAACCTTCCTCGTGCTCCTTTGTACTCAGTCCCTTTCCCCCCACCCATTCTTGGTCCCAGGAAACCACTGATCTGCTTTCACTATAGTTTAGCCTATTCTAGAGTTATTAATATGCCATTTAAAGTCTGAAGCTCGGGATCCCTGGGTGGTTCAGCGGTTTGGTGCCTGCCTTCGGCCCAGGGCATGGTCCTGGAGACCCAGGATCGAGTCCCACATTGGGCTCCCTGCATGGAGTCTGCTTCTCCCTCTGCCTGTGTCTCTGCCTCTCTCTTGATCTGTGTCTCCCATGAATAAATAAATAAAATCTTAAAAAAAAAAAAGTCTGAAGCTCCCCTGATGACTCCCAGGGTCACTTTCTTTACTGATGGTTTATAACTGGCCTAACTGGTTATGGGTGTCTGGCTTGATTATATGGCCAGAGTAGCATAAAAACCTTTCCTTGAACTTCTAATTTGAGCTCCCTCAAAGCCAAGATTCCTTACACAGACCATGGTGATTCAAACCAGAGACAGAATGCTTTGTTCCACATCCTTGCTAATACCTGGTATTGTCAGTTTTAAACTATATTCTAGTTGGTATCTCTGAGCATCTCATTGTTTTAATTTGCATCTCTCTCATGTTATTAGAGTTAAGTACAACTAAGAATTTAAAAACCTTTTTAAAGAACATATATGCAGTAAAACTATGTAAAAAGGATGGAAGGATTCTCACTGTGGGATTCAAGATAATGGTTCCCAGGTAAGGGGGATTGGTTGGAGCTGGAGGGAACATATTGTTAGATTAGGTTATTGTCAACTAAATTAGTAAAAAGCTATGCATTAAAGGATGTTGTACATGAAAAAAATGTATAATGAAAAAGGATTATGATTAATTCAATTTTGTGCATGTGATGATCAAAGAAATAGAGGAGGGGGCAGAGAACAAGGTCACAAAGTATAATAATGCCAAATGTGGCTTGATATGGGCTGTGGGAGGGGCTCCATCTAGAGACCTGGAAGCCTAGCAATGTGCCTCAGTCTTGCTTTGTAAGTTTCCCTTTCTGTGTGATATCCAACAACCCATCCTTGGCAGAGGACCAAGTGTTGGGGCAGCCATGGGTTACATTAGAGAGATGGCTTGGGTCTGTGGTCTTCACCTTGTGGGGGGCAGAGATCATAAATCTGAGAGATTGGTAAAAGCCTTGGCATTCTCAGGGGAAAATGCATTTTACACATAGTCTCAGGGGTTTGAGCATTCCCTGAAGACCATCCACAAACCCCAAGGTGAAAACTTTTAGGGAAATAACCAAAAACTTTGGGTTAGAAGGTCTCAGGATTTGAGAGTCTTTAGAGGAGGGCAAGGGGAATAACAAATCACTATTCTCTCTTCTGCCAACCTGCTCTTCCTTCCCGTGTGCAGTCCTCACCTCCCAACACAGTGCTGCCAGGAGCCTGCTGCCCAAGCTGGGAACTGCTGCTACCCTTGATGCCTCACTCCTAACAGCAGTGGCAGTAATCACTACTGCTTGTTGAGCAGTTGTCTGTCCCAGGCCGATGCTAAGCCCTGTTTTATAGACATCATTCTTTCTTGTCCTCACAAAAACCCTGAGAGATAGATACTCTTTGTAGTTCCATTTTATAGGTGAGGAAACAAGCTTAGACCACTTGTCACTTTCAAAAAATCACACAATCTGAAAATTCTCTCTTGCTCTCTCTAAAGTAGACCGAATTATTCCTTCCTCTCTGCTTCCTCGCACTCTGTATATCCTATGAATGTAGCACTTCCTGTTTGTTTTTTCTCCTCGGCCCATCCCCAGACTAGGAATTATTTGGGGTAGGAAGCTAATATTCTTTGCAGCCCTAACCCCCAAGCACCAATAACACGCTTGGTACCTAGTGAGGTAGGCAGTATCTGTTGGGTGTGAGGTCCAATCCTATATGCTGGAGACAGTGGTGAACAAAACAGACAAGGTGGTTCTTCTCACAGGTTGTATAATCTAGTGGGTAAGCTAGACAAGTAACTCCCAATGAATTTCAACTAAGTGGAAAGTGAGCAGAGTACCGAGAAAAGTGTGGAGTGCGTTCACCCAGGGGACCTAACCTAGCTGGGGGAAGAGAGGTTTAAACAGACCTGAGGATGAGGAGGAGGGAGTTAAGGAGGCAGAAGGGGATGTGGGGCATGTTCAAGAGAACAAGGCATATGACTGTGAAGCTTGCTCTGTGAGGCAAGAAGAGGGTATATTCCAGGACCTGAAAGTGGCCTAGTGTGCTGAAACAGAAGGGGATGGTTGTGGAACACAAGGTTAGAGAAGCAGGCCGAAGCCAACTGCACCCAGGCCTTGCAGGCCACTTGAAGGAGTGATGTTTTATCCTGAGTAATTGGAAGCCGTCATAGGATTTTTAAGCCAGAAAATGATCCGATCAGATTTCCTTGGGCCTCCCGCTGGGAATGTATCAATAGTATTTGCTGAATGAGGAAATTAGATAACAGGCTGAACAAAGCTGCTTCTGAAGGTCAGTCCTCTCTTTCAGCTTGCTCAGGCTTCATCCCTCCGAGTATGGGAGTCACTGAATGCCAAGCAGCTCAGACTGCATTTTGAGATGACACATTAGGAGGTACATGGGCAGGTGGGGAGGGCCTGAGGAGGAGAGGAAACTGAAAATCTCAGCCTGGGAAGAGGAGTCAAGGGGATTGAGAGTATTAAACCAGGAGAGGGGAACACCTGGGGAAGAGAGACGCCTTCCTCAGCTGGACTGTTCTGAGGCAGGGTGGGCAGAGGTGTATTGAGTGTCCACAGGGGTAGAGTTGGGCCAGTGGTAAGAAGTTGTGGTCCGGATTGCAGATCACCATAAGAAACCTTCAAGCTAGTGTGTTCTTTTTTTTTTTTTTTTTTTTCTCCCAGATTTTATTTTTAAGTAATCTCTGCATCCAGTATGGGGCTCCAACTCACAACCCCAAGATCATGAGTCGCACAGTCCACTGACTGAGCCAGCCAGGTGCCCTGAAGCTAGTATTTTCTGAACTATGGTTCACAACCATGACTCATCAGTGGCCATGAAATCAGTTTTGTGGGTATGGTAGGCCATAGGACTTTTCATAGATTCCTAAGTTACTCATCCTCCCAGGCCCTGGACAGAGTTGCCATCCCCACTCCCTCTGCAGTCAGGCATGGCCCTGTGACTTGCTTTATGTGATATTAGCAGAAATGGTGTTTTTCTTCTATATTTCTGGATGGAAACTTTGAACGTGAGCATCAGATTCACTGTATCATTCCCAACACAGGAACATTTGTTGAGATGGAATCTGCATCTGCTTGAGTGCCCAGGTGACCGTCCTAAGTGGAGCCCCCATGGACCTGCGTGAGGCTTGTGGCAAGAGTGAAAAATATCCATGGTTGTGTGAAGCCACGGAAAGTTTGTGTTGTTACTGAAGTAGAACTTGGTCTGTTCTGACTGATGCAGCGGGCATAGTCAGCTATGAAAAACCTCCACATTTTTATTTTATTTTATTTTATTTTATTTATTTATTTATTTATTTATTTATTTATTTATTTATTTATTTATTTATTTTTATTTATTTATTTATTTATGAGATATTTTATTTATTCATGAGAGACACACAGAGAGAAATAAAGGCAGAGGCACAGGCAGAGGGAGAAGCAGGCTCCATGCAGGGAGTCGGACATGGGACTCGATCCTGGATCTCCAGGATCATGCCCTGGGCTAAAGGCAGCGCTAAACCACTGAGCCACCCGGGCTGCCCACCTCTGCGTTTTTAATAAGAGAGAATAGAAGAGAAAATATCAGATGCATCCCAATCTGTAGTGATGGACAGCAGATCAGTGGTTGCCTAGGTGGGCTAAGGGGAGGACCAGACTGGGGTGCAAAGATAAAAAGAATAAATGGATTAAATATGACAGGGGCTTGGATGGATCCATTATGATAATGTGCTATAAACTGAGGAATGTGATGGACTCAATCATCTGTACCCGAGGGAACAAAAGAAAGATTGGACCACAGGCAAAGGTGGGTAAAGGTGCTGGTGGTGTACATATCCTATGGAGCTGAGTAGGATAGTAGGATGGCCTCCTCCCGGGAGGCCTCTCCCCTGATCCAGAGGGCTGACTGGTCAGGAGAAGGGACTGTGAACAAGAAGTGGGCAGTTCATTGGGACTCCTACAATATCAATGTTCCCCCCCCTCCCCCTTTTTGGATCTATCATAGGGGACCAGAGTACAACTCCTTTCTGTTCCATTCCTACTAAGCCCTAATGCCCTTAGTGGTTGCTCTTCCCAGACTGGAGCACTTTATTTCCAGAGTATTTCTCCAGACTCAAACCTGGACTGTTACTTACTTACTTACTTACTTACTTACTTACTTTACTTTATTTATTTATTTATTTATTTATTTATTTATTTATTTATTTATTTTAAAGATTTATTTACTCATTCATGATAGACAGAGAGGGAGAGAGAGAGAGAGAGGCAGAGACAGGGAGAGGGAGAAGCAGGCTCCATGCCAGAAGCCTGACGTGGGACTGGATCCCGGGACTCCAGGATCACGCCCTGGGCCAAAGGCAGGCGCCAAACTGCTGAGCCACTCAGGGATCCCGTCTCTTATTTATTTAGTTTTGAAAAAGATTATTTATCTATTTATTCATCACACACACACACACACAGAGGCAGAGACACAGGCAGAGGGAGAAGCAGGCTCCATGCAGGGAGCCTGATGTGGGACTCCATCCCTGGTCTCTAGGATCACATCCTGGGCTGGAGGTGGCGCTAAACCACTAGGCCACCGGGGCTGCCCCTCCTCTCTTATTTTAATGGAGAAGATAATTGTGAGCTTTATCTGCCATCTGGAACCTGAGGCCTCTGAATTGGGTCTTAAGGGATGAATAGAAGTTTCCAGGCATTGTGTGTTTCAGGCAAGGGTGGTTAGAAAAAGAGTATGGAGGAACACTGGGCATTAGAGGTCAAGCGAATAGGGTCACCTGGGTGGCTCAGTGGTTGAGCATCTGCCTTTGGCTCAGGTCATGATCCCCGGGGTCCTGGGATCGAGTCCTGCATCGGGCTCCCCTCAGGGAACCTGCTTCTCCCTCTGCCTGTGTCTCTGCCTCTCTCTCTGTGTCTCTCATGAATAAATACAATCTTTTAAAAAAATTTAAAAAGAAGTCAAGGGAATAGTGTATTCAAAGGCACAGGACAACACTGAGGACTAAAGTGTTTGAGGAAGGCTGAGAAGTTAGCTAGGACCCTTCTTCATACTTGTGCTCATCCCAACAGCCTACCAGAACCATGAGATACTGAGTTTTAACCCTATCTATGTTCACCCAACTCCCAGAACCAAAAGTGGGCATCTGCTAGAACCGTGGGTTCTCTCTTGGATGCCCCAGTTTGTGAAGGAAGTTCTTTTTTTTAAAAATTTTATAAATTTATTTTTTATTGGTGTTCAATTTGCCAACATATGGAATAACACCCAGTGCTCATCCCATCAAGTGCCCCCCTCAGTGCCCGTCACCCAGTCACCCCCACCCCCCGCCCACCTCCTCTTCCCCCACCCCTAGTTCGTTTCCCAGAGTTAGGAGTCTCTCATGTTCTGTCTCCCTTTCTGATATTTCCCACTCATTTTTTCTCCTTTCCCCTTTATTCCCTCTCACTATTTTTTATATTCCCCAAATGAATGAGACCATATAATGTTTGTCCTTCTCCGATTGACTCATTTCACTCAGCATAATACCCTCCAGTTCCATCCACGTCGAAGCAAATGGTGGTTATTTGTCGTTTCTAATGGCTGAGGAATATTCCATTGTATACATAAACCACATTGTGAAGGAAGTTCTAAGCAGGTTGTTACCTGCTAGGGAAGAAGCCAGAGAGCTTGGTACTTGCCCATCCAGACTGCCAGCACAGGGACATCAGAGTCACTGCAGAGAACAGCTCTGCACCTGCAGTTTTCAAAGAGATTTACCGCGGTAGAGGCAGGAATCACACAGGTGAATCTCCAGCCCTGGAGAGCCAAGGGCAAGAGGCCAAGTGAGAGGAGGCCTCTTGGGGTTGTACTGAGGGTCAGCAGCAGGCAGCCCTGGAAGTTGTGGGGGGATCCTGGAAAAAGAGAGAAGGACTGGAGTCCCTTGAGGGAACCTTGGGTGGCAGATTTGTTTTAGATACAAAGAAACTAAATCCATCTCTAGTCAAAATTTTGAATGTCCCTCAAAGGGATACTGATCTGCTTTACAAAAGCCATCTTCACTTTGCAAAATGATTCCCCAGATGAGCTTTAACACAGATTTATGTTAGGATTTAACTTCCATGCAACCTACCAGTAATATGCTCTCTGTGGAATAAGAGGTAAACGTGTAATAATGGTCCACCAGTGCTTCTCAAGAAGGGATGCGTGTGCTTTTCCGCACGTCTGGCTTTCAAGAACTGCTTTGCCACCCACCAGGTGATGTCTCCCACGCCGTCTTGGAGAGAAGAGCTTATGGCATATGAGCTGACTCAACACTCATACTGATGTCACCAGATCTAAAAGAAAAATATGCAGCTTTCAGGATCAAAATAAAAATGTTTCCCTAGTAAAACTGCTACTGCCTGTGGCTCATTTCTAGTCACATTATTTTATTATTTTATTTAATAGGCCTTTGCTAGACATCAGGCACTGTTCTATACACTTTACTGACATTAACTCATTTAATTCTCATAACCACTGAGGTAGTACAATATCCCCATGTTACAGATAAGGAATCTCAGGGGCAGAATGGTGAGGAAATTTACCCCACAGTTTCAAATACATTTAGGAACGAGAAAGCAGAGCATGTGTGAATGTCCAAAGAGGGCATGGGCTACAGCAGGTTGAGGAACACAGATTTAAGGTGAGGTGTGGTTGATGTGTTTCCAAGCTAACAAATAGGGACTTTTTTTTTAATTTTTTTTTTATTTATTTACGATAGTCATACAGAGAGAGAGAGAGGCAGAGACACAGGCAGAGGGAGAAGCAGGCTCCATGCACCGGGAGCCCGACGTGGGATTCGATCCCAGGTCTCCAGGATCGCGCCCTGGGCCAAAGGCAGGCGCCAAACCGCTGCGCCACCCAGGGATCCCCTAAATAGGGACTTTTAATAACAGTTCTAAAGTCTCGATGTCTGGGCAGCCTGGGTGGCCTAACGGTTAGTGCCGCCTTAGGACCAGGGCATGATCCTGGAGACCTGGGATCAGATTCTACGACGGGCTCCCTGCATGGAGCCTGCTTCTCCCTCTGCCTGTGTCTCTGCCTTTCTCTGTGTCTCTCATGAATAAATAAAATCTTAAAAAAAAAGTCTTGATATCTGTGTCAGCAGCGAGTCTCAAAGATCAGGTTAGACGGATGGTTGGACACCCCCCCCCCAACAAACACACTGGCTATATTAGCATTGAGCAAGTTGCTTGTTGTCATGTGGGCAATGGGGATCAGTTAGCTATTGCTTTGTGACAAATTAGCCTCAACAGTAGTGGTTTAAACACCATTATTATTCTCTGAGCCTACTGGGGGACTGGTGGTTCTGCTGAGCTAAGCTGGTTTTGGTTAGACTCATTCGTGTATTTGCATGTGAGTGGCTCTGCTTATCTTGGCTGGGTGCTCTCCTCTGGGTTAAGGGCCTGAGCAGGGACGACTGGGCTGAGTAGGTTCCTTCACATATGGTCTCATCCTCTGGCAGTCTGGCTTGCCATGACTTGTTCTCATGGCAGCGGCAGGCTTCCAGGAAAGGGAAAGAAAATACTCTTGCAGCCTAGACTCAGAACTAGCACAGCATGCCTTGCACTGCACTCTGTTAAAGCAAGCCCCAAAGGTCAGCCCAGGCTTACAAGGGCGAGAAAATAGATTACACCCCCTGATGGGAGGAGCTATAAAGTTATTTTACAAAAAAGCATAGAGCTAGAAAGGGGTGGAGTATTGGCGTCATTTATGTAATCAGCTTACCGCGGGAGACAGACTTCCCTAACCCAGAGGACAGTGTGGGGGTTGGGGGGGTCTTTAAGGTGGTAAGGAGGCTCAGACAGCTGAGGTCAAAGACAGTGCTTTGAAAATTATAAAGCACCCCACAAGTAATGCTTCAGAGTATGGTATCCTACCTGTGGGACTGTGAGTTCCTTGGAGAAGGGCTGTGTCCCTCTCCTGCCCACCCCTGAAGTACCAAGGAAAGGCTCAGATAAGCGAAAAGAAACAGAGAAGGGGCACCTGGGTGGCTCAGTGGTTGAGTATCTGCCTTTGGCTCGGGGGGTGATCCCGGGATCCTGGGATTGAGTCCCGCATCGGGCTCCTTTCATGGAGCCTGCTTCTCCCTCTGCCTGTGTCTCTGCCTCATCTTAAAAAAAAAAAAAAAGAAAGAAAAAAGAAAAAAGGAAATGGAGAAGCACAGCAGTTGCTGGCAACAGGGGCACACTCTGTGTTCTCACCCCCAGAACAAAGACAGACTTTAAACCCTCTGGAATCTGAGAAGCTCCCTTCCCTTCTACAAGCTCTCCTTGCCCTTCTTGCAACCCTGCTCCCACCACCCAGGGGACCTGGCAGGGTATTACCTGTCTTCCCAACAACGGAGGACACACAGGGATGACTTGCTGAAGGTCACCAATTAATGGGGGAGGATACCCTGCTCCTGCTCCAGGAGCCACCAGGAGCCTGAGAGATTGCTCTTACCTGGAACAACTCTCCCTGTACCACCTGAGTGCAGGTACATGCTGTTCTGGCTCACAGAATGGTATGGTGTTGATTAGTGAATGCTTTCTGGATAACACAGGTGGAGCCCTGGAAACCATCCCCCCTGGATCCTCGCATCTGCTCGCTCTTCCATTCTGTGGCCTCTGCCTCCCGCTCTTCCTCCACATTACTTTCTCCAGACACTGGTAGGCTTGCATCACATTTCTGGTTACTAATGAACTAATGTTTACTGAGCTCTTACAGTGGGCCGGGTGCTATTCTAACTTCTTGCCTTGATTAAACTCATTTAATCTTTCCAGTTTTGTGAGGTAGTCACTAGTATTATCCCCAATTTTACAGATAAGGAAACTGAGGCACAAGAGGTTAAAGTGACTTATTCAAGGTTTTTAAAAAAGATTTTATTTATTTATTCATGAGAGACACACAGAGAGGGGCAGAGACACAGGCAGAGGGAGAAGCAGGCTCCCCATGGGGAGCCCGATTTGGCACTTGATCCCAGGACCTCAGGGGTTAGGACTTGAGCCAAAAGCAGGTACTCAACCAACTGAGCCACTCAGGCATCCCTCAAGGTTACTTGGTAAGCAAGTGTCAAACTTAAGAGTTGAGCTCAGGCAGTCTGGTTCCTGAGCTTGTGCTTCTCAGGCCAGAAAACACTTCTCTGTAGGTCTCTATTTTTTTAATGATAAATAATAATAATAATAATAATAATATGATTAACATGTATGGAACCCTTGCTATATGTTGGGTCCTGTTCTGTGTTATGTGCATTAACTCATTTTGATTCTTATAATACTAGAATTGAGGGAGAGGTTACCATTATTGTCCTCATTTTATAGGTAAGGAAGTGGGCACAGTCACACAACAGGGATGGGTTGCCAGACACGTTAGCCTCAGAGCAGAGCTTTATGTATCTGTTCTATATGCTTCCCCCAAGGGTTGTTTAGCCCAGGGCCCAGCATCCAAAGGCTCTTTGGGTTTATGCAGAATGATTGCTGCATTTCCACCAAAGTATATCTTTGTCTCTTGGTCTATGCATGATTTTTCTTCCCAACCAGACCTTGAGCTCCACAAGGCCACATCTGAGGTCTGGTACTTGCCTCCATTTCCCCAGCTCACAGCAAGAGTTCTATTAATTAGTAGCAGGAGTCAGTGGCGGTCTGTTGAATCAAACCACAGAACGTCAGAAGGTGAAGGGACCCTCTCTCAGAGGAATGAAGTGGCCATCCACCTTGACCTGCACATTAGAATTGATCCAGGAGTTGCTATCTTGGGTTCCAGACCCCACCCAGATCCCCCAGATCTGTTCCATAAATTAAATCTTGGGACACTTGGGATGCTCAGTGATTGAGCGCCTGCCTTTGGCTCAGGACATGATCCCGGAGTCCCGGGATCGAGTCCCGCATCAGGCCCCCTGCATGGAGCCTGCTTCTCCCTCTGCCTGTGTCTCTGCCTTTCTCTCTCTCTTTCTCTCTCTCTTTCTGTCTCTCATGAATAAATAAAATCTTTAAAAAAATAAATTAAATCTTGTTTAATATGACCCCAGGAAGCTACTACTTAGAGCAACCATCATCACAGCAAAGAAATACAAGTGAGTATTTTGTCAATGGTGCTCCTAAATTAACAAATTTTGGCCCAACTCACAGCAGGTTACAAACTTCATGATTAAGCCTCAGAATGGCCATCGTGTCTCCACTTTATTTTTAAACGATTTTATTTATTTATTCATTAGACACACACAGAGAGAGAGAGAGAGAGAGAGAGAGAGAGAGAGTCAGAGACACAGGCAGATGGAGAAGCAGGCTCCATGCAGGGAGCCCCACATGGGACTTGATCCCGGGTTTTCTAGGATCATGCCCTGGGCTGAAGGCAGGCGCTAAACCGCTGAGCCACCCTGGGCTGCCCGGTGTCTCCACTTTAATCTTAAATTCTTTCTTGAGAGGGAGAGTGCTTCAGAAAGGATGCTTCTCATTTTACAAAAGGGAAAACTGAGTTACCCAAGGTCACCCAGAAAGCCAAGCGTTGAATCGAGGGCTAGAATCCCTCTATCAGGAAATGGATTTAAATGACCTTGCAAGACCTACTTCAGATTGGGGTTTCCATCATCCTGCTTTGTCAGCTCTCCTAGGGAAACTGAGGTCCAGGGAAACTTACAAAGGGCTACTAAGTAGGAACTCAGCAGCTTTCAACTGGGATTGAAGACTTAGAAACACAAGGCCTTGGACCCCTCCAGAATATGCTCAAGGGCCTGACAGCAACTTACAAAAAGACCCTCAGGTTCAGATTCTTCCAATACCATGTGTGAAAACTCACAAAAGGAAAATGCATTTATTATTTTATTTTTAAAGTAAACTCTGCACCCGATGTGGGGCTCAAACTCATGACCCCCAAGCTCAAAAATCACATGTTCTAGCAACTGAGCTGGCCAGGTGCCTCGGAAAACCTCATTTCAAGTGGAGTCACCAGGTCAGAGGGAAGAGCTCTCCTGCCCTATCGCTCCTCAATTGCACAACCAACAGGATGAGACACATCTTAAAAATTCCTACTATTTTGGGCAGCCTGGGTGGCTTGGCGGTTTAGCGCTACCTTCAGCCCAGGGCCTGATCCTGGAGACACTGGATCGGGATCGAGTCCTATGTCAGGGTTCCTGCATGGAGCCTGCGTCTCCCTCTGCCTGTGTCTCTGCCTCTCTCCCTCCCTCTCTCTCTGTCTCTCATGAATAAATAAATAAAATCTTAAAAAAAAAAATTCCTACTACCCAGCTGGAGGAAAGAAAGTTTTTCTCCTCTCCCAGCAACAGCTCAGCCAATGAAAAGCTGCTATACCTCAATTTCTCAGTTTACTCCAATGGACTTTTTGTTTCTCGCAACCCTCCTAACTTCCCCCTTTCCTCTGTAAAAGAGAGTCCACTTTGTTTCCTAGACTTGCCTGTGGCTTTGGCCTGGCTTGGTTGTCAGGAGTTGCAACTCTCTGCTATTCTCAAATAAACCATTTTGCTGTTAAAATAACTGATAGTTTTATTTTTAAAGATTTATTTTTATTTATTTTAGAGAGAGAGGGTGGGGGGTGCTGACAAATGGGAAGGAAGAGAATCTCAAGCAAACTCTGGGCTGGGGAGGGCTGTACCGGTGGTGGGACTCATCCCCCTGACCCTGAGATCATGACCTGAGCCAAAATGAAGAGCTGGTGGACCCATGGACTGAGCCACTCAAGCACCCCACTGATAGTTTTATTTTTTATTTATCACATCTAGGCTCTTTGCAGGTAGGCCTTTATTCAGTCAATAAACATTTATGGAGGGCCTACTATGTGTCAGGCATCCATCATAAAGGACCTCACATACAGCTAACAATCCTGTGAGGTAGGCATCATAACCATCTTACCCTTTACATCTTAAGGCACAGATTCAGAGAGGTAAACATAGAACTGGAGTTAACCGCAGAGGGTTTCAGCAGACAGCATTTCCAGCCGCAAAGCACATTCCCACCCTGCATCCCACAGGGGTTCATTTCCAGGGTGCCATACTGGTGGTAAAGCTTGATGGTTAAGAGCAATGGTTTGGCACTAGAGCTAAGTTTCAGTCCCTACTCAGCCACGTGTGTGCCCACAGTTGTTTAACTCCTCTTGCCTTCAGTTACCTTATCTGTAAAATAAGAATAAAAAATGCCTTCCGGGGATGCCTGGGTGGCTCAGCGGTTCTGGGCCTACCTTCAGCCCAGGGCATGATCCTGCGGTCCCGGGATCGAGTCCCACATCGGGCTCCCTGCATGGAGCCTGCCTCTCCCTCTGCCTGTGTCTGTGCCTCTCTCTATGCCTCTCATGAATGAATAAACAAAATCTTTTTTAAAAAATGTAAGAATAAATCTTTAAAAAAATTAAAAATGCCTTCCTTATAGGTCTGTTGGGAGGACAAAAGCACATAAAGTCCTATGAGAGAGGCCTGGATGGGGGTGTTTGGTTTGTAGGTAACCCACCCCCTACCCCCTAATGAAGAGGGCCGGGTCCCCAGAGTCCTGACCAGGCGTCCTCCGTCCTCCGTGTGTAGAGTCCACGAGGGCCCATGACTGGAGAAGGCCAGTCTGTAGGAGGTGGCTGAGCCAAAGGACAAGTGATGGGTGGTCTGGCCACGAAGAAAAGCCCTGGGAGAGAGACTTGGGGTCCCGGGGTTGGGACAGGGAAGGGGCAGCAGCGGGGCTCCCCAGGGGCCTTCCTGTGCCCCTCCCACTGGTGCCCCGGGAAGCCCCGAGCACGGGACAGGTGGACGCCCAGGGAGGGGGGCCTGGAAAGATGCTTCGCAACTGTGTGCGGGGATTGAGCCCGTCCGCGAGCCGGATCGTCGGGCCCGGCCTTTCCCGCCGGGGCCTCGGCTGGTCGCGTCTTCCGGGAGCTGGCTGCTGGGGCTCGGGGCGGCGGTTGCGCGGCCCGCGCCTCCCCGCGGGGTGCGGCCCTGACCTTGACCGTTGCGCGCCGACGGCCGCGGGCCGCTGCCAGGCAACGAACGGCGCGTCTCCCCGCGGGCGGCCGCCGCGCCCGCCCCTCCCGCCCTTCCGCGCAGGCGGGCGCGGGATCCCCGGCGATCCAGGCCGGGTTTTGCGGCGGCGGGCGCGCGTGCGGGGCCCTCGTCCGTGGCTGCCGGCGTCGGTCGGCCGCGGGAGACCATGCTGCTGGACGAGCTGTGGGCCGCGCTGTCCGGCGCCTCCGGGGCTGCCCTGGCCTGCTGCTTGGTGGCGGCGGCCGTGGCCCTGCGCTGGTCCAGTCGCCGGCCGGCGAGGGGCGCGGCGGCCCGGGCGCGGCGGAGGCAGCAGGCGGCCCTGGAGACCATGGATAGGGCGGCGCAGCGCTTCCGCCTCCAGGTGACCGCCCGGGGACGGGGGACCGGGCGGGGGGCCCTGGCGGCATTGGCCGCACCCGCGCAGGTTTTGCTTTCGGAACCGCCCCGCGCGCTGCTGCGCTCCGAGCCCTGCGGAGTCCGGTGCCGCCGAGCGGGAGGCGGGAGCCCGCGGGGCCGCAGGTCGTGGGGGGCCGTCGCCGCGCCGGTCCGAGACAGAGGGCTTTGCTCGGGGTCAGTCCGAGAACCTCAGGACTGGTGGAACGCTGAGCTGCGAGGCTGAGAACCATCAGGAGAACCATTAGGATGCTCGGGGTTAGGACTTTGGAATCGGGGAGCGACGGGCAAGGGAACCCGGAGAGCTCCCAGTCCAGAGTCGTTGGTTGCCCGTGATGATCTTGAAAGCGAGCCAGAGGCGGACCGAGTGCAAGGGGCGCGCCCGGGCTGCTGTCGGCTCCCGCCGCCCTGCCCTGCCGCCCGGGGGGCCCTTCTCGGCCCTGACAGGCCGCCTTTTCCTTGAGCAGGTGTAATTCCAGCCCTTCCCTGGGTGACCTGTCAACAAGCTTTTCTCCTTCCGGATCAGCTCAGTGCGTGTTTAGGCGCCAGGGCCCTAGAGGAGGACTTCCACTCCAGGTGTTTGAGCCACCGGACCCAGGACCCAGCCAGAAGTCAAACTGATAAATTCTGAGACATGTTCCCACCTGCCGGGGGAGGAAAAACTTGCCACAGTTGTTTGTGATGGTGTGTGTTTGGTAGGACTCAGATCTGACAGGTGGGAGAGAAACCATTCCAGGTGACTGGGGACACAGCAGGAATCAGGAGGATGTGCCTGGGTGGGAGCCAGGGAAAGAGTCACAGAAAATTGCACCTAGAAGGCAATGCTCGCCTGCAGCAAGTGATTTTAGAGTTGGGGCAGAGCTGGAACCACTAGAACCTAGATGCCTGGCGGGACTCCCCAGCATCTCGTTCTAGAGAAGGGGAAGATATTGGGTAGGGATGGGCATCGGGTGGCTCTAGGGTTGACCATCTGCCCTTGGCTCAGGTCGTGATCCCAGGACGGGATCCTGCATCCGGCTCCCCATGGGGAGCCTGCTTCTCTCCTCACAGAGACACAGGCAGAGGGAGAAGCAGGCTCCATGCAGAGAGCCTGATGCAGGACTCGATCCCTGGACTCCAGGACCACGCCCTAGGCCAAAGGCAGGCGCCAAACTGCTGAGCCACCCAGGGATCCCCACATTTATTTGTTGAAGTAAATATGTATCTGGTTTCAGCCTCTATTCACCAAGCTGGCTGAAAAGCCCACCAAACTGACCACTGACCCTACCAGAGCCTCAGTTCTTCACTATCCAGTCCTTCTCTGGCTCAGCTCCCAGGTGCCCCCCTCAGGGATCCTGACAATGATACCCCGGCTCAGCCTGAAGACCCTCAGCTGCTCCCCAGACCCCAGGTCTTCGGCAACAGCTGGAACTGCAGCCAGTCTGTTCAACCAGCAAGAACTGTGTGGGGGCAGCCTCGGGGATCAGCCCACAGCTCCTGCCCGCCGAACTGCCCTCCTAGTCACAAGAAACCCACCGCAGGGGTGTGAGGTAGTAGAAGGGTGCGTCTTCCCCCCACTTTAGCTCCAAACACCAGGATCTACACAGTTTCCCTCTGGAGCAGCTGCCTTTCATTATTTTTAAGAACAAAATTTTCCAGGGTAGAAGTTTTGGCTCCAAAACGCAAAAAAGCTGTTCATGCACCCTCCTGGGGCAAGAAAGCCTGCTCTCAGAATAGCTTGGCTCTTCCAGGTGGGTGAAAAGTACTTTTTGATTTTCCTGTGGCTGTGGAGGAGAAAGAGCCATCTCAGTAGGCTCATTGGTTTGAATAGTCAGCCAAGGGATGGGATCTTGATGACAGTAGCTCCCAAGGCCCTGGGGGTAGGTGGTTTAGCTGAACTCAGTCCCTTGGGAACTTGGGACCAGGTCCTTCCTCCATCCTGCCCCCAAGTGCCTTTCTGCTTGGCTCTGGAGTGGCTGGGTGATGGGAATGTGGGTTTTGAGGCTGTCTCAGCAGCCTTTCTTCTGTTTGTTTTTTTTTTTTTTTTTCAGTCCTGCCCCAAAGAGCAAGGGGCAGTGAGGTTCGCAGGGCCCTGGTATCTCTCCAGCCTCATAGACTCCTGGCACCACTTGCTGGGAGCCCAGATACGGCTGGCATTCCCAGGCATTGCTGGAGGAGGGGGACCCCTAAGCATCTCTGGGATCCTCACAAAATGGTTCACCTCTCTCAGTTCTGGAACAACTCTAGAGTCAGGCCTGTTTCAGGTAACTCTCTGTTGACTATGTGAGGCTTAATCTGTAACAACTCTTTGCCCTTTTACCCCCCCTCCCCCGCGAACCCTACCCCCAAATGGGTTTTAATATCCTTTCTAGACTGAAGAGAGGGACTGCCATCACTGGAATAGGATGGCTGGGAGAGATGCCAGAGCAGCTGCGCAAGCCCCTGTGCCTTTGCGCTTGGAGTTTTACCCTGAATGCCTCTCCCCGACATCTCCTACAGCACCGCTTGTCAGAACCCCCCTGGTCTTAACAAATGCCACTTCCTTCAGTTGGATCTGTCATTCAGTCTCCTGGCCTTCTCCAGGCCCAGCTTGAACCTTTCTTTTAAAGCAAAATGATCCAGTAGATGAACCGAGGAAGAGTAGTTTTTGTTGAGACCAGTCTCCATGGCCTACATGACCAAATGGAAAAGATATCTTGAAATAGAACAAAAGGGATAAAAACACCATGAGGGAAAAGAAAAAAGACATGGAGGATGATGTAGGATACCTGAAATTGGGACGGTATGGGAATTCAAGGAGAAGGGACAGCTGCTGGGGGGACAGCAGGTCAGCAATGCTATAGTATCTGTCCCTTGGAAAGGACTGCTACAGGGGGCCACACGCTTAGTTAGAACTTATTTGTACACTTCTCTGCATTCTCCATTCAAACTTTATTGCCTCCATGTTTGTAGACTGGCCTCCTGGGCTTTCTTGGGTGTCTTGTGAAAGAGGAAATGTCTCAGCTGCCTGATAACTAGTTGAAGACTTAAAAATAACTGTTAGCAATGGTGTCATCAGCCATCCAGATGAAAGAACACGAGACAAATTTAAAATTTGTGCTGAGAATAGAGGGGCACTTGCTGATAGCTCAGAGCTGAGGCGCACAGAGACTTTGTGGCGTCTTGTAGCAAGGTGGGAGATGCTGGTGACCAGACTGTTGGTGGTAATTATCCTAGTGTGATGGGCTCTCAGCTGATTTTTACTTTCTCCCCCATACTGTTAGGCACTTTTTTTTTTCCTACAGTGAGCACATTTATATAATCAGAAAAAAAAAAGTAAAGCAATTTTGCTATTTCCATCAGGAAGTGAGAAAGGCAAGGTGTAGTGAGTACTGTATCTATAATATGACTCCTTTGTGCAAAAATAGAATATATAAAAATAATTACATACATGGTGGGTTTTCCATAAACATCCCCCCCGCCCATGAGGTTTCATTAGAAACCATTAACTGTGGTTTCCTCTTTAGAAGAGGGACTGGGCAGGGTTGGTGGGGTAAATGAAATGTTCAGTTTTCACTTTGCGTATCTTTTTGAAAGATATACAGACAGGGATGTGTGTGGAGAGATCACGGATCCATTTTTTTCTTTGTGGCTCCCTGTATTATAAACAAACAAAAAAAAATCCCAAGTAAGTATTATATGTGTTTAACAAATTAAGGGAAAGGGGTAGAGTGTTCCTATTCTCAAGGCCGGGGTACAAAGGCTGTGTGGTAGGCAGGCCTGGAGGGTGTGAGTAGGTGGCGGCTCAAGGAGGGGCACAAAGGAGTCTGACAGGACCACAGCCTGGAACACTTCTGGAGCTTGTGGTGTGACAGGGACCTCAAGGGGAGAGGCAAGGCCCGATTGGCTTTTACTGTTTGGCCTGGCAGGAAGGGTGGGTGAGTGCGGCAAGGCTTGGGCATGGCAACTGGTTAGCTGGGCCCTGTGTGACCCAGCAGACAAAGGATGGGCTCCTGTGAGGGTCTTGGTAGAGGGGATGGAGAAGTGGCTGTTTCCCAGAGCTACTTAGTGGCACCGTGACTGATTGGATTTGGATGTGGGGGAGGAGGGGAGGGGGAGGAGTCTGGGATGACTCCTTTTTTCTCATTTTACCACCTGGCTGGATGGCAGCCCTTCCCTGAGCAAGGGTACATGGGGCAGGAGCTCGGGGGTGGGGAGAAGGACACAGGGGTGGATGGTAATGACACTAGCCCATGAGCACCAGGACTCAACTGGGTGAGGCTGGATGGAGGGTCAGGAGGCCATGGGGTAGGTGAAGAGCCTGGACTGGAAGCCTTGAGAGAAGGGTTCACTTCTCCCAGCATCAGAGAGGTAACAAGGGGTGCCCAGAGGAACCTGTGTCTTCTCACATCTCAAGTCTCCTTCTCATCCTTCGGATCACAGCCGAAAGAAATGTCACCTCAGAGAGGCCTGACCCTCGCATCTGAGTCAGTCCTCTGTTATTTCCATCACTGCCCTGTACGTTTGCCTTCTTGCACTTTCCATGAGCTGTCCATCGTTTGTTAACTGGTTTCTTTTCTTGAGTGTGGGCTCTCTGAAAGCAGAGACTTGTCTTAGTTACCTCTAAATTCATAGCCCTTAACGTAGCCAGTCTTTGGCATATAGCAGGTGTTCAGAACATGTTTGCTGACTGAATAAATGGATGACTGAAGAGCAGAGGAGCAGGACAACACCAGAGAGGGGAGTATCTCCATGCCCAGGGGGAAGTTGCAGAGAGCCAGTGTGTGGCCTCAGTGCCTTTGAATCCCTCAGGGAGATGGGGAGCAAATAACAGAATCAAATAAACTCTTGGATTTGGCACCAGGAGGTCCCTGATGACCTTGGCAGGAGCAGCGGAGAGTGGCGATGGGCAGTGGTGGCTGTGGTTCCAAGAGCCTCCTCTAGCTGTGTTTGCTAATTGGCTCAATACCTCTGAGGAAGGAACAGGCTGGGGTTGTAGGCAGGGCCTGACTCCAGAGACTCTGAGAGTCTTCCAGGGTCCCTCAGTCAGGTGTCTGAAAAACTGCACCTCATCCTTCAGAGAGCTCCTCTCTGACTCCCCTCTACCTGCCTGTGCCCCCCCACTCACCACACCGGGTTTTGTTTCCCTCAAGTCCTTCCTGCTTCCTTCTGAATTGCCCACCCGCTGCCCAAGCATGGCCATGCCTTCTGGTCAGTGGGATCCCCACTGTGGTGCTTGATCCATGTACTATGTACCTGGAACGAAGGAAAAAATCCTCTCTCTTAGGCATGGCCTCTAGCTACACCCCAACCCCCAGAACAGTGTCTTTTTCAGCCCACCAGGGTCTGAGTGGTTAGTGTAGGTGGCTAGGCGGTGGGCAGCCTGTGCTGAATGGGGAGAGAACCACACACTTCACCCGTGTGGTCCTAGGTGACGCACTTAGCCTCTTGGTGCCTCAGTTTATCGGTGCAGTGGGAACGGCAGCAAGACTTGACCAAGACAGAGAGTGTGCTGGCATGAACCTGCGGGGCCATCAGTGGTGGTGGTTTGTGATGGTTTAATAATCTCAGAGGCCGTCATGGCCTCTCCCAGGGCACCCCCTCTGATAAGCTTCTGGAAGAGATATGTCTGCATTGTCTGTAGGTGACAGGGGCCTGCTTAGGTGTCAGACAGCTGCAGGTGGGCCTGGGACAGTTAGCATCTGCTCTGGCGAGGGGTGGGGACTTAGGGGCACAGGTCACAGGTGACCTGCCGCAGGCAGGCGCTTGGGGCCTGTGGGTGAGGGGATACTTACCTGAGTGTCTTCCCAGAACCCTGACCTGGACTCGGAGGCACTGCTGGCCCTGCCCCTGCCTCAGCTGGTGCAGAAGTTACACAGCGGGGAGCTGTCCCCTGAGGCTGCACTCTTCACCTATGCGGGAAAGGTAAGGCCAGCGGGAGGCTTCTCTCCGCAAGGGTTGTAGGGAAAACCTGGCCTGGAATTACTCTCTGAGGGCCAGGGTGGGACCACAGTGCCAGGGGCTGCCAGGAGCTGCTGCATGAGAGAGAGAGAGAGAGAGAGAGAGAGAGAGAGAGAGAGAGAGAGAGGAGCTGACTCTGTGTGTGTGTTTGTGTGGGGGCGACACTGAGCATGTTGTCTTAGCTCAAAACTTGGCTTTCGGCCCAGACTGCCTTCTCCCTCCTGCCTCCACCCCATGGGTCACCAAGTGTGGTCTGTTCTCTTTCTCTAGCTCTCTCCAGTCCATCCCCTGTCCCCATCCCCCAGCAGCCACTCTGGTCCTCCACCACCATCTCCCTCCATGATGGAGCACCTGTCTCCTGGCCAGATGCCCCCTGGGGCCTCCAGTTCTTCAGACTCTGCTCTTCTGCTCCTCTTGGTCCCCAGCGTCCCACCCAGCCCAGGCCTTCTGGAGTGTGGGCATCAGTAGCTCAGCTCCTGGCGGGGCCCAGGCTCCAGCCTGCCACACTGAGCACTGGCTTGTGCGGGATCCCCTTCACCTGGAAGGTTCTTCTCCCTCTTCTTTACCCACGTGGGGCAACAGGCACCGCTGGCTGAACTTTGGGGCTCAGAGAAGGAGGCCCTCTTCTAGGAAGTGTCCCCTGACCCTCCTCCCCTCCCAGCCTGAGTTAGGGGTCCCTCCCTCTTCAGTGCCCACTCTCTCACACTCTTCGCGTTGTTGGGCGTGCCTAGTCCTTCTCCTTCCGCTGTCAAGGCGGGCTCCTTGTGGACAGAGCTTGTCTCATTTGTCTTGGGACTTCATGCCGGACACTGTGTGTTTCACATAGGGAGTGTTCCAGGCACATGTTTGGAATGGAACAGGAAAGAAAGAGCTGTACTTTACGAGTTGACCTGCATGTGGTTTCTTGAAACAGAATGTGTGACAGTGAGGCTGACCACTGAGCAAGCGGATGTGCATGCCGGGTGACTGACGGGTGCATGTGACAGTGGGAGTGGGTGTGGGTGACTGTAGCTGCATGAGGGGGAGGGAGGCTGCGTACAGAGAAAGGACCTCCAGCCCCTGCACTGGGTGCCCCAGGGGACACAGGTGGCCTCAACAGACTGCCGTGTCTCCTCTCTCCGTGTCCCTGGAAAGTGGCTGCCCTTCCTAATCACCCACCGGAGAGCATTCTGGTCACAGATCAGCCCAGTCCCTGCCGGCGGTGGGCAGCCCACACACACTGCGCATGCCGGGGTGTGGCGGCGGGGCCCACGCCATTTCCCTCAGATGTCTCACAGGGACAGGAGTATTGTGGAAAGCCGTGCATCATTCTGCCCTGATCGGCCCTCCCCTAGGGCGCTGCTGAGTGTGGGTGGAGGGCCATGGAGAGGCCCCATGGCAGATGGGGTGACTTGGTTCTCACATTGCAGAGTTTCCCAGAGAGGAGAGGCTTAGCTGGGGCAGGTTTGGGCCAGGCCCGGGGTGGGAGAGAGCCTGCTGGCCTCTGGGAGGCTGGCAGCTGGGTCTAGCCCTGCTCTGGGCTGACTCCCAGTGTGGCCTCAGATGGGGATCTGCCCCTGTCTGGTTCCCATGTGCTTCACTGACAGAGATGTGGCTTAGAGGAAGAGGTAGAGTGGCCAAAGGTCATCCTCCTCCCAGCTCATCCCTCTGGGGGGCATCTGAGGCCCGTGTCTTGCTCCTTTGAGCGCTTGGCTGGGCCCTGGCCCAGGAAGTACTGTCTCCATCTTGGGGTTGAGGCCAGACACTGCCAGGGGAGGCTGGGGCCAGGTGTCCCCAGTGAGGTGGGTGCTGGGCCCTACAGTCCTTGTGCTGCTGGCTCTGGGCCATGCTGCTGATCACCCTTTCGCTGGGTATACTTTAAAAAGCCAATTTTATGTCATGGACATTCTACCACAGTTTTTTTATTTTTTATTTTTTTTAAGATTTTATTTATTTATTCAGAGAGAGAGAGAGAGAGAGAGAGAGAGAGAGAGAGAGAGAGAGAGGCAGAGACACAGGCAGAAGGAGAAGCAGGCTCCACGCAGGGAGCCTGACGTGGGACTCGATCCTGGGACTCCAGGATCACATCCCAGGCTGCAGGTGGCGCCAAACCGCTGCGCCACCGGGGCTGCCCTCTACCACAGTTTAAAAAATAAAAAAAGGCCAATCACACTCTGCCTTGTGTCCAATTCTCCCTCCTCCAGGCCTGGGAAGTAAACAAAGGGATCAACTGTGTGACCACCTACCTGGAGGACTGTGAGACTCAGCTGTCCCAGGCCCCGAGGCAAGGCCTGCTCTATGGCGTCCCTGTGAGCCTCAAGGAGTGCTTCAGCTACAAGGTGTGCCCTGCTTCCTAGCAGGTTTCAGCCCCCCTCCCCTGGCACCAGCTCCGCCTCCTTGGTTACCCTGGGCTCTCTTGGGACACATTGGGTCCAGAGGCCTTGCGAGGGACCGTGGTGTGCCCTGCTCTGGCCTATGAGACGGCGGTAGGAGTGGACCCTCTGCCACCAGAGGGCCCGGACCCATCAGCCATGCCCCCGTGGGTGCCCGTCTCTCCCTCCAGGGCCAGGACTCAACCCTGGGCTTGAGCCTGAACGAGAGCATGCCTGCGGAGTGTGACAGTGTGCTGGTGCAGGTGCTGAAGCTACAGGGTGCTGTGCCCTTCGTGCACACCAACATCCCTCAGTCCATGTTCAGGTTGGATGGGGTGCAGGGTGGGGGCCGGGGCGCTGGCACCGCTGTGACCTGGCCTGACCCGTTCCTGCTTCCCCCAGCTATGACTGCAGTAACCCCCTCTTTGGCCAGACTTTGAATCCATGGAAGTCCTCCAAAAGTCCAGGGGGCTCCTCCGGGGGTGAAGGGGCCCTCATTGGGGCTGGAGGCTCCCCCCTCGGCTTAGGCACTGACATCGGAGGCAGCATCCGCTTTCCCTCCGCCTTCTGTGGCATCTGTGGCCTCAAGCCCACGGCGAACCGCCTCAGGTATGGTGGGAGTGGTGGGTAAAGGGAGCTTCTGGGTCTCTTGCTGTGTGATCTTGGCCTGGCTTCCAAACTCTCTGGGCCCCAGGCAGGGATCCCCTCATTGGGGCTTTGCTGGGAGGGAGTGTCACCGTTGGCCTTGGTTCCTAGTCTCCAAAGTGGTGAGAGTTCTAGGATGCTGTATGGGTTTGGGGTTGGACAGAGGGTGACCATTTCCTGTTTCCAACATCTTGTGTTTCTTATCCAGCAAGAGTGGCCTGAAGGGCTGTGTCTATGGACAGGTAGCAGGTGAGGTCTGGGGTTCCCTCGTGCCCTGGAGGAGGGGGGGCCTGCCCCACCCACCTCTCCCCCGGCCTCTCCTAGGGGCCAGGTTTGGCTCCCAGGCTAGTCTAGGTCTGAGTTCCTACCTCCTTGTCTCTGCTCACACTCCTGGGCCCCCGCCCTGCCCTTGCCTGGCCCCAGCCCCAGAGCCCATTAGGGCAGGGTGATCTTTCTTCCTTCCCCTGCCTGCCCCACAGTGCAGCTCTCAGCTGGCCCCATGGCCCGGGATGTGGAGAGCCTAGCGCTGTGCCTGCGAGCGCTGCTGTGTGAGGACATGTTCCGCCTGGACCCGACGGTGCCCCCGCTGCCCTTCAAGGAGGAGGTGAGCAGGGGCGGGGATGGGCATGGGATTGAGTCTGGTTATTACTGGTGCTCCTGAGCCCAGAGAACAGCCCCCAGGCAGTGTGCGCGGGCCTTGGAAGCTCTGTCCCCTGAAAAGCAGCCCCCAAGGGTCTGAAGCCAGGCTCAGCTGCTGCTCTACAGGCAGCCACCAGATGGAGCTCTTGCCCGAATGCGGTGACCTTGGGGCTTTTAGACTGGTGGAGGGGGGGTGTGCAAAGGGGGGTCTGGTCCCCTCTCTCATTATCGGGGTCCTGTTAAAGACACATAACCGTGGGATTCCCATTTGCCCTGGAGTTTGGATCCTCATGGATTGTGCCTAGCAGTGGGGACAGTCAGTAGCCGCCTGCTGAATGCCTATTCGGGGGGGTGGGGGTGCGAAGGGGGGTTTCCCTGTGCTGAGGAAAGGTCCCACCTCCTGGCCCAGCCTCTTCTGCTCTAGGGAGCACTAGGGTGTTTCTTGGCAAGCAGGAGACCTGGGCTGGGTGGGGTGACCCCCCCCACTCCTTGGCAGAGGATATTCTCACAACCCAGTGGTTTAAGAACTCCTTCCTGAGAGGGAGGAGAAGAGGAGACAAAGTCCCCGTTATGTGGTCTGGAACGAATTATCATGGGAGCCAGGACTCAAAACAGGCAGTGGAGGGCCTCAACCCAGGAGACGGGATTCCTGGGTTCTGGGCCTAGTGGTGTCAGTCTGCACTGGGGGGACTTTGGCACATCCCAGCCCCACTCAGGGCCTGTTTGCCTGTCTCCCTATCTAGACCTGAAACCTTCAGTTTCAGCATATGGCCCCAGGGGAATCCTCACCCTTGCTGGGCCCCTCCTGCAGGGTCTTGGTGAAGGTGTTTTGTGAAAGGGTGGCTGCAGAAAGGGCTGGCCTCTTGAGCACTCAGTTTTCTGGGGATCCAGGCTGCAGCCTTTCAGCTGTGTCTGGGGTTGAGGAGCTTCTCCCATCTCTGAGAGCCCTACTTTGGGCCTCCCTACCTTGACCTGGTTCTGATTCCTGTGTCTTGCCCCCAGGTCTACACAAGCTCTCGGCCCTTGCGTGTGGGGTATTATGAGACCGACAACTATACCATGCCCACCCCAGCCATGAAGCGGGCTGTACTGGAGACCAAGCAGAGCCTTGAGGCTGCTGGCCACACGGTATAGCTGTGGGGACCTGGAAGTCCTGGTACAGGCCTTCTTTCAGGGAAACCTTCCTGGTACCCAAGGCTGCCACCTGTCCCTGGTGTCCTTTCATCCTGATTGTTTTGTGGTTGGGTTGGGAACTCTGTCTCTGTGGGACCAGTGGATAGAGGGCTGATCATGAGTGTTAATTTAAGTGATTGATGATGAACTCAACCCTATGTGGGGGATGGGTGAGTGCAGCATTGGGAGGCTTTCATCAACCACAATCCCAGGATTCCCACCATCCCAGGATAGTGGGCCAATGGGTTTTAATCTGTTCATCTGAGAAGTTTATGTGTGGCCTGACTTCTCTCATAAGGTGCATTTTAAGGGAGTTTTCGTGGGTCAGTATGGCTGCTCCAGTGAGGGCTACCCTGTGCGGGGCAGGGTGGGGGGCCTGGGCTGCATGGGCAGCATGGGGTTCAGGGAGTCAAGGGTTTCTAGGTGTGGCGGCCTTACACCCCTCAATCCTACAGCTGGTTCCCTTCCTGCCAAGCAACATACCCCATGCTCTGGAGACCCTGTCAACTGGTGGGCTGTTCAGTGATGGCGGCCACAGCTTCCTACAGAACTTGTAAGTGATGTTGAACTTTGGGGTCTGGGGTGGGGTCAGGACATGGGTAGAGCCAGGGAGAGCAGCTGGTTCCTGTTATTCTCAAGATGGGCCACTCTGGGAGAAGATGGGGGACAGGCTCAGCTGAACACAAACAAGGCCAGAGCATTCTGGGCAGGGACCTCACTGCCCCTCTAACTGTGCAGGTTGAGCCTGGAGATACCCCGCCAGGGAGACTTTAGAAAGGTACCAGCTTGAGGGGAGGGTGGATTGAGCAGAGCTCAATTGATGGGAGCTTGTTGGGAGGTAGGGGGTGGGCAGGGGAGTTGCTTATCTATTTGGGAAAGATTGAGAGACAAGGGCAGGGTGAAGCAGGAAGGGAGAGGTCTAGACATCATACTGTGACTCCAGGCTCTTCTGATTGAGCAAAGTCTGCCTTTTTTTTTTTAAGATTTTATTTATTTATTCATGAGAGACACAGAGGGAGGTAGAGACACAGGCGGAGGGAGAAGCAGGCTCCCTGTGGGGAGTCCGATGTGGGACTCGATCCCCGGACTCCAGGATCATGACCTGAGCTGAAGGCAGATGCTCAACCACTGAACCACCCAGGTGTCCCCGGGTCTGAATAGTTTTCTCTTTCATTGAGTAGGTGGGCTGGATCAAATCAACTTTTGCAGAGCTCATGTTTAGGGAAGCTGGTTCTACTAAGAAGCTTTCAGTCCTTAAGTGTGACAGGGGTGCAAGACAGACCTGTGAGGGTATCTCTTGGGGATGTGCCTGGGCTGACTGGCCTCTTCTAAAGGTTTTATTATTTATTTACTTATTCATGAGAGACACAGAGTGAGCGAGAGAGAGGCAGAGACACGGGCAGAGGGAGAAGCAGGCTCCATGCAGGGAGCCCGACATGGGACTCGATCCCGGGTCTCCAGGATCAGGCTCTGGGCTGAAGGCAGCGCTAAACCGTTGAGCCATCCGGGCTGCCCCAAGACTGGCCTCTTCTAATACTGAGTATGGTACAGGCTTCAGCAGAAGGGGCTGCTCCTCACTCCGGCCCTCAGAATGAAGCCCTAGGGTCAGTCTCCTGAGACCTTTGCCTGAGCTCTAGAGCTAGAGACAGCCTCAGAAATAAGAGTCATGGGGGCTCCATTTGTACCTGATGTCTTCAGTGTCAAGCCCTCACCAGGGAGATGAGTCCTTATTGCTTTGAACTGAGTTTGCCAGGGAGGGAGACACAGAGTCCTGCCTTGGGAAGCTCCAGCGGGTATGGAGTGGAGTCCAGGTGTCCCAAAGGATCAGCAGAAACAAGTCATATGTCTAAAGGGAGGCAGATAGGGCCACTTGGCTGGCTGGCTCAGTTTTGTACAGCACAGGACTCTTGATTTCGGGGTTGTGAATTCGAGCCCCACGTTGGGTGTAGAGATTACTTAAAAAAAAAAAGAAAGAAAATATTTTTTAAAGATGTTATTTATTTATTCATGAGACAGAGAGAGAGAGGCAGAGACATATACAGAGGGAGAAGCAGGCTCCCTGCAGGGACCCCGATGTGGGACTCAGTCCCTGGACCCCAGGATCACGCCCTGAGCCAAAGGCAGACGCTCAATCACTGAGCGACCCAGGGGTCCCAAGAAGAAATACAATCTTAAAAAAATAAATAAAAGGAGACAAGTGAAAAAAAAAAAAGGAGGCAAGTGAAGGGGTTGGAGACCAGTGGTTACCAGAGTCTGGTGGGGAGGGAATAGAGAGGGTGTCACTGAAGAGATGACACTGATTGGGGGTGCTGTGGGTGGGGGCAAGCCTGGAGGGAGGCCTGGGAAGGGAGTGCTGGACTGGACTCTCTGTCTCCCAGCAAAGGTGATTTCGTGGACCCCTGCCTGGGGGACCTGATCTCAATTCTGAAGATGCCAAGTTGGTTGAAAGGACTGCTGGCTTTCCTGCTGAAGCCTCTGGTAAGGGCGCAAGGAGCAGAGGACTGGGTGGGCTGGGAGGGAGCCTCTGGGGCTCGTCCCCTCTCACTTCCGCCTCTCTTGATTTGGGCAAGCATGGCCTCCTCTTCTCTCCAACCCCTACCCAGACTCCTCTCCTCTCCCCATGCCCTGCAATCTTCAGCTAGCACACATGCTGAAAGAGGTGCTGACCTGGGACCTGGGGGAAGGGACAGAGGGAAGAGGCACAGGTGGCTTGGCTTGAGGAAGATTGTTGTCTGCACTCAGCCCAGAACTGAGTCACTGGGTCACTGACACTGTTTGTCCTCCGGCAGCTCCCGAGGGTGGCAGCTTTTCTTAACAGCATGAAGCCCCGGTAAGGACGTTTCCTATGCCTAGAATCTGCCTCCCTCTTTCCCTGACCTGGGGTTAAGTGGTTTCTGACAGGAAGAGAGGAGGGAAGTAGCTTCTGAGGCTGGAAGTGGCCCGGCCAGGGTGGCAACCTCTGTGGCTTTCAGATGGGACCTTGAAGTTGATCTTCGCGGGGTCCAGGTCTGGCTAGAGAGGAGATCTTGGGATGAGACCGACTAGAGAGGGGAAGGCCTGGCGAGGCGAGGTGAGGTGAGGGTAGAAAGGCCCAGGAAAGGAAGCACTGGGGAGGCACTGGGGAAGCCCTGAGAGACGCTGCTCTTAGAGGTCTGACATGAACTGAGCTGCGCTGGGTCCTGCTGTCCCCTTAGTGGCTTGGGTAGGGAAAGCAGGCCACAAATGGCCTCATTTTTAGGCCCTGACATCCTGTGGACTTGCCCCTTCTCTCACTGCCAGGCATTTAGGACCTTTGGTAGCTCTGGTCTCTCTTGTATCCTGAGGGTAATTTGGAATCAGGCCTGAGCTGGGCCTGACTCTGCTGCAGAGTCACTGAGTGACACAGCCTAAATCCCTCTTGGGGCCTGATTTTCTCAACAGGACATGAACTTAGGGATTTGAACTCCTTTCCTGTACTACTCCTGTAGCTCCTGTTGCTCTCGGGGCTCCCACAGTTGAGAAGGGTCCATGGAGGAGTGAGATCTGGGAGGTGTTAAGAGTAGGGATCTGATGTTGCTACTCCCCATGGCTGTGGCCACGATGGCCAGTGACCTCATTTCCTCTGCCCAGGTCGGCCGGCAAGCTCTGGGAACTGCAGCACGAGATTGAGGTGAGGCCAGAGCCCCTAGACTATGGGGTGGGGTATGGGGTGGAGCTGGACAGGACACCTGCCAGTGGGATCTCTTAGCCGCTGGTCCCCTGGAGTGGCCTATCATTTCCCCTTCTGCGCCCTGGACTGGTCTACTCAGGCCCTGCTCTCTGATCCTCACTTGCTGGGTGCTCATCCTTGGGGCCCAGGTCAGTATACGGCTGCTGGCGTGGATGCCTCTTTGCCCACTGGTGCTGTCGGGAACTAGGTGGCCCTGCTCTGGCAGGAAAAATGATGTCCACAGTTCATGTGGGAGGTGGAGCCTCCTGAAAGCAGCCATGCTTGTGTGCCCTGAGCACCTCCATCCCACTGTGGCTAAGTCCAGAGCCCAGGCCAGGTGCTGGGGCCAGAGCCACCCTGGCCACGGTCCCTGCGTTGAAGACTCTGTGTGATGGGCTGGGTCTGAGGGCTTCCCTTGGTGTGCTGGCCGCCTCCCAGGTGTACCGCAACTCCGTGATTGCCCAATGGAGAGCCCTGGACCTGGATGTGCTGCTCACCCCCATGCTGGGCCCTGCTCTGGACTTGAACGCCCCGGGCAAGGCCACAGGTGAGGCCTGTTGCCCCACCACACCCTGACACTCCCGCCTGCCTCTCCTCTTCTGTGGGTTCAGCCCAGTGCCCAGCAGGCTGCCTGCAAGTGGGAGGAGCCTTGGGGTTGGACGGGCCCTGCCCTTGGGACCCCCCCCCCCCCCGATCTAACTGGCTGGAGAGATGGGAGTTGGATGGGATTCTCTGGGAGGGAGCAAGCTCCCTGCCCTCAGCGCCACTGAAGTCGAAGATCTTGAGTTATGGAGCTTATTGTTTGGGGAGGTGGTGTTTACAGTCCAGGTGGGATTGAGGAAAGCCAAGAAAATAGGACCAGTGGTCAGATGGGGAAGGTCCCCGGGCAACGTCACCGGGCAGGCCTCGGCAGGTGCTGCAGCCTGCCCTGAATCTGGATTCCTGGGCTTTGTCACTCCCTCCTCAAGTCTGGGCTCTGGAGAGAGCCTCTCCCCATCTGAGAGGCAGGGTGCCATCTCCCAGGGTAGACAGTTGGCAGGAGCGTCACCGGCCCGCTCCGACCGCCTGTGCTGCCTTTCAGCTGCTATCAGCTACACTGTGCTCTACAACTGCCTGGACTTCCCAGCGGGGGTGGTGCCTGTCACCACGGTGACCACCGAGGATGAGGCCCAGATGGAACATTACAAGGGCTACTATGGGGATATCTGGGACAACATGCTACAGAAGGTGAGGCCGCAGGGCCTGGCCTGGCCCCTGGGGTCCCCCTTCCCCTAGACTCCCACCCATACTCCAACTCTGGCTGCTGCTGTGAGGGAAGCAGCATAAGCATGAGCAGGCCTTGCCTGCCTTGCCTTGCCTTTCTCCTCCCCTCCCCTCCCCTCCCCTCCCCTCCCCTCCCCTCCCCTCCCCTCCCCTCTCCTCTCCAAGTAAGCTCTACACCCAACATGGGACTCAAACTCACAACCCCAAGATCCGGTTGCATGCTCTACTGAGTGAGCCAGCTGGCCGCTCCCTTGCGTGCCCGCCCACCTTGATGTGAGAGCCTGAAAGACTGCAGCCTCTCCAGCTGCGGTGCCTCCTGGTCCCTGGGGGAGAAGGGGCTCTGCTCCACTGCCGCCCTCCTGATGCCTGTGTCCCCTGTAGGCTGTGAAGAAGAGTGTGGGGCTGCCCGTGGCTGTGCAATGTGTGGCTCTGCCCTGGCAGGAAGAGTTGTGTCTGCGGTTCATGCGGGAGGTGGAGCGACTGATGACCCCTGAAAAGCGGCCATCCTGACTGCTGCCTGCCCCCCCTCGCCTGGCTCCGGAGGACCTGAGACCATTCCATCTGTGCCCCGCCTAGCCTGGGCACAGCTGCCACTCTGAGAGGAAATGTTCGGCCTGGGGCAGAGGCTTCTGTGTCCCCCGCCCCCCCCATCCCCTACAAGAAGCACAGACCTCCCTGAGTCTGGACCTTGCTCCCCATCCTGGTCCCCTCCCCCTGGCCTGACACCCCTCCCTGTGGCAGGCAGTGGGTATGACATGGGCAAAGGCCTCTAACAGTCAAGAAACGTTTCTAGTCTGTGTACTTTCTGGCCGTCACTGTCAGGGCACTGAGGGTTGAGCCCTACTCCAGCCTTGGCAGTCTCCTGGGTCCCCACACCCGCAGGAACGACACAGGCTTCTCAGAGTGGGTCTTGCGGTCTGGCACCGCCCCCTCCCCCGCTCCCCGCGCTTAGACTAAGCCCTGCTTTGCTAGGCATTGCCTTCTCTTCTTTCTTTGCTCCTTCCTTCTGCCAAGCCCTTTCTGCTCCTCTGCCATTAAATCCTTGGAGGCCCTGCTCAGATCCCTCTTTCTCGAGAAGGCCTTCCCTCCTTCCTCAGCCCTGGTATAGGTGGGCTGTTTCTTCCCAGTCTGCCCTGTGCGGTGGGCATCTGTGGGTGGCTTTGCCTTTCTTAGTACACTGGCTCTCCTTGACTGCAGGGACCCTGATGCTCAGGGACCCCCCTGAGGCTCTGTCCTTAGTGGCCAGCACAGGGCAGCGGGGAGTCTGGGGTGCTGGCCAGGAGGTTGCACTGTGGCGGGGAGGGGGCCTGTAGGCCTCTGGTCAAGAGCACTCACAGGGCCGGCCAGGAACTGGATTGTTCTAGGGAGGCTTCCCAGAGGAGGAGGACCTGTGTTGAGTGTTGGAGGTTCCCAGAAGCTGAGATGGGAGTAAGGACATTCCCGGGAGAAGGAGCCATACACCCAACTCAGACATACTGAGTTCAGTAAATGGAAGTATTGAACGGGCGTAGGAGAAGCAGCAGAGATGTAGGTGGAGGCCAAATCAAGGTGGACTTTGGAGGTCGGTTCAGGAACTTGAATCCTGTCTCAAGGGCAGTGGGGAGCATCTAAAGGATCACACAGATGCAGTGAGGAGAGTAGACTGGGGAGACAGCGCCTGGAGAGGGTTATGGAGGCTGAGGTCTAATCCTAAACTGGGGAAGAGGGCCTGGGGCCTGAGCTAGGGCCATGGCACAGGGGTGGCTTGGGAATCAACAGTTGGGGCAGAAGCGAGCTGTCTCAGCTCAGTCTCCCCTCCACCCAATCTGCCAGCCTGCCTCTGAGGGGACTGCGTTGCCTGGCGGGTGAGGGTGTGACAAGTCTCTGACGAATCTGGGGGCTCCTTGGCCCCCTTAAGCAGAGCTTACTCTTCCCTGGCCCCAGCCCTAACCGCCCTGCTTACTGTAGGTGTTTCTCAGCCTGGGTCTTGGGTCGGGTAGGTCCCTGGTTCTACCGGGCCCACTTCACATTCTTTTCAGGGCAGGCTGCCTTCCCGAGGCTTCCTTCCTCATCCTGACTTTCCTCCTTCAGAAGGGCTTTTCCTTCCAGGTTACGTGCCCAGTGACACCTGTACTGTCCGACAGTGGTGTCCCTGCCTCAGTGGGACCAGTTTCAGGGTAGACCCGAGGCCTCACACTTCAGGGCTGATTGGAGGGCCTCACCCACATGGACACCTAGAGTGGGATGGCCAGGTAGTTGCTGCGCTTTACCCAGATTCCTTGTAACTGCTCTGGCATTTTGCCCCAAATCATTCCCTAGAATCATCTATATACCACCCCATCCCTCGGCATCTTACTCCGCCCCATTTCTCTCTTTGGTTACTGATGTGATTTTTAAAAAATTTTTATAAAAGATTGATTTATTGGGGTGCCTAACTCAGTCAGTTAAGCCTCTGCCTTCCGCTCAGGTCATGATCCCAGGGTCCTGGGATTGAGCCGCATGTCAGGCTCCCTGCTCAGCGAGGAGTCTGCTTCTCACTCTCCCTCCCCCTCTACCTCTCCCCCTGCTCGTGCATCCCCTTCCCATAAATAAAATCTTAAAAGAAAAGATTCTTTATTTTAGAGAGTGTGCATGCATGAGCAGAGTGGGAGTGGGGGGTGGGGGGTGGGGGCAGAGAGAGAGGGAGAGAGAATCCTCAAGCTGACTTCCTGCTGTGTGAGGAGCCTGAGGCAGGGAAGGGCTGGGGCTCAGGACCCTGAGACCATCATGACCTGAGCTGAAATCAAAGAGTCAGACGCTTAACCAACTGAGCCACCCAGGTGCCCCAATATCCTTGTGCTCTTAGTCACAAGGCTGTGGGGCGGTGCCTGTCCCCTTCACTGCTTCACCCTTTGAGCCCCAGTGTGAACTCGCCCTGCCCTGTGCTCAGTGGTGCTGGAGCTCTACTAAGCCCGGTTCCCATCCTTGAGAGGCCCTGGGGCTTTTGGGACTGTTGGACATTATCTAGCACATCTGCTCCCTGGGTGATCAGGGCTTGAGGAAAGGTTAGACAAAGGGATAAATGCCAAGAGGTGGGGGGGGGGTGAGGTGGGCCAGGTGGTCACTGTAACCAGAGAGGGCGCAACCCATGTGGACGCCTAGATTGGGATGGCTGGGTAGCTGCTTCATTTTGCCCTGGATCCTTGTAACTACTGTGTCCATTTGTCTCATCATTCCATAAAACCACCTGCCTCTACTTTTTTCCTTCTCTTGCCCTATTTCTCTCTTTGGTTACTGATATACTTGTGCTGTTAGCCACGTGGCTGGCTGTCGGGTGCCTGCCTTCTTTCCTTCACTGCTTTTGAGCCCTGGCGTGACCTTGCCCAGCCCTGTGCTCAGCGGTGCCAGAGCTCTCCTAAGCCTGGCTACCATCCTTGAGAGGCTCCGGGACTTAGCGGGGGGTGTTTGGACATTAACACTGGCACATCTGCTCCCTGGTGATCAGGGCTTGGGGAAAGATTAGACGAAGAGGCAAATGCTGCCGAGAGTGGGGGGTGGCCTGGGGCAACTGGTCACTGCGGCCAGTGAGAGACCCCCGAGTTCCACCTCCACTGCCGCACTAGCACTCTGGTCCAAGCCACCCACTCTGGACTGTGCAGTAACCTAACTGGGCTTCCCTGCCTCCAGCCTCACTGTTCCCCAGTCCATTTTCCATGCAGTTGCCAGAGGGTTGCTTTGAAAGTGTAAATCAGATCGAGTCACTTGTCTCAAGACCTAAAGGCTTCCCATCCAACTCAGAATAAAATCCAGTCTCCTCCTGTGTCTTACGAGGCTCTGTGGGACATGGCCCTTGCTCACCTCTCCAGCCTCCTCTTGGGTGTGTCTTCCTCTCATTCGTTGTGCTCCGGCCACATGAACACATTTCCATTTCTTGATCATTTCCAGCTGGTGGTCCCTGCTTCAGGGCTTTTGTGTTATACTGGTCCCCTCTGCTTGGAACACTCAGCTCCTGTGTCACCTTCCCTGATCACCCACTTATTTTTTTTTTAAGATTTTAGTTATGAGAGAGAGAGAGTCAGAGACACAGGCAGAGGGAGAAGCAGGCTCCATGCAGGGAGCCTGATGTGGGACTCGATCCCGGGACTCCAGGATCACATCCTGGGCTGAAGGCAGGCGCCAAACCGCTGAGCCACCCAGGGATCCCTGATCACCCACTTATAAAACAGCTTCCCATGCCATCCTTTGTACTTTATAGCATTGTCACTATCTGGAATTACATGGCTTTTTTTTTTTTTGGTCCCCTCCACTCAAACAAACTTCCCGAGAGTTCTACGTTGTCTTGCTCATCACTATATTCTTGGCATGTAGAGCGGCACATATCAGGTGCTTAGTTCAGTGAATATTAAATGAGCACGTCCTAGGGACCAGGCACTGACCTGTGTGCTGGGACTGAGTGATTACTGGGACAGACTAGATTCCTGTCCTCTTGGAGCTCACATTCTGGAGGATGTGTGTTGAATGAAAGGAGGATGAGAGGCAGGTAGGTGTGCTGTTGAAGGCCCTGGAGATACATGGAGTGATAAGGTGACTTGACCAGGAAAAAGGAGAAAGGGCATCCGGAATGACACATACCCGATATCCCGTTATGAACCCTCTACCTCCTCCTTTTTTTTTTTTTAAGATTTTATTTATTCACGATAGATACACACACACACAGAGGCAGAGATACAGGCAGAGGGAGAAGCAGACTCCATGCCTGGAGCTCGATGGGGGACTCGATCCCGGGACTCCAGGATCGCGCCCTGGGCCAAAGGCAGGCATCAAACCGCTGAGCCACCCAGGGGTCCCCAACTCTCTACCTTCTGGGCCCTGGATCGTCCTTGGGTCATTTAATCTTCCCATTAACCCTGTGGTAGGCGTCTTTGTCCCCCTTTTCCAGAAAGGTCTACAGCTAGAAGAGGGATGAGAATCAAACCTGGGTCAGTTTATGTCAGAGTCTCGGCAGACAGCTCTTCCTGGGGTCCCATGATCCTGAGGCACGGAGGAGTGACGGCTCAAGCCAGCCACCTCCTCTTTCCTGTCTGACCACCAGTCAGTCCAGCGGCCTCAAGGCCTTCAAGGCCTCATGGCTACTGTCTGTTCTCGGCCTTCTACCCTCTCCCCAGGTCCATTGCCAGGCTTTTTGCCTGGCCTCCCCTGCCCTAGACTGGTCTTTTCCAGTTGTCCTTCAGATAGGAGTTGGGTGGCCTCCCAAACACAGTTCTGATCACGCCTGAAACCTTGAGCATCACTCGTGTTGGGTCAGACTCCTGGCCATGACCTCAAGGCCATGCCTCACCCACCCGTGCTGCTGGCCACTCTGCTCTGCTCTCCTTCCCAAGGCCTTATGTCCCAGTGTGGCCCTTGGGTGGCACTTGGGACATCGTGCACACATCCCGCTTCCACCCCGTTTGCTTCCTATACGTGCTCTTCCTCACGTCTGCTCCTACAGACCTCCCACTTACCAAGGTGAGGGCAGTGTTCCCTCTACAGCTGGCAGGCTGGGCAGAAAGGGCTTTTTCGTGCTCCTGTTCATACTCCAAAACAGGAGCCGTGTCTTAGTAAGAGAATCTGATGTCTGTTAGGCTGTGGAATTGGTAACCCATTATCCCATTGGAAAAAAATGGGAGTTATTACTTCCATTTTAGAGGTGGGGAAACAAGTTTAGAAATGGTTGCCAATTTGCCCAAGGCCAAAGACTTGCACAGAGATTTGAAGCCACCTGCCAACTCCAGACTAAGTGTATTTTCCTTGTTTGCACAATCATCCTGAGAACATGCGCTAAACACCCAGGGTGCCGGTTCTGGGCCAGATGATCACAAACACTGGAGACAGAGGAAGTTCCACTCACTGGGCACCCCTGCTGGTGTATCTCTACAGGATGTTCTATCATGTGCCTGTCCACCCTCCCTTAGTCTCCCTGGGGCTGTGATCATTGATGTTCAGCAGGAAAACTTGCTATTTGTCCGTATTAGGCAACATCTTTTAGGGTCATCCCAGGGCCCCAGCCTATTGAGAGCCTTTGGGATCCCAGCTCTGTTGGCCACTGTTTCTGCTCCACCTCAGCTTGTCCATCCACAAGTCTGAGCTTTTGGACCTCTTTAACTTCATCTGAGTCACCAATACAATATTGATCGGATCAGGGCCAAGGAAAGACCCTGGGGTGTCACTCCAGGCCACCTGCCAGGGCCATCTGATTGGCCACACCCTTAAAAGACACCCGCAGAACCAACTCCTGAGCCTACCAGCCAGCCTGGGCTGCCCCCTTCAAGTTTCCCACCACATAGTTTGGGAGTGGTGTCCCTGGGTGTCTTAGGCAGGTGAGGCCATTTGGGTTCAAGGTGTGTGGGATTTGCTCTTGTGCATCCAGCACCCACCATGGTGCCTGGAACTCAGTAGGTACATGGTGAAGGCTTGTTTTTTTTGTTTTATTGAGAGTGAGTAGGGGAAGGGGGAGAAGCAGAGGGAGAGAGAGAATCCCAAGCAGACTCCATGCCCAGCGCAGAGCCTGACACAGGGCTCAATCTCCTGGTCCTGAGATCATCACCCCGAGATCATGACCTGAGGTGAAATCAAGAGTCAGACGCTTAACCAATTGAGCCATCCAGGCACCCCCTCTTTTTTTATTTTAATGAGAGAGACTTAAGCATGTTAAATGTTGCTGGGAAGGAAGGGCTCAACCTGCCTGTGATTTCATTTAAGAAGTATTACCAAGCACCTGTTCTGTGTTGGACATTTTGAAAAGGACTGACAAGGTCCTTCTTTCATGGAACTTACTTTCTAGGAGGGAGGCAAGGACTAAGTAAATAAAAAAGATAATTTCAGCTAATGATTAGCGCAATGATGAAATAAAATGGGGTGATGTGCTAAGGGAGGAGTGCAACTTGAGAAAGGATGATGTAGTAAGGTTTAGGGTGGTGTAAGGGGTGCAAATGTCAAATGGCCTAGGGGAGCTGAGCCATCAGGGGAGAACTGGGGTTCAGTGAGGGAGGTCTGAGTATGGGGGAAGGAAATGGTCAGAAAAGAGAAGAAAGACATGGGGATGGAATGAGAGGGGCTAGTTCCAGAGATCCTTTGGTGAAGCCACAGAGTGTTAGAGAGCAGATGGCCTTGGGGTTACCCTCTGGGTCATGAGCAGCAGGTCAATTGCCAACTCGACATCTGGCCCTTAGGTGACCATCAGATGCTCAGACCCCACCAACCACAAGTATCTCCTGCTGCTTCCAACGTCCCAGCCTTGAGGGTGGAGCCATCATCCTCCCGGTCCCGATGACTGTCAGCCTCAGTTGTGATGGGTCGCTCCTCTCTCCCCTCTGAGACAGAACTGGGTCAGAAGATTCAACAAGAGCCAAAGTGCTCCCAAACTAGTCCTTCCAGTTCTGCTTCCCCATATCTTCCCATCACTTTTTGCTCTTCCGCCAGGAAGCCACCTGCACCTCCTCACCTCCCCAGCTTCCATACTTCCCTCCACTACTCCCCCTGCCTATAGGGGCCTCCTGGAATGATGAGAAAATGGGAAATGAGTCTGGAAGGGGGAACCAGTCTACCGGGAGGCTGGAATCCCAGGATCACGAATGTGGACTTGTGTTACAGTCAAGAATGAGAGCGCAGCTAGGGTAGCAGAGGCAGGGGAGGGGGCTGTGCCTGACTGCTCTGTCCTCACTCCCTTGTATCGTCTCCCCTGGGGCTGAGGCCTTCAGAACCCTGCCCGGCCCCCAGAGTCCCTCCTTTCTTCTCTGCTTGGGCCTCAGACGCCCTCCAGAGTGAACCGGTTCAATCTACATCTATGTAGCCTGTGAACCATGTTAAGGGGGCTGGCAATTATTCTGGAAGAAACAGGAAACCCCAGGGGCAGCTCCATTAGGAGCTACCATGGGTCAGACTAGGGTTCTGGTGGGGTGTATGAGGGGTGGGGTGGGGTGGGGGAGAAGGATGTGAGGAGGTAGGGTCAGAGCCTGGTCACCTGCCCACCTGCAGGCTTGGCCACCTCTCACTCTTGTCTCTGCCAAAGCCTCTTCCTCTGCATTGCCTGGGGCACGAGGGCTTGGTCCCGGGAGGTCCAGGTAGGTAGAAGGACTGGGTGGGAGGAGTTTGGATTCTGCCCCAGGCAGAGTCATATGTGGTTTCTGTCCCTCTGTGATCCTGTCGTGGGAGGGTGCTCCAACATATAGCTGGCAAGCAAGCAGGTGATACTCCTGAGGGAGCAGTTGCTGTGTCCAAACAGGTTCCATGATGTCTGGGGTGGCTTGGCTGCTGGTGCTGCTCCTGCTGGCCCTGCTGGTGGCTGCCCTGCGCTCCTGGCAGCGTGCTCCAGCGCGGAGCAAGATCCCCAGGGCACAGAAGCGCCGGGTGGAGGCACTGCAGCGGATGGAAGCCCTGGCACGGCGTCTCCGGGAGCAGGTGAGTGGACATCTATCCCTGGTGCCCCAGCCCTCCATCCCAACAGGTGGGTCCCGCCTCAGGGCCGTTGCCCCGTCGCCTTCAGAAGACGAGGAGCCTGGCAGGGGCACTCCCGCACCCCCCACGCTGGCTTTTGTGTTGCTCTCCGTTCCCCCTCCATCCATGCACTCTGGGCCTATGAGCTGGGGGGCCGTTTTTCCTTTGTTTTCTCAGAGCCCCCACATGACTCAGTAACGTGGTGGGTGTTCACTTAAGCTATTTGTTGAAATGAGATAAACTGGGGCTTCTGGTGGCTCAGCTGGTGGGGTGTCTGCCTTCGGCTCAGGTCGTGATCCTGGAGTCCTGGGTTCAAGGCCTACGTCGTCGGCCTCCCTGCTCAGTGGGCAGTCTGCTTCTCCCTCCCCCCTGCTCATGCTTGCTCTCTCTCTGTCTCTCAAATAAATAAATAAAATCTTAAAAAAAAAAAGAAAGAAGATAAATTGATGGCAGCGATTGGAGGCAGAAGATCTTCTTTCCAGTCTCTTTCAGCCCCTGCATACCCCCAAACCCCACTGACACAGGAACCCTGGCTACACCTTCTCCCGCCCATGCCCCCACCCCCAAGGTCTGCAAATGTTTGAGAGCACCTGATAGATGCAAAGCACAGAGTGGTCACTGGGGATGGGGTCCTCCCAGGAAGCTATGCGTCTTAAAGGGACTTTTGACAGCTTAGGTGAGGACATTTCAAGGCCCTGGGGCAGACATCGTGGCTGGGCTGGGACTTGAAGGTGAAAGGACTGAGCTGTGGGTGTCCCAGCGGAACCTGCCCAGGGTGGCAGAGAGCAGGGTGGGAAGGGGAGGCAGCCCACCCTCCATCATTCTTGGGGTCTGCTGGGGGGCCTGCAAAACGTGACAGCCCCTTTCTGGGCTCCCCAACTGCCCTGTGAGGGGTGGGCTTATGGTACCTCGGGATTCCCAACTGTGGTTGATGGTGACGGGCTCCCTGGGAGCCCTGGGAGTGGGGGCTGGGTCCAGGGCCCGGGGTGCTAGCCTCACACTCTGGAGTTCCTGAGTGTCCTCTGCCGTCCCCTGGATGGTGATTGATGGCCCCGAGGGGCAGCTTCTCTGCCTGAGCTGCTACAGTTCCTGAGAATGTGTATTAATATTAATTGGGGCTAATTAGTTGGATAAATCAATCTGCCCCCAGAGAGCAGCTGCCCCTCGTCGGTTGGTGAGCAGGAAATCTGGGCTAATGGGGTTGCTGTGGTGAAAGCGTGATGGAGAGGATTCTCGTGTGTGTGTGTGTGTGTGTGTGTGTGTGTGTGTGTGCGTGCGCGCGCGCAAGCATGGAGGTGGGTTTGGGTGCCTTTACTGCATACACCAGAACCTGCCTATGTATGCCTCCTGCTAGCTTGTTCTTGTGTGTTGGTCGAGTGGGATGCCTCGCTGTGTGTGCTTGTGTCATGGGCTTGTGGTGTGTGTGCCTGGCTGGCTGTGTATGTGTTATATTACTGATTCAAGTGTGTACATCTAGATGCGTGTGGCTGGTTTGGGTCTGAATGGTTGAGCATGTATGTGTGTGGCCGGGTGCCTGACGCATGAGGACATCCGCTTCTGTGTTGGTCTGGGCATCTGTTTGGTATACGTGGGGGCATCTGGGGTGTGTGTCGGTTGGCCGGTGGAAGGGGTTTAGGGTGAGGTCACCCCTGGGGTCTCCAGCTTTCCCCCAAGGCTACAGGCCTCCTGGCTCTTAGTACCTTATTCTCTCCCCAGCAAAGCCACACAGGTCTGTCCTGAGTACCTTCCCACCTCAAGGCTTCAGGTGTCCAGGAATATGTCAGGGAGGTAGGGGACTGAGACACAGGCCAAACCCTGGCAGGGTTCAAACAAATCCAATTCAGTTCAGCTTAACAAAATTTTACAGAGGGCTTTTGCTGGACCCTGGGGACAGATTCATAAGCAAGATGAATCTGACATCTGACTTTGACTTGCCTTAAACGTGCTCCTGGTCCTAATGGGGCCTGCTGGTGGGAACAGATCTATGCAAACTGTGATGGGAGGCAGCTCAGCTGAGTGTGGTGAAGGCCGGATGTCCGCGGAGCTCTAGGGTTCAGCAGGAAGGGCTTTGGTCCACCTGGAGAGGGCTGGGTGGGGAAGGCTTCGCAGAGAGGTGGTCCTGGAGCTGAACCTTACAGGATGTGTAGTTTTCCAAAAGGAGGAAGGAGGAGGAAAGGCAGTGCCGGAGAGAGGAAAGCCTGAGATCACTATTTCTGTAGCACACATAGAAAATAATACTCACAGTCCACTGGATAATAGACAAGCTGCTCACGGCTGAAGGCGGCTGGCTGGAAAGCTCTGGTCACCTCAGGGGGAATTAGCCTCCCTGAAGGTTGAGAGTTTCTATTTATTTTTTATTTTTTATTTTTTTAGAGTTTTTATATTAAACATATTTCACAACCACTCTATAAATATGAATAATATGTTGATATGTTGATAACAACGTAACAATATATTTCCTTTGATTTTTAAACCATGATAGGAGGTAGCGCCAGTTGAGAACAGAGAAGGTAAGATAAGCATGGAGCCGTGGGACTCGGCAAGAGTGGGATTTGTTCTAACCCAAAGTATGTGTTAAAAAGACTTGAAAATGATAGAAGTTGGGACACCTGGGTGGCTCAGTGGTTGAGCGTCTGCCATCGGCTCAGGGCGTGATCCTGGAGACCTGGGATCGAGTCCCACATTGGGCTCCCTGCATGGAGCCTGCCTCTCCCTTTGTCTGTGTCTCTGCTTCTCTCTCTGTGTGTCTCTCATGCATAAATAAATAAAATATTTTTAAAAAGTAAGTGATATAAGTTGAGGCTCAGTTCTTTCATCAAATTATCCTAATAATGTCCAAGTAATGTGTTAATTTTTAGAACACTTGTGGGGATCTTTCGAGTGGCTCACATCTTTGGAAGATTTCCCAATCTTTCAAAGATCTCCCAATAAACTGAGAGTTATTGGGTGACTGGCAGTCTCATTAAGTAGAGACTTTCTGTACACATCAGTGATGTCACTCCTTGGACTGAGACCTCACTCAGCTGCCAGACCTGTAGCAAGTATGCTTATAATCGTCTAGCTATTCTAATGCTCTCAGATTCTATATAATTAAGCATCTGTATTCTCAGCTAAGTCATAAACATTGTTATTAAAAGGGAATAATAGGGGTGGCTTGGTCAGTTAAGCATCTGCCTTCAGCTCAAGTCATGATCCCAGGTTCCTGGGATGGAGTCCTGCATTGGGCTCCCCGCTCAGCAGGAGCCTGCTTCTCCCTCTCCCCACCCCCACTTGTGCTATCTCAGTCTCTCTCTCTCTCTCTTTCTCAAATAAATAAATAAATAAATAAAATCTGAAAAAAAAAGAATGGCAAAATAAATTATAGCAATCTCGAGACACCTGGCTGGCTCAGTTGGTTAAGTGTCCAACTCTTGTTTTTTTTTTCTTTTTAAAAAATTTTATTATTTATTTATTTACTTATTTATTTTGTTTTTTGTTTTTTTCAACTCTTGGTTTTGGTTCAGGTCATGCTCTCAAGGTGGTGAGATTGAGCTCTGCATCAGGCTCTGTGCTTAGCCTGGAGTTGGCTTGAGATTCTCTCTCCCTCTGCCCCTCCGCACCACCCCTCAAATAAATAAATAAATAAATAAATAAATAAATAAATAAATAAAATCTTTTTTTAAAAAAAGGTTGTTCAAAGACGGCTCCACTGTCTGTGTTTGAATCCTGACTCCGATGCATTTTTTAAATTTATTTATTTATTTATTTATTTATTTATTTATTTATTTATAAGATTTATTTATTTATTAGAGAGAGACAGCGCGGGGTGGTGAGTCAGCAGGAGAGGGAGAGGGAGAGTTCAAGTGGACTCCGTGCTGAGCGCAGAGCCCGACACCGGCTCTCACGACCCTGAGATCACGACCTGAGCCCATACCAAGGGTCACTTGTCCAACCGACAATATGGCACAACATGCGTATATTGTAAATAAGTCCTTCGTGCTTTAACAGCCTCATGTCTCCAGCGGGGTGATGACTACAGTTGTTGTGCTTAGGTCAGCTGGTCAGTGTTCACAGCGGGGTCTGGCTCGCAGCAAGCAGGAGCTAAGTGAGGGCTCTCACTTTAGTAACAGTAAAAGTAATGTTGTCCTTGCTGGGCCGGTATGTAGTGAGTTTCAATGAATTTATTCTTTTAGATGGAAGGGACACTGGAGTAAGAGTAACTGTGTTGGTGAATGTATTGCTGGGCCCTTGAAAGCCCCGCCTGCCCGAGTCCCTGGGGTGCCTGCTGTGCTGGCAGAGGAGCAGTCCCAGCAGCCGCCTGCAGTGGCTCCCATTAGCTCCCTCGGTCTGCTCTCCCCACCGCTCCCCAGCTCCCCGAGAGTCTCCCCTTTTTACCAGTGGCCATGTGAGGACAACTGCAGGGGAGGTCCTTCAGAGGCCCAGATGGACACTGGGCATGTCCCAACAGGCGTGCCACCAGCAGTGTCATCTCTCCAGGTAGATGGGTAGGAATCAGGGTTGACAGGCAGTCTTGGTTGGAGCCTATGGTCACTGTGTGTGGGGATGGTCCCTGGAGGGGGTCCTACTGGGACTCCTTAGGGCTCTGGGGGGGTGAGGGCAAGGGCTGAGCATAGGCTGGCTCTTCTCAGTCTTTGAGGGAATCAGAGGCTGTGCCTAGAGGGTCCCTGCTGGGCTGAGCATTAACCTTTTACCTGCTGGACTGTGAAGAGAGGGCGAAATCCATCAGGCAGTTTACCTCCTGGTGCACCGTCAGTGCCTGAGCAACAGTGAGGGGGTCGGGATAAGGGGCTCAGGCTGAGGCCAGACACGGGGCCAAGGCAGCTTGGGAGTGGCCTGGAGCAAAGCAGTCATTGCCTCTGCTGTCCCCTCTGCACAGGAGCCGTCCCTGGACCCCAGGCCCATCCTGGAGCTGCCCCTGGACAGGCTGGTCCAGAAGCTGCGGGATGAAGAACTCAGTCTGGAGAGCGTCCTCTGTAGCTACTTAGAGGAGGTGGGGTTCGGGGTCAGGACTGGGGTGGGGACTGTCACCTGTTGTCCTCTTCACAGCTGTGGGGGGCAGCTGTGACATATTGGTACTCCAGCTGCCTTGGCCCCGTGTCTGGCCTCAGCCTGAGCCCCTTATCTCGACCCCCTCACTGTTGCTCAGGCACTGACGGTGCACCAGGAGGTAAACTGCCTGACGGATTTCCTGGACGAGTGTGAGGAACAACTGCAGGCATTAAAGAAACTCAAGAAGACTGAGAGAGGCCTTCTCTATGGGGTCCCCATCAGCCTCAAGGACCCCTTCAACTGCAAGGTGAGCTGGAGGGACACGTTTGTACGTGTGCATGTTCGTGCGCCTCACATATCACCGAGCTTGTGAGCATCAGAGTGTGTGACTTTGAGCGAGTTACTGAATCAAGGATGCACAACTAGAACGTGGCCAGCTGGGATCTGAGCCCGACAGTCTGGCTCTGGCCCACCACATTCTTCTGCCACTTGTGAATCCTCGTAGGGGGACAGCAGGTGTGTCTCAGTGGCTGTGACAATGTGTGTGATTGAGAGCAGAGTGAGGACGAGAGTCTGTCCGCTGGGCGGTTGCATCTTGACCCTGATGGGCTGGAGTTAATGTCACTTCCTTGCAGGGCCATGACTCTACATGTGGCCTGGCCCAGTTCCTGGAGAAGCCAGCGGCCAAGGACGGGGTCATTGTGAAAGTGCTGAAGGCCCAGGGAGCTATTCCCTTCGTTAAGACCAACATCCCCCAGACACTGTTCAGGTCTCTGAAGCCGGGAGGCGGGACTGGGCTTGGGGCTGGACCCAGGACTGGTGGCAACTTAAGTATCAATTCAGGGCGGAGGGTGAGGTGGGGGCCAGTCAAGTTGACTGTCTTTTTCTATCCTCTGAGCCTCGGTTTCTTCATCTTTTTATTTTTTTTAAGATTTTATTTATTTATGAAAGAGAGAGAGAGAGCACACATGAGCAGGGAAGGGCAGAGAGAGAGGGAGAAGCAGACTCTCTGCTGAGCAGGGAGCCCCATTCGACTTGGGGTTCGATCCCAAGGACTCCGGGATCATGACCTGAGCCAAAGGGAGACGCCTATCTGACTGAGCCACCCAGGCACCCTGGTTTCTTTATTTTATAATGTGTGGGTGGACTTCACAGTCTCTACGGGCCCTCAGGCTCTGAGGTTCTGAAGAGTTTCCAGCTCCCTAATTATCCCAGTTTCTCTCTCTCATAGTTTTTCTCACCCTCGATTCTCTTTCTTCTCCCTCAGCATTTAGACTACCTACTTTTGTGAGGAACCTGTTCCCAACTCTGGCAGCAGGGCTGGGGCCTCCTGTCCTTAAGTTAGGAGTTGTGGTTGGTGTCCACTCTTGGTCTTTCCCGTCGGCCCTCCCCTCAACCATAAGGGAGACTAGGAGAGCTCAGCCCTGGGGAGGAGCTTGGGAGCCAAAGCAGGCCCCAGGTGGACTCCTGAGGGCGTCGGTCTCTACACGGGGAGGGATGTTTCCCCAGTTCAACCTTCACCTCCCAGCCCCCCTTTCTTCTGCTTCCGTCAGCGCTGAGTGCAGCAACCCCATCTACGGACAGACTCTGAACCCTCTGCGCTTAAAGAAGTCACCGGGGGGCTCCTCGGGGGGCGAGGGAGCCCTGCTTGCACAAGGGGGTTCCATCCTGGGCATGGGTACTGACACCGGAGGCAGCATCCGCATACCAGCCAGCTTTTGTGGTGTCTGTGGCCTCCGGACAACAGGATACCGTCTCAGGTGCTGGTGTAGGGGGGAAGGGGAGGCTCAGCCCAGCCTAGGGAAACAGAGGTCTGGGGTGCAGAGGGTCTGCTTGGCACATCCACTCTTATCCATTCATCTCAGTACTAGGGGAAGTGGCTAACGGTAGGGGGGCTTCAAAGAACTCCTGTTTCAGCCCCAGATAAACACACCATGTCTGGTATAGGTGACAATAGAAAAGACCTTCCACTCACTCATGAATTCATTTGTTCATTAATTCATTCATCTTTACGTCGACTCCTCTCCCTCCCTGTTCCTTTAGTCACCCATTGGTCCATTTATTTTTCCATCTATCCATCCTTTGTCCATTCACCCACATATACAGCCATCATCCCAGTCTCTATCCATCAATCAATGTCACTATTCATCCACCATTTAGTTTATCTAACAAACATTTATTGAGTGTTCACTCTGTGATTGACAGTGTCCTAGGTACTTGGGATATATTGGTAAACAAAAGGATGAATATCGAAGCCCTTGAAAAATGTATACACATCCTTCCTCCCATTTGTTAATTCACTCACTCATCCATTTACCTCCCCGGTCATCCCCTCACCTAGCCAACTATCTATCCACCCATATCTGTCTCTGTTCATTCATCCACTCATCTTTTAGCCCCACCCTGAGTACCTACACTGGGGTGGCCCCTATGCTGGGGACACAGAACACCATCAGACCCAGTCCCAGCCCCTTTTGTGCTCTTAGACATGCAAATGGCTTAGTCAGAAAGTGGTGGGGCTTTCAGAGATGGTCAAAGCCTGTGGGAATCACAGGATAAAGCTGACATTTTTCTTCAACAGAGTTTTATTAAAAGCCCAGACTTTAAACTTTCAGAGGCAGGGCAAGGGAAGGGAAGGTTTCCTTAAAGAGACGGAATCTGAGCTTGGCTTTGAAGGATGGGTATACAGAGATGGTGTAGAGTCTAGAAGCTGTAAACTGTGAGCTGCTTACTTTGCCTGGAGTAATGTGTGTATGTGGAAGGGCTGGCAGGGGAAGCCATGGAAGAAGGGGATACTCCAGAGCCTCGGAGGCATTCAGAGAGTTCAGACTTAATGCTGTGGGCAGTAGGGTCATGGCAGGGTTGAAGCAGCTCCTCTTCCTGGGTGCTGGGCCCTCAGGAAGTGCTTGGCACTCAGGCTCCTCCCTGCAAGTGCTGAGCTGGATACTGTGTGGGTGGGGTTTTGCAGCTACTCTGGAGTTGCCTCTGCTATCAAAGGCCAGAAATCAGGTATGCTCCTGTCTGTGCCTGTGGCCATACCCATTGAAAGAAAATCTGTCTGCCTTCCTCCCAAAGACGTTTCACTCAGCCCCTGTCTCAGACAGGTTAGCTCCCTTGGTGATGAAGCGCTTGAGGGGACAGCATGGCTCCCGCCTGGCCTTCCCCTAGGCCAGTGAGAAGTGCTTCCTACTATTTAGCTTTAATCCCTCCTACTTGTCTCCTGATGTTCTGCCCCAGAGGGGATTCTCCAGTTAGGCACCAGCCTGCAACTTTCCTTGTCCTCAACCCCTGACCCAGGTTGGCCCCAGGGCCCCTTTGACATTCATCATGGCCCTGGGCCCCACCCCCCAAGGCCAGGCAGTGGGGGTCCCCAGAGCAGAAAGGAGGAGAGGAATCTGTTTCTTCTCTCTTCAGTGACCACGGTGGCTGGCCCCATGGCCCGGGATGTGGAGAGCCTGGTGCTGTGTCTGCGAGCCCTGCTAAGTGAAGACATGCACCGACTGGACCCCACTGTGCCTTTCATGCCCTTCAGGGAGGAGGTGAGCTGGCCTGGGGAGCAGGCTTGGAGGGCTCCCACCTCTCTCCTCCCTTCATTCCTCATTGACATGTCTACCATCTGGCCATCTTCTGTGAAGACCTCCTTTCCCAGCCCAAGGTCCAGTGACCAAGAAGTCCTCAGCCATATTCACCTCCCACCCCTGCTGAATACCAGCTGCTTTGGCCTCTCAGCTACTTTGGAGCCATAGCTAACACTGCCCCCAGAGTGGGACTCCATCGTCACATACCCAACACACACAGACATAACACTCAGCAGGTATGGTTTAGAGAGTCTGGTATCTGGTTCAGCTGGGCTTTTAGTCCTCCAGGTAACCTTGGCCAAGGTTATCTTTCTAGGCCTCAGTCTCCCTACTGGTATAATAAAGAAGTTGGACACGAAGATTGCTCCAGGCCCTTCCAGCTCTGGCAGCTTCATTTATTCATTAGTTTATTTCATAACATTTATTGGCACCTACTATGTGCAAGCTCTTTGTACTTCATCCTAATACTCATTTGATAGAAAGCATCATGCTTCTCTCTCTCTCTTTTTTAAAGATTTTATTTATTTATTCATGAGAGACACAGAAGGAGAGAGAGGCAGAGACACAGGCAGAGGGAGAAGCAGGCCCCGTGCAGGGAGCCTAATGTGGGACTCCATCCTGGGTCTCCAGGATCATGCCCCAGGGCTGAAGGTGGTGCTAAACCGCTGAGCCACCCAGGGATCCCCAGCATCGTGCTTCTCATTTACAGGCAAGGAAACTCGGGGAAATGAGGTGAGTTTACATAGCTAGTAACTGGCAGAACTGGGCTTTGAAGCCAGCCCTAACTGCTCTAGAACCTTCTCCATATGGACAGTCTCTTTCTACCATTCAGTCAATGTCTACTCATCTGATCTCTCTACACATCCTAATATAATCAACCTGTGATCACTTTCTATCATCCATTATTTGCCTCTACTGATCTCTCCATCTCCATCCTCTCCTGGCTCTTTCTTAGCTTAAAGGTCTTTGTGTCTATTCATCTCCTTACTTACCTGCCTACCCACTCAATTCCAACCATCCATTCTCCCATCTACCCATCTATCCATTCAATCCTCTGCCCACCCCCAACTCATGAATCTATCTACCTATCCACTTCATCCACCCAATTATGTCCTCATCCATTTGCTCTTCCAGGGGTTTCTCCAAAGGACCTAGAGCCTGGAAAGTACATAGAGAGGCCTTGGAGCCAAACGGGCTCTTGGGAAGCTTCTGTAGAATCCTCTAGGTTGAAGACAACCATGACCCAAGGCCCTGGTCTGGCTCTTCAAGAGACCCAGTCTCTCCTGAGAGCCCCACCCAGCCCTTCTTGCCCACAGATATACTCCAGTAACCAGCCCCTTCGAATAGGCTACTGTGAATCAGATGGCTTCACCCAACCATCTCCGAGCATGGCCAGGGCCATGAGGCTCACCTCCAGGCTGCTCCAGGACGCAGGACATCAGGTAGGCTTACTTAGCCCTGAATAGGGAGGGAAGCCAGACTGTGAGGATGCTGGGCTGGGCTATTCTTAGAGAGAAAGGGAGTTAGATCTGAGTGTGAGCTGCTAACATCACTGTGTTTCCCCCTAAGTTTCCTGGAGAAGACTGATGGGCTGCAGGTGGAGGCAGGGTGGGCCCACCCTGTGAGGAAGGCATCCAGATTTTGCAGCTTCCCCCTTCAGTGGTCGGGACTCAGGGACTCACTCCTATAACTCCTATAGCTTGGGTTTCTGCCTCCATCAAAGGGCCATAAGGAGATCTCTGTCCTCAAAATCACCTCCCCACCCCAGTCCTTGCCTCCCACTTTCAATGGCTTGTCCTAGTCCTGCCTCCCCTTTGAGAATTTCTCATTGGTGACACATGTACCTATGTAATCTTGGGCCAGTCTCTTAACTCCCCTGAGCCTCAGTTTTCTACCACGCGGGGCAGTGAATATTAAATGAGCTCATATATGTGAAGCACATGGCATGGGAGCAGGATCACAGTGAAGCAGGCAGGAAATGAGGGTTGCTTGAATGCCATGGCATCTCTGTGTGGGGTGAGGGAGTGGCATGGGAGCAGAGGGGCTAAGGTGGATGGAGATGAGCAGTGATGTGGTATCCTCTCTTTAAATCCTGAGGGAGGTAGAGAGGATCCCAGGCATTCCAGGCCCTGACTCAGCCTCTGTTTCCCAGGTCATCCCCTTCTCCATCCCCCGCATAGAATATGCTGTCAAACACCTGTTCGTGGGGGGTCTGTTTGCCGATGGAGGAGCCACCCTTCTGGAGAAGCTGTACATTTGTCAGGACTCAGATAAAGGGCATGGGATTGGGGGCGGGGCTGGCAGGGACTCGGGCCCTAGGAAGGGACTATGGGCCTGGGATGGTGGGATGCCTCTGGTTAATTGTGTCACTTTAAACAGCAAGTCAGCTGCTTGAGCTCCATATTTGGCATGCATGTGTTCCTGGGGTGGAGGTGAGGGGAACAGAAGTGTCTCTTTGGGTCTCATCTCCATCCAGGGCTTGCCTCTGGAGGGGCAGTTGGGTGGCTACGAGAGCCAGTTGATGGCAGAAAGGCTGTAACTGTCTGTGGTTCCTCAGTGAGGGGGACATTGTGGACCCTTGCATGAAGACAATGATCAACCAGCTCCGCTTGCCAGACCTACTCAAGTGTTTCTTGGCCTGGATCCTGAAGTACATAGTGAGTATAGGCCCAAGGTGGTGGTGGTGGTAGGGGGGGCATTCAGGAAGGGAGAAGCCCAGATTGGAGAAGGACTCAGAGAGGAGAATGGGCCCCAGAGAGTGGTGGGGGCTCAGAGAAGAGGACCCAAAAGGGGTGATGGGGGCCACAAGAGAGGGGTACTTTCAGAGAGAGGGGTGCCTCAGAAAGAGGAAGGGGTTTTAGAGAGGAGGTGGGGGCCTAGACGGGGCTCAAGGCTTGTGAAAGAGTAGAAGCTTCCAAGTCAATGGGCTGAGCAGAGATGATTCTCCTGGACCTCAATTCTGGGCAGGTTGGTGTTGCCCTGTGGTTTCTGAATGGGTCGCTCCTTCTCTTCCCTTCTCTAGGAACCCCGAGCTAGCCAGAATTTAGAAGAGATGCGTGGGGTGAGGTGAGTGCTAGTCTCTTCAGGTGAAGCTCACAAGCATCTTCCACAGGGTGGAGGGAATTGGGGAAGGGCCATGTGGCTAGAGTTGACATCCACTGGGGGCGAGGACTATTTAGACTTTGGGATCTAATTAGGTTTTTAGGGTCATGTCTGACACTGGTTGAATTTAGGCTTTTGAGTAGGGTTGGAATTGGGGCTACTTTGGGGCTGGGGTTTGATTTGGAGTTAAGCTCTGAGTTCAGGATAGAATTAGCTTAGGCTGGGGTAAAGGTTGGGCCTGAGTTGAGGTTGGGTTTGGGTTTGGGTTGTGGTTGGGGCTGGGGTTAGTTTGGAATTGGGACTGTAGTAGCCTGAGGGCTGATGGGGGCCTCACAGGTTAGGGGAAGAATCTGTGGTTTTGGGGGTAGCCTGTGAGTCCCTGTAGTTGGTGGGGGTGGGGGTGGGGCATTGACCAGACGGTGTGTACTCTTGGGAGCACTGGACAAGCAAGGTGTTTTGGTCAGAGAACATGACACAGGGTCATTCCCAGCCCGTCAGCTGATTTGCTGCCTGCATTGAGACTAGGCTCTAGCTCTTGATTGTAATGTCCCCGTTTGTATAAAAGGGGGTCGGTCCTCTCATGCTAACCTTTGGGCTTCGAAGTCTTATTTATTCCCCCAGGACTCCCAAGAAGCTGTGGGAGCAGCACAGTGCAGTGGAGGTGATGTGTGCCTGAAGAGACCTCAAGGGACTGCTGGAGCAGGGGCAGCAAGAGACCTGGGTGGTGACAGGAGTGGCCAGATGGGGGCAGAGCTCTGTCCTGGCCTGCAGGGGAGGTCCAGTTACACCTGGATGGGAAGGCTTGGCGACCTGGGAGGTTAATTTAGTCCCTCTCTTTGGCACCAGGATGATATGTTGTTCCCAAATAATGCAGCCTGAGTCTCCCCTTCCCATCCCTTCACCTGGGCCCCCGGGAAGGCCCTGACCCTCCCCAGATATCTTAGTCTGCATCTCGCAGTCTGGGAATTCTTCCCCATGTCTAATGTACTGGGAGGCTTGGTCGCACCTGACCTTGTCCTGCAAACACTGACCTCTGCTGGTCTTGCCCCTCCCATCCCCCACTGTTCCTGCAGGAATATCGGCAAGAGTTCATAGCCAGGTGGAGGTCCTTAGACCTGGATGTGCTGCTGACACCAGCTGTGGACCCTGCCTTCGATGTAGGCTATTCTGGCAAGGCATTAGGTGAGACGACACTGGTCCTGGTGGGGTTGAAAACCGGAGTCCGGGACTTCACACAGCCTCTGTGGCCTTGACTTCTGTCACCATTCACCATTTATTTTATTTTTTTAAAGATTTTATTTATTTATTCATGAGAGACACACAGAGAGAGAGGCAGAGACACAGGCAGAAGGAGAAGCAGGCCCCATGCAGGGAGCCCAACATGGGACTCGATCCCGGGTCTCCAGGATGATGCCCTGGGCTGAAGGCGGCGCTAAACCGCTGAGCCACCGGGGCTGCCCACCATTCACCATTATTATTTATTTATTATTTATTTATTTATTTATTTATTTATTTAATGATAGTCACACAGAGAGAGAGAGAGAGGCAGAGACACAGGCAGAGGGAGAAGCAGGCTCCATGCACCGGGAGCCCGATGTGGGATTCGATCCCGGGTCTCCAGGATCACGCCCTGGGCCAAAGGCAGGTGCCAAACTGCTGCGCCACCCAGGGATCCCCCCATTCACCATTTTATTTTATTTTATTTTTTAAATTTTTTTTATTTACTTATGATAGTCACACACAGAGAGAGAGAGAGGCAGAGACACAGGCAGACGGAGAAGCAGGCTCCATGCACCGGGAGCCCGACGTGGGATTCGATCCTGGGTCTCCAGGATCGCGCCCTGGGCCAAAGGCAGGCGCTAAACCGCTGCGCCACCCAGGGAACCCTCCATTCACCATTTTAAAAAAATTCTTAGGGATCCCTGGGTGGCGTAGCGGTTTAGCGCCTGCCTTTGGCCCAGGGCGCGATCCTGGAGACCCAGCATCGAATCCCACGTCGGGCTCCCGGTGCATGGAGCCTGCTTCTCCGTCTGCCTGTGTCTCTGCCTCTCTCTCTCTCTCTCTCTCTCTCTCTCTCTCTCTCACTGTGTGCCTATCTAAATTAATAAAAATTTTTAAAAAATTTAAAAAAATTCTTAAATTGAGATAAAATTTCATCATTTTGAAGTGTACAATTTAGTGGTTTTGAGTATGTTTAGAATGCCGTGCAACAACTACCACTATCTAATTCCAGAACATTTCCATTATCTTTGAAAGAAACCTGTACCCATTAGCAGACACTCCCAATTTCCATTCCCTTTGAAAATGAATTTTGTTGAAGGGCACCTGACTGGCTCAGTCAGTAGAGTATGCAACTCCGGATCTCAGGGTCTTGAGTTCAAGCCCCATGTTGGGTGTAGAGCTTACTTAAAAAAGAAAAAAAAAAAGATAGAAATGAACTCTATTGAAATATAATTTACATGCTGTGAGACTCACCAATTTTCAGAATGTAATTTGATAAATTTTAACAGATGCATATAGCTATATAACCACCATCATAATAAAAATAGACTATTTTCATCATCATCCACCAAGTTTCCCTGATAGCCCTTGGCAGTTCACCCTGCCCCTGCATCCTGCAACCACTGATCTACTTTCTGTCACTATAGTTTGGCGTTTCCTAGGGTTTCCTAGAAATGGAATCAGAAGGAAGAAGGCTTTTGTGTCTGGCTTCTTTCACTTAGCATATGCATTTGCTCCTAACATACTTCCTGCTGCCTCACTTCAGAAGGTGGCTTTAGTCTAGCCACCCTGAAATGCAGTTTATGGGGCAACGTGGGGGTTGGGGGGTGGGGGAAGTGGAAGGGGTGGGGGAAGTGGTGGGAGTTGGGGGAGTGGGGGGTAGGGGAGTGGGGAGGGTGGGGGAAGTGGGGGGAGTGGGAGAAGTGGGGCCACCCTGCCCAGCAGAGGCACAGGCCTCAGAGGTGTTATCAATGCAGAATGAAAACCCACCTCAAGCCTGGACTCCTCTTCCCTGGCTCCCCCCACCGTGGCTGCCCAAAGGCGCATCCTGTCCCTGGCCCTGCACCCATGTCCTCTGTGACATCACGGCCCCTCCTCTGTCACTCATTCCCTATGTATGGGTGGCTGCTGCACAGGAGCTGCCTTTTAACTCAGGCTTGACTTGCATGCCTCAGCCACCAACAACCCTGTGGCCTGTGAAAAACCACCTCCCCGTCAACCACCTTGGTTTCCTCATTTGTACACAGGGAAGAGTCCCCTCCACCCCACAGGGTGGAGAGGACTCCAGGAGTCAGCAGTGGAAGGAGGCCAGCACTGGCCTGAGGGCCTGGCCCTGAGTAAGGATTCAATAGCGTCCATTCTCTCCTGCCCTGTGGGGAGAGCAGGAGGCCGTGGTCAGGGGGGCGCCCAGCACCCAAAGGGGCCATGTGGCAGGCTGGGGGGCTGCAGTGCCGAGGGGGTGCTCACCCAACACGCTTGTTCACTGGAGTCTTCAGTCCACTGAAGATTCCCCGGGCTTGCCTGGATCTTCCTACAGATAGCTTCTCCTACTTGCACCTGTACAACGTCCTGAACTTCCCTATTGGCGTGGTGCGGGTCACCAGTGTGACGCCGCAGGACGAGGAGGACCTGACCTTCTACAAGGGATACTATGGAGACAGTTCTGACACGTATTTCCGGGAGGTCAGTTCCCCTCTGTGGGCCTCTCCCCCAGGGGCACAAGCCAGGACTGGGTCTCCGAATGGGAGTGGGGTGAGGCCAGTCATGCCTGGCGTTCATCCGTTGTCACCTCTGCTGTGGTCTCACCCCACCTCCGAAGACTCAGGCTTTGAGCTCCAAGTCAGCCTCTGTCCTTGTTCGGGGAGACTACAAAACCACCGATCTTCTTGCCACTTCCGTAGGGAAGGTTGACCCCAGAGGCAGGAAGAGTAGAGCAAATGCCCCGGGTTAGGAGCTTACTAGGTAACTGGACTGGACACGGCTCCTCTCCGAGACTCAATTTCTTCGCCAGGAAAATGGGAATTAAAATATCTATTTTGCAGTTTGTCCTAAAGTCTCCATCAAAACACTGGAAAGCAATTAGCATCAGGTTTTGTATCTAAGAAGTGTTCGATACATGCTACTATTACTAATTTGGAGGTGGTTTCACAAAAGGAAATATTTCCATGCGCGTATATTTTTTATTTTATTTATTTATTTATTTATTTATTTATTTATTTATTTATTTATTTTTTAAAGATTTTTAAAAGATTTTCTTTGTTTATTCATGAGAGACACACACAGAGAGAGGCAGAGACATAGGCAGATGGAGAAGCAGGCTCCCCACAAGGAGCCTGATGTGAGACTCAATTCCAGCAACCTGGGATCACACCCTGGGCCAAAGGCAGACTCAACCACTGAGCCACCCAGGTGTCCCTCCATGCGCATATTTAATGCATGATCTAAAGTAACAACCTTGTCTTGCTTGGGTGGCAGAGAGAAAGAGAAGGAGAGACAGACTGACTCCGAAAAGTATGTATGTGTCTGAGTCAGACATTAAGTAACTTACTTTTTGGGAAATTGATTTCAGTGCTAGAGTTACCCAGTGGAACTGCTGACCTGAATTCTGAGAAAATAACAATAATGATACTATCTAATGTGTCTTGAGCTCTAACTCCGTTCCAGGAGCTGTTTAAAGTGCTGTATATATATTAAATCATTAAATCCCATAACCGTCCTGTGAGGTTTTACAAAGTTGGAAATGGGGCCACACGTAGGTTAAGAGACTTGACCAATGCCGCCACACCTCATGGGCAGTTGACGTGGAGGGAGCCAGGACTTGAAGCCAGTTGACTTGGCTCCAGGGACATAGACAAATAAGGGTTCGTATCTTATCATCATAAAACAATGAAAACATGTTTGAATTCCTATAAGTATGTTTGGATTTCATGGCAGGGACTCAGGTTCAGTCCCCATGTTCCTGAGTCTGTGTTTGGGGTCAAGGTACCTCTTTCACTGCAGGAGTATGACCAGGCTCTGGATCAGGGCTTTGCACATTCTTCCCTCCATTGCTGAGAACACTGGGTGGATAATCACTTTTATATTTCATGATTACAGTCAGCTCTCTGCACAGGGAGCAGGTTTTACATCTTAACCTTGGAGAACTAGAGACAGGAAAAGTCAGAATAGTTTTTCCAGGTTTCCCTGAGAGCTGAGGAAGCCTGGAACCCTGAGACCCAGGACATCTCTACCTTAATAGAGCCTGGGGATGCGATGTTGGGGCTAAGGAGTATGGTGGTGAGGGGGGCTGGGCACAGGCCTGTGACTGGAAAGTAGGCTCTAAGTCCCCCCACCCTCTCTCTGGCAGGCCTTACAAGGGTCCGTGGGACTCCCCGTGGCGGTGCAGTGCATTGCTTTGCCATGGGAAGAGGAGCTGTGTCTCCGGTTCATGAAGGAGGTGGAGACCTTGGTCAAGAACCACAGGGAAGCAGAGTTATAGGCCACTCCTTCTCCTGGAGGCCTTCCTACAGCCTCCTCAAAGTTGGCTTCTGATGCCCCTTCTCAAGAATACTGTATGCGCCTGTCTCCTCCTCCTTGAAGCCCACCGGATTCCTTTTCTTTGTTGTCCTTCTGCGTGGGTACGCAATACATGGACTCTTCAGATTGGCCCAAGATGGGGCACAGGGTGAAGGGCTCAATAAACATTTCTGACTGGTCGGCCTTGTGATCTCTGGTCTAGGCGGGGCTGTAGCCTCCTGGTGGCCTTCTGCGTCCAGTTCAGTCCCCCAGATGACACCTCAGATTGCAGCAGAGGGGAGAGAGCTCCAAACAGAGGGGCTGGTGAGTCCAAGTCCTGGCTCTGCCACTGGCTTCTTGTGTGATGCTGGGCAAGTTACTTCCCTTTTCTGGACTTCAGTTTTCTCATCTACAAATTGAAGGGGTTAGATTTGATACCTGCCAACCAGACTATTCTGTGATCTGTGATTTGTAAGCACTTCCCCGATCAAGAACCTGCCATGGCTTCCACTGCTGTCTAGAGAAAGTTCCAAAGAGCAGGCCCAAGGGAGTGAAACCCAGTCAGAACAGATTGTAGATTGGGACCCACACCCAGGCTCACAGTCCAGAGCAAAGCCTGCAAAGTGCCTATTTCTTGGCTTGACACTCAGCAGCTCCCAAGATCCTCCATGGCCTCCTTGGCCAGGGCCCCACCACAGCACAGCCTCCCTCTGTTCCCTCAGCCTGGAGCTTTCTTGCCACACAAGTGCACTTTGCATTTTTGCTTCTCTGCCTCTGTCACATTATTGCCTCCACCCAAACACCTTCACTGTCTTCTCTGTCCTTCAAGCCCTGCATCAAATGCCACTTCCTTCAGGAAGCCTTTGATCCTCCAACTCTCCCATGAACTTCCCTTCATCTGAACTCTCTTGTGGTCCTTCCCCATTAAAACTTACCCTTTCTTTTTTTTTAAGATTTTATTTATTTATTCATGAGAGACACACACAGAGTCAGAGACACAGGCAGAGGGGAAGCAGGCTCCAGGCAGGGAGCCCAAAGTGGGACTTGAACCCGGGACTCCAGGATCACACCCTGGGCTGAAGGCAGATGCTCAACCACTAGGCATCCCAAAACTTACCCTTTTGTATCTCACTCCTCTTTACAGTCCTACTTCCAGCCAGCTAGGCAAGCTAAGGGACTCATTGCTCTCTGTGCCTCATAGCAGAGACTCTGGAGAGAAAACCTCAATGCAGAGGGATAGATTTCATCTATCCACCCACCCACCTGTAGCCATCCATCCTACATTTGTTAAGTACCTCCTATGAACACAAATGATGGAATTTCAGGTAGAAAAAGACCTGAGTTTGACTCAGAAAAAAATCACACCAGAAGGGAAGCCTGACTCCACCTGCAACAGAAGGAACCATGTGGGGTATCCCGGTGCAGGTGAGACAGGGCTGACCTCACTGGGGCCTCTACTCTCTCCAGAGTCTGAGATCTCTGCTGGAGAAGGAGCCTCATGGTTTCTTCTCACACAGGGCTAGTAGAGCTCCTGCTCTGTCCTCTCCCCCCCTAAGAGGGAGGTCTAGGAGGCTGGGAGAAAATGGTGGGAGGGGGAGGCCAAGAGGTTTTCTTCCTCAAGTGCCTCCTGCCTCTTCTCTCGCTCCCCGAGACTGCAACAGCTTGGACACCAGGGGGCAGCATCGAGCTTTCCACAGCCCAGAATTGTCCGCTGGCAGATGGCAGTCACCAGGACTTTCCCAGCCTTAACTCAGTGGTCCAGATGGGAAGACTAGAGGTGGGGAGACTGGGATTGGGGAACATGGGAATAAGGTGGCGGTTTCAACATTAGCAGATTATAAGAGATAGGGTGCAGAATTCTATTTTGTCTGAAATTAGCCTGGGGAAAGAGTGGCCGATACCAGCGCAAAGGGCCAAGGACATGAGAAGCCTCTCCTTGGGTCAGATTTCCCTCCAGGCTGGGCTTTCTCTTGTTTCTCCTGAACTGATATTTGGGTCAAAACTGCCTTCCTCCCCAGCTCCAGCTTCAGCTCCTGCACTGAGCTGTAACCTCTCACTACCTGCCAGCATCCTCTTCAGCTAAAATCAGCCCTGGTCTGTGTGACTGTGGGCAGGTCATTGGCTTCCTCAGGGCCCCTTCCCGTAGTGGCTGAGGCCGTGGGCGGGTGCTCATGGGATGCCCAGGGACAGGGCATTGCCTCCTTCTCCCCTTCCCACTCCTGTGACTTCCGTTGCAGAAGGCTTGGCCTGGGCACATGTGTCCCGCTTCCCGATCAGCCTGCCCAGGAGCAGTGGGAAAGTCCCCCAGCTTCTTTGAGCCTGCTTCTTCTGTGAGGTAGAAATGACTACATCTGCCCCAGCCACCGGATGAGACAGATCTCCAAAGGGTGGAAGCCGGGTGGGATAGGACTCAGGGTCCCCTCCCAGCCTGGGAGTCACTGCAGGTTGAGAGGCTGCCTCCAGTCTGGTGTCAGTGTCCAGAGTTCACCTGGGAAAGCCAGCTCCTCCTGGAGGAGCCTGAGAGCAATAGTGGGTCACTCCGGGAGGAATTTAGCTTTGAAACGGAGAAGTAGGAAGCCTGAGTGGCTCAGTGGGTTAAGCGTCTGCCTTTGGCTCAGGTCATGAACCCAAGGTCCCGGGATTGAGCCCTGCGTCAGGCTCCCTGCTCAGTGGGGAGTCTGCTTCTGCACTTTCCTTGCTTGTGAGGAAGGAAGGAAGGACGGAAGGAGGGGCAGCCCGGGTGGCTCAGCAGTTTAGCGCCACCTTCATCCCAGGGCGTGATCCTGTAGACCCTGGATCGAGTCCCACATCAGGCTCTCTGCATGGTGCCTGCTTCTCCTTCTGCCTATGTCTCTGCCTCTCTCTCTCTCTCTCTCTCTCTGTGTCTCTATAAATAAATAAATAAATAAGTAAATAAATAAATAAATAAATAAAATCTTTAAAAAAAAAGGAAGGACAGAAGGAAGGAAAAGAAAAAGGAAGGAAGAAAGAAAAGAAAAGAAAAGAAAAGAAAAGAAAAGAAAAGAAAGAAAAGAAAAGAATTCCAGTGGGACGGGGTGTCTACAAAGCCTGGCACGGAGGCTCCTGCCTAGGACCCTTTGGGCAGGGGGTGCCCTGAGCTCGGGTCTTGATCCCGCGCTGGGGGCGCAGGTAGGAGCTCGCCTCTCCCGGGGCCTCAGTTTCCCCCGCGGCTGCGCGGGTGGGGGGCCGCGTGTCTGCCCGCCCCCTCTGCCCTCGGCAGGCTCCGCCCGCAGCCTCTCCGCCTTACCCGGCGCGCTCCCACTCCGTCCCCAGCGCGGTCCCCGGCACCCGGACCGGGCGGAGCCCCCCCAGCCCCGCCGCCCCCGCTCCCGCCCCCGCCCCGCGCCTCCCCGGGCGCCCGCATTAAAGCGCATATGCAAGCCATGAATTATCAACTGAAAGGAGTCAATTACCGGCTCTAAAAACGAGTGTCTGCGCCCGCAGCGCCCGGGGCCATCCGCCTATTTACGGAGCGATCTCCCCCGCCCGGCCTCGGGAGGGCTCGACGGCGAGAGCTGGAGCCCGACACCGGGCGGGAGAGAGCCGCGGGGACCCGGAGGTGGAGGCCTGGACCAACGCGCAGAGGCTCGGGCCAGGCAAAGGCGGCTGGGTCCCTCCTCTCCCGAGAGTCGGGGGTGGGGAGTCGGGGTGGGAGCGGGGAGCGTCCAGAACCTCAGAGGCCCCGTTTCCCCTCCCCCGTCTGTGTGTAGGGACCCTAGGCCTCCAGGGCTGGGGGAGACCGGACTGCTGGTCCGAGCTCTTGGGGGGGGGGGAGGTGGGGAGCACAGTTCCGGCAGGAAACCGGGGAGCAGGCTGGGGCGTTGTCCAGCGTGGAGGTGAGCTGGCCGGCGTGACCATCAGAAGAGGAGGAGAGGTGACGAACAGGCCCAAAGTGAGGCTAGAGTTTGACTTGGGGGTGTCTGCAGAGCCCCAGGATTGAGAGAGGGGTGGTGAAACCACCCTCAGTGGACTCTGGAAGTCCTGTCTGCCCCCACAGGCTCTCACCCAAGCGGTTCCCTTCCCTGGAAATGCTTCACCTCCAGGCCTCTCCAGCACCTGCACCTGCCTCAGCCCAGCACGCACCCCCGTTCTGTCCCACAATCCAGGCCCAACTTCTCCAGCAGACCCTGAACAGGGTGAGGCAGGGCCTTGCCCACCTGGGTCCTCTGGAGGGAGCTACCCGGAGCTACCTAAGCGTTTGTTGAACAAGTGAATGGAGGGGTGAGCTGGCTAGAGGGGACCTTGGCTTGGACTGAGGCTGTAACCAAGGCTCAGGGTTCAGAGGGCAGGGCTGCATGTAAAGCACTCTGTACAGATCAGTGGAAAACTTCAAGCCACCCTCGTGCTGGGGTGAAGTCACACAAACTGAGTCCAGCTGTTGCTAAGCAGGGCTTGGGGGAGAACAGGGGAGGAGCAGGGGCAGGAGGGTAGGGGTGGTGGTGGGAGGGGTGGTGGTGGGTGGGGTGGCAGAAGCTGAGGCCCAGCTCACCAGCACCAGTAAGTTGCAGCCAGAGCCCCCAGGCCTTGTACTTCCGGGTCCCTGGCATCCTAGGCCTCTCCTAGAGGCAGTAGGGACAGGGAACCCCCAGGAATTCTGAAGAAGGAGCAGGGTCTGACATGGGACAGAGGGAAGAGTCTGGGCTTGGGCATCAAAGCCTCTCCTAGCTGTGTGACCTGGAGCAAGTCCCTTCATTTCTGAGCCTCAAGTTCTGGAACACTGGAACACTTTCTTTCTTTTTTATTTTTTATTTATTTATTCATGAGAGACAGAGAGAGAGAGAGAGAGAGAGAGAGAGAGAGAGAAGCAGAGACATAGGCAGAGGGAGAAGCAGGCTCCCTACAAGGAGCCCTCTGTGGGACTCCATCCAGGACCTGGGATCACGCACTGAGCCGACAGACGCTCAACTGCTGAGCCACCCAGGCGTCCCCAGGACACTTTCTAAGAATGTTCTTACATGTACATAGCACTCTCCCAAGAGGGAAAGTAAAGAATAAGAACGGCTACTATACTGAGGCCTACAAGGTGCCAAGTGCTATGATTAGTGGATTATCCCTTTCTGCCTCCCAACCACTTCCCCATGATGTGAAATCATTTTGCGGACAGGGAAACATGAAGAGAGGCTGGGATTGGGAAGCAGTAGCATCAAGGGTTGAAGCCAGGTCTGATTCCAGAGCTTCCTTAACCCCTCCGCTACAGGACCTCCCAGACAAGGTCCAGTGTGACCCCTGCCCGGTTCCCTCAGCCCCACCAGTGTGAATGAGCCCAGAGCTACGGAAGGGACAAGCTGCATAGTGGGCAGGACAGCTCAGGTCCAGCAGAGGCAGCCCCTGGGGTCCTGTTCCCACTATGGCGTGGGCCGGGCGTCTGGCCTGACAAGTCTGCAGCCCTACCATGCCATTATCGGGCTGCCAGAGGGGGTGTCTGCAAGCGCCAATGCTGGGGTTCCTGCGACCGCTCGCCTATTAGTGGCTGGTGGCTTCACAATGATTTATTGGGGCTTCTTCATTTCCCCTTGGTCTGCTATAAACATATTTATACCACCAGAGTGACCGATAAATTTCCCTTATGAATCCTGTTATCTCCCCCATTAACCATCCGTCACCTTTTATGCAGCCACAATGGGCCGGGCCAGGGCAAGGGGGCTGGGTGGGAGGCCCGAGGCCAGCACAGCCCATGGGCCCAGTGAACTCTTCACCTCCCCCACTGCTCCCCAGACAGTGGCCGCTGCTGCCTTGGAGCTGCCTCCAGGATGAGGATATGGGCCTTGGAACAGACTGGATGGCCCCTTTGAAATGTGGCTTCCTCCTGGTTCTCAGAATAGGGTAAGTGCGTCTTGGAGCTCACCTGAGTCTCTCCCCTGTAGCTCTGGCTTTGTCGCTTCTAAGTGAGCAAGAGTCTTCTGAAGCTGCTGCCACTGCCCTTCCTCTTCTTTCTATCCTAAGCTCTCACCCTCATCCCTCCAAGGACAGCAGAAAGCTAAGACACAGATGTGGTGCCAGAGGGCCTGAAGCCAGCACCTTGGCATTTGCTGAGCACCTCCTCTGTGCTAGGCACTTTGCATCCGTGATTTCCTGGGACCCTCACCGTGGATCACCATGGAATCCTGGAGCCAGACCGTTATAGCTCCATTTGCCAGATGAGGAAATAAAGCTCAGAAACATTCAATGAAGAGCCTAAGGTCACCTAGCCAAGGGGCAGAGCTGTGATCTAGGGCCTTTTGGGTTGAAAGCTTGTGCTTCCAACTACTGCATTCGGTCACCTCTTCAGATGCCCTGGGCTAGGAGGGGTTAGTCCAAGAAATCTGTCAGGGACAGGGCTGCAGGGCGGGGGAGGAAGGAGAAGAGAGGGGAAGGATGGGGCCTCAGTGGCAGGCTGGTAGGGAGAAAGGGGCAGAGCTGTGGAGGGGAAAGTGACCTTGGGCCCCTATTCTCAGTCAAGCTGCTGGGAGGGAGGCGAGGTCTCTAAGAACCTTAAGCCACCTGTTCTGCCCACACTTGGCAGGATCAGGGGCCTGGCGCATGGTCAGGACTAGTAGACCACGGCCTGGCTCGGTCCTCAGCTTGCGTCGGGGGGCAAGGCCCCACCTTCTCTAGGCTTCAGCCTTCTTCCAGAGCCGAGGCATGCAGGGTTCTGCCCTTTGTTTGTTTGTTTATTTATTTATTTATTTATTTATTTATAAATTTATTTATGATAGTCACACACAGAGAGAGAGAGGCAGAGACATAGGCTGAGGGAGAAGCAGGCTCCATGCCCTGGGAGCCCGACGTGAGATTCAATCCCGGGTCTCCAGGATCGTGCCCTGGGCCAAAGGCAGGCGCCAAACCGCTGAGCCACCCAGAGATCCCTGGTTCTGCCCTTTGAATACCTGATGATATGTGGGCCTTCTCAGGAGATGGCTGTGTGTGTGTGTGTGTGTGTGTGTGTGTGTGTGTATGCGTGTGTATGTGTATGTCGGATATTTTTCTTTCACCTTCACCCACAGAGTCAGCCAGAGCTGCTGAGAGCTCCTGGGAGTTAAGAAGACCCACATTCTCCAACAGAGAAGAATCTCAAGACTTAGACCAAAGTCTACCCTGAGTCCTGGCATCGCTTCTCTGGCCCAAGGAGAATGGGCACAGGTAGGCGTTATTATTCCCATTTTACAGATGGGAAAACTTAGACCCAGAGGAGGAAGGAATCTGAGCAAAGAACAGAGCCCTGGGCTAAGACATGGTGATGAGGAGGGGACTCAGCAGCATTAGGGCCAGGAGGCCGCAGAATGGGGCTGAACAGGGGGGGTGGAGTGTAGTCTTCGGGGTTTGGGGTGGCCACCGTGGTGGGGAGTGGTCAGCTCTCTCAAGGATGTCTAATTAGGGATCCCTGGGTGGCGCAGCGGTTTGGCGCCTGCCTTTGGCCCAGGGTGTGATCCTGGAGACCCGGGATCGAGTCCCACGTCGGGCTCCCGGTGCATGGAGCCTGCTTCTCCCTCTGCCTATGTCTCTGCCTCTCTCTCTCTCTCTCTCTCTCTCTCTCTCTCTCTCTCTGTGTGTGTGTGTGACTATCATAAATAAATAAAAATTTAAAAAAAAGGATGTCTAATTACTCTTGTCTTCAGTAACACCCTGGTGTAGGGATGGCTAGGGCAGAGTGGACTCTGGGCTTAGCACCCCAAGGAAACAGGTTCTCCCCTGACTTCCAGAGGGTGTGGGGAGGTCATTCTGGCCATTCCCCTCCCTCCTGGTCCAGAGGGGGTGGTTCCAAGACCTACTCCGTCTACTTGGCTCCCCCCACCCCAGCACCTTCAGGAAACAGCCGGGCTGGGAGGAAGGAGATCCACCCTGCGACCCCAAGCCTCGTCCCTTCCACAATGTCTCACTCAGCTTGCAGACTGGCGGCTGCTACGGCCCCGGGGATGCCCTGAAGGGGGCGCAGCCCCAGGGCCGCTGGGCCGCGACCACCTGCCCCGTCTGGCTCGATCTGTCTCCTCTCACCTGCTCGTCTTCCCCTCCTCCCGTTTGCCCTCTCCATCCTCCCCACTGCCTGTCGGTCTGTCTGCGCGTCTGCCTTTCCCGGGGCTGGCAGCCCGCTCCCGTCCTCTCCTCTCTGCAAGGTTGGAGGGAGGGGGGCAGGGCTGGGAGTGCGAGTGAGAGCCAGCCAGTGCCGGGGCTCCCCCCCTGCTCCTGCACACTCACACACGCACACACTCTCTCCCTCAGTCATTTTCAATGTCATAAATTTCCCCGTCTCTCTCCTCCACTCGCTATTACCTGCGCCTCCGTCACCGCGCTCGCTCCCAGATGGGCTAGGCCATCTCCGCTCCGCAAATGACTCCGGGAGAGAGAGGCAGGGAAGGAGGGAGAGAAAGGAGCCGGGAGAGGCGTGGAGAGAAGGAGAAGGAAGGCAGCCCGCAGAAGGCCGGAGAGGGAAGCAGAGAGGGAGAGAGGAGCCCCCAGAGGGCCCACAGCCCCCCTTCCCCCTCCCCCAAGTATGGAAAGCCCGCTGCCATGGGGCCAGGGCGGGAGGGGCTGGGGCAGAGTCTAGGGCTGGAGTCGGGTCCCCCAGCTCTGCCCCCCACCCAGTGGCACTTGCTGCAAGTCCTGTCCCTCCACACGCTTCCCGCAGGCCCCTGTGTGTGCCAGCTCCGTGCTAGTGGCGAACCAGACACCCGGGGTTCCTCCCGCGTGGCTCCCAGCCAAGGGGACACGTGGACCGGGAGGTGAGCCCCCCGGCCTTACTGTGTACTAGGCTTTATGGGATCCTCTGGCAGGAGGGGGTGGTGTTCAGGGTAAGCTGTGCCTCTCCCTTGGGATCTGAGGGGGGGTGGTGGAGGCTGCCTCCAGGAGCTGGCTTCTTGCCACCAGTGAAGCTCCCTCCTACATTCATAGCTTCGCAGGAGCTCTTGGCTTCCTCAGGACTGGTTCTTGGGATGAGAACAAAGCTGGGAAGACTCAGTGGTCTGGGAGAAGGAGCATGTCCGGGAGACCCCATAGTATGGACAGTGAGGCGGAAGAGGGGTACAGGTGGGGCTGGTGTGGCAGGACTGGGGAGAGTGTGGACAGGGAACCCAGGGCGCCCAGACGCTGCTAGGAGGAACTCAATGAAACACCGGTTGGCTTTCCTGCTGCTACTGCTGGTGGTAATATTAACGATGGCATGTGTGGGAGCTGCTCATGGTACTGGGGGCACTTGGACCCCAGGTCCGAGCTGCTACCAGAACCCCCCCTCCTAGAAGGTTTCCTGCTTGTACTCTCAACACCTCTAATTTCCTGTAAAAATGCAGACGTGACCATATCACTCTCTTGGTTCAACCTTCTGATGGCTCCACATCTCACTGGAAGCGACCCCTAAACTCCTCACCCTGGTTCCTGAGGCCAGTCTGTTCTAGCACCATCCCCCCCTGCTGCTCCCTTGAGTTCTCTCTGACAGGGCCCAGACTAGGCCCAGAGCCTTTGCACTCCCTGTTGCATTCCTCCCTCAGCTCAGATGTCATCTGCACAGAGGAGCCAACCCTGACCACCTGCCCCGTCTAATGATGGGTCACTCCATTAACTCTATTGTGGTCTTTTGAGTATTTATTTTGTGGCATTTTTTTTACATTGTGTCATTATTTGTTTACTTACCTGTTTACTCCTTTAGTGTCTGTTTCCTCTGGTGGCTGGACCTTGCATGTTTGTTCTGTTCTTCAAAGACAGTAAGTACCAACGATGAGCCCAATGAATGATAGGACGAATGATGTTGATGTAGATGTATCCTCCTCACCTTGGTTTGGGTTGGGATGGATGTTGGGGTGGATGAGGCCAGGCTGGTGGTCTCAGGTTTGCTGTCTACCTGGCAAATTTGAAATCCCAGTGTGCTAGATTCCATTCCAACAGGGAGAGGCATCTTGCCCTGGTACTGGGAATTTAACCTGTAAACAGGGTTGGGCCTCATCAAAGGATTTCCCTCTACTAGAGCCCACCCACCAGAGCCCCTCCATCTGTGGCAACCAGACATGCACCTTCACAGACACACAGATGCACACACACACACCACAGGCATCCTTACACCCCTGTACAGAGCGGCCTAAGATAAGGCACACTCACATACATGCTCAGAAGCCCCCGTGGATGTCTGGACACACCAAGGCATGCAGGGGGGCAAGCCCCGTTACCCACATCCCTGCACCCACTAGATACCACCCTACAGGTATATCTGTGAACAGACGTACACATACCCACAAACATGTACCAACACGGTTAACCACTAAGATGACATCAGTGGAGAAGACACCTGTTCGCTTGCTTACTGACGCAGGGGTCTACACCGTGGAGTAACAGACGGGCCTGTTAGCTGCCCTCCAGGACGGGTGCCCTATGTTGAGTGAGCCACACCTTCCCACCTCATTCCTCACCTCCCTGGCTCCACTGCCCCAGCCCTCGTGGTCTGGGGAGGCTCCACGGGCTCCAGCAGACTCAGTCTGTGGCCAGAGGCAGGGCTCAGCTGGAGCTGGGGTCAGGAGTTGGTCTGTGGCCAAGGTCAAGGTTCACTGGGTGACTGGGGTCAGGCTCATCTGGGACCAAGGTCAAAGGTCAATCGGAAGCTGAGATTTCCTTCATGTCCTATGTCTTGGCTCACAGGTGTGTCCCCCCCAACTATGTGCCATCCCCAGGAGCTGCTGGTGGGGACAAGACTCAGGGTCCTTATCCTGCGTGGGCCTCTGTGGCTGGTGGAGGAGGGGCAGGTGGGGGCCGGCCGGGCAGATAGCTGTGAGGTACGTTTCCATCTCCGCGGGTCGGGCGGGCGAAGCCATTTCCAATCTGCTCTCTATCATTTTCAATATCATTAATCCCAGACACTCTATTTTCCATGCCTGCGCAGCCAGGCCCCCGAGTGTGCGCCGTGTAAAGTGACACATATTCATCACCGGCTCGTGGCGCCGGCGCCGACGCTGATACAATATTAGTGTTGCCCCCCCGCTCGGGGCCCGCTCCGCCCGGCTCCCCGATGGCACGAATCCATCACCTGGAGCCCGTGTCACTTTCCCCAGCAGCCACATTTGTTTGGGCACTTAGGAGGTAATTGTGGCACATTAGCTGGGGCGGGGAAGGGCGCTGGGTCCTCAGGAGGAGGGGCAGCCGAGGCATCTTCCACGGCCTGAGCCCACCCTGGCCTGGTGCTGCTCTTGGCTCGGGCTGGGGTCCTAGGAACCCGGGCTCTTGCTCAGCCTCGGAGGAGGTGGCTCAACGAAGGGTCCCATGTGGGGGAGGTGGACTTGGGCCCCATCGGGAAGTCTCAGCAGGGTTCTCCGCTCCCCTGTGAGCCCCAACACTGGGGCTTGGTCTATATGGGGTCCCAAGCTTGGAGGTGATGGCTTTGCAATCTTTCTTTTCTTTTCTTTTTTTTTTGTTTTTGTTTTGCCAACCAGTCCATATCCCAGCCCTGGGACTAGGGATGTGGTGATCCCAGCCCTCCTGGCTCCATTTCAAGTCACATTTGGGAGAGGTCAGTGGGAGGGGGAGCAGGAAGGAGGTGGCACTGCCCAGCCCTTGAGAGCCCAACTGTGAGGGAAAATCTGGCGCTGCCCTGGGGACCTGGGTCTGAGAGGGGGTGACATGGCCCAGCCCTCGGGAGCCCTGTCTGGATCTAGGAGGAGGAGTATGTCACCAGCCTGAGCAGTAGGGCACAGTGCTTTTGGGAAGACTGCCTGGAGGTGGTGAGCCAGACATCTAGGGATAGCCTCTGGCCACTGGGAGGCCCCTAGTGGCTGCGGTGCCGGGAGGAGCAGCAGCCGGGGTCACTGATCTGGGCAGAGGCCAGGCTGTGCTGGGGCCTGGGTTCTCCCTCCACAGTCTGCAGGGCTAACACCCATTAACCTCGTCAGCAGACAAATTGCCCGTCTTGTCAAATTCCCATTTAAAATGCAAACTCGATTTGACAGAGTAAACGGAGCGAAGGTGGGAGCGGATAATCCAGTGGAAGCTCATTAGCAGGGCCCAATGAGAGGGGCCTGCCAGGAGGGCCTAACAAACCTGCCCTGATGAACCTCCCAGCCTTTTAACATCCCACCACCTGCTCAACGCCCTTACTTGCCCGCCCTACTGCCTAACCCCCTCAAGGGGTCTGGGGCCCCCAGCTGCTTGCTAGCACCTCTGGGACGGTGCATCCAGGAAGCAAACAGAGCGGGAATCAGCCTCTGTCCACTCGGTGGCCTCCGGCAGCAACAACAGCAACCATGTGCCCCCCGACCTGGGTTCCCAGTGGAACCCTGTACATATATTCTCCTCCCTGGCCTCCCCCTCCCCTGTCCTTCACTGAAGGGGGTCCTGTGAGTTGGTATTATTAACCCATCGACAAATGAGAAACTCCAGGAGGTTGCCCCGTAGTAGGCAGGCAGAGCGTGGATTCGATCCCCAGCCCATCAGACCCCAGTAATTTACACTTGTAACCACTGCACTACTTTGCCTTCCCGAATTGTGAATGGCTGTCCTGCCCTCTCTGCATCCCTGGCTTCAGTGCTGTCACTAGCTGTGTGGGTCTAGGAAAAGTGACTTCCCTTTGAGCCTCATTTTTCTCACCGGTAAAAAAATGGGCAAACAACTGCTGCCCAGCCCGAGGGGTAGGATAAGGAGAATTTTAGTACGTACTTGGTTTAATGAATACTCATTACCAACCCCCCAAACATCTGCAGATAACTTAGCTCTAAAGGGAGGTGTCCTGGGGCAGGGGAAAGTCCCGCCCACCAGGCCACTCCTTCTGTCCTGCTGCTGTGTTTCTAATAGTTTGAATATTGGTTAAGAGGCCCTGGAAGGCAGCCTCCAACAGCCAATGGGCTGTTGCTCCACCTTGCCTCTGGGGCACCCTCGTGTTGCTCCCACGAACCCTGACGGGGGCTGCACCTGTCCCGGCCCCCACATGGAGTGCCGTGCTGTCTAGCTGTGCTGGATGACCTTGGGTGGGGGTCCTCACTGGGTCTCATTGCCTGTTGCTAGCCTCACAGCAGGGGTCTCCCCATCCCCAGTCTCTGTCCCCCACCCCTCCAGTCCTTGCAGGCACCAAAGCAATGGCTCTGAATCCCGGCACTTGCCCACCACGACTCCTTACTCTTCCCCCGGTAAAGTCCACATTCCTCAGCTGGCGCTCAAGGCCCTACACGATCTGACCTTAGTTTACCCTTCCCGTCTCTCTCATGGCACAGCGTCCTGAACTCTCCTGTTCGCCTTTGCCAGGCTGTGCGTGGCACTACCTCTAGACTCAGCACCCGCCCTAGGGGGTCCTCTTCCTCTTCAGAACTTCTTCACCCCCTGTCGTCCTTGCCTGACTCCAGCAGTGACCTGGAGGAGACCCCTGGGAGACTCTGGACCCTGTCTGGGGGTGGGGCCGGGGGGTAGGGGTGGGCTGCAGAGGAGGAGAGGCTGGGGTGGGGGCTGTTCTCGGTCTCCCTCTGGTTGTCTGCAGAACCATCCTCTGAGGCTGGCCTAATTCCCTTCAGAGCCCAGCTCCCATCTTCAGGGTGGTGCTTAGGGAGCTGAGAGCCCAACGTTAATGCCTAAGAAAGTCGTGGGTGGATTAGAAAGCGAGGGGGATTAGGGCCAGAGCTGGTAGCTGATGCAGGAGGGAGCCCCTCCTCCTGAGGAAGAGGAGTCTAATCCTGCTTAGTGACTGAGGAGCCTACCATGCTGAGGAGGGGCCTTCCCTTCTTCTCCGGCTGCCCAGACCTGGCCAGCTTACCAGCCCTGGCCCAGCCCAGGCGGCAGCAGCATGAAGACCCCCCCTCACCAGCTCTTTCTTCCAAACTTTTGGTCCACTGGTGTCCCCCCAGGCCATCTCTGCCTTGTCCCTCATGCTACCCCAGCCCTTTCTGTGACCCCAAACCTTTTCATCCCTATATCCCCATCCAAAGTGCCTCGTGTAGCCACCCCCGGACTTACATGACTACACACTGAACCACACACTGAGCCACCCCACCGAGGCTCCTGCTGCCCCTGCATCTGTGCTGCCTGGAAAGTCCGTGTGGCTGCTGCCGGGCTGCCCAGTGTCCTCATTCCTGCGGCCACCCGGGGCCGGCTACTCATGGCTCATGGTCAACTTCCTCATGGGGGAATGGGCCTCAGTTGCCCCACCCAAGGCTACGCCCTTTCCCTGGGATGACTGGTCAGCGCGGGAGTACAAGGTCTGGCCCCTTACCTCAAGATTCCCATGGGACTGGCTGAGGCCACTGTTGCCCCAGCACCATGGCTGGACCTCTCCCTCTGCCCAGTCCCACTGCTTCGCACGCTTGGTCCTCAGAGCACGCCCCAGCAAGCCTCTTCTCCCTCTGGTCTCCTTAGGACATCTTGCCCTTCACCGGCTTTCCTGAGTCCCACAGTTGAGGAGAAGATGAAGTTGGTTACTGAAGGGCCAGGGGTTAGGAGCTCCTGAGCTCGATGCCCACAGTCAGCCAGGCAAGAGCCAGCAGCAGCCCCTTCCCTGAGGATGGACCCTGCGGGGGACGGGGCCCTGGGTTTCCGTGGTGTAGGCCATCCTGTGGACTGAGCCGGGAGGGAGGGCTTGCCCCGGAGACCCGGCCTGGGGTCTTGGCCTGAAAGAGGAGACAAGAGAAGGAAGCCTGCTCTGAGAGTTTAATCTGAGGGGGGAGGCAGGTCACTTCCTGTGAGCCTGGTCTGAGAGGAGAAGCACAACTTTGACTTGGGAGCCCAGTCTGAGGGGGAAGGA